CAGATTGGATTCAGAATTGGCTGACCCTTAGAAGACAAAGGGTGGTAGTGGACAGAAAATATTCAACATGGTGCTCAGTTACGAGTGGTGTACCACAAGGATCTGTTCTGGGTCCTCTTCTATTTGTGATTTTTGGAAATGATTTGGATGAAGGAGTTGAAGGGTGGATTAGTAAGTTCGCGGACGATACGAAGGTGGATCGAGTTGTGGATAGTGCGGAGGGCTGTTCTAGGTTACAAAGGGACATGGATAGGATGCAGAGCTGGGCTGAGAAGTGGCAGATGGAGTTTAACCCTGAAAAGTGTGAGGTGATTCATTTTGGAAGGACAAATTTGAAAGCAGAATACAGGGTTAAGGGAAAGATTCTTAGCAGTGTGGAGGAGCAGAAGGATCTTGGGGCTCATGTTCACAGTTCCCTGAAAGCTGTCACCCAGGTGGATAGAGTTGTTAAGAAGGCGTATGGTGTGTTAGCTTTCATTAATAGAGGGATTGAGTTCGAGAGCCGTGAAGTTATGCTCCAGCTATACAAAAGCCTGGTTCGGCCACGTCTGGAGTATTGTGTCCAGTTCTGGCCGCCTCATTACAGGAAAGATGTGGAGGCATTGGAAAAGGTGCAGAGGAGATTTGCCAGGAATGGAGGGAAGGTCTTACGAGGAAAGGTTAAGAGTGCTAGGGCTTTTCTCTTTAGAATGACGAAGGATGAGAGAGGACTTGATAGAGGTGTACGAAATGAACAGAGGTATAGATAGAGTGGACAGCCAGAGACTTTTTCCTAGGGTGGAGGTAGCTATTACGAGGGGGCATAGTTTTAAAGTGAGTGGAGGTAGATATAGGGGAGACATCAGAGGTAGGTTCTTTACTCAGAGAATGGTAGGGGCGTGGACTGCATTGCCGGAGAGGGTAGTGGAGTCAGCCCCATCGGGGCATTTAATCGGCTATTAGATAGGCATATGGATGATAGTATGAGGTGGGGTGGTGGTTAGATAGACCTTAGGTTTAGGGTAAAAGTTTGGCACAACATCGTGGGCCGAAGGGCCTGTACTGTTCTATGTTCTATAACTCCCTTGACCACCAACATTCAGCAGTATATCTACAAGATGCAATGCAGAAATTCACCAAAGATCCTTAACAGCACCTTCCAAAACCACAACCATTTCCAACTGGAAAAGACAAGGGCAGCATATATATGGGAACACCACCACCTGCAAGTACCCTTTCATGCCACTCACCATCCTGACTTTGAAATAGATCACCATTCCTTCACTTCACTGGGTCAAAATCCTGGAATTCCCTCCCTAAAGGCATTGTGTGTCAAACTACAGCACGTGGACCATAGCAGTTCAAAAAGACAGCTCACCACCATCTTCTCAAGGGCAAGTCAAGGCAGGCAATAAATACTGGCCAGCAGTGGTGCCCAAATCCTACAAGTGAATTTAAAAAATGTGTATTCCAAGAAGGTGTTTATGCTAAGATTGAAATATGCCTCCAAATCATCATTAACTTGATGATGTGGCTTTACCATAATTGATCACCAATGTAACTGAAATAGTATGTGCACAGTCACCCATTGCACATAAAAAGTGTACAGACCAGCTTACAGTCTGGCTTTGCTGCGGTCTTGATATAGCACTAAATCAAGCAAATCTCTTGTATCATTTTGGCCATGCCTCAGTCAGGTTAAAGCCTGATATTTTCCGGAAACTCCCCAGTAGAGTTCACCGCTTGCTATGGTATTTCAATGGGTTTTGGGATATAGTACTTTCAATAATTCTTGCAGACTGCTTGTTTTTAAAAAAATAACTTTATTATAACATTTACAGTTGCATGAGCACTCCCTTACAATTCTCTCCATGCTACTTTCTCAGAATCTGTAGTCATAAGTGTAGTCACTTTTTTCCTCTAACAACAGTTAACTCTTTTTGGACTTAGTCTAACATATGCTATATTATTAATTAGTTTTAGAATGTACTGTTCCAAGAAAAAGTCTGAATAAAATCTACTTATTATCAAGCCTGTCTTTAATAATTTGATTCATCCAATCTATATGAACATTAAAATCTCCCATGATCATTGCAAATCCATTTTTAAAGGCCCTCATTATTTCCTGATTAATAGTCAGCCCTACAGGATTACTACTGTTAGAAGGCCTGTAAACTACTCCCACACGAAACTTCTTATTTGCTGGTGCACTCAGGTACCTAAACTGTTCAGGTACATATCAGGAAGTTACAGGTGCACAGAAACATAGAAACTCGGAGCAGTTGTAGGCCAATCAGCTCTTTGAGCCTACTGCACCATTCAGTGTGATCATGGTTATCTTCTTTCTCATACCATGGTCCCACTTTCTTTCTGTACCCTTTAAAATAAATTTAAAAAATCAAATCTCTCTTGAATATACTCAGTTGCCTGGCCCCACAACCTTGTGGTAGCAAATTCCACAGGTTGACCACCCTCGGGGAACTACTTGCCCACTTGTCCAGGGGTGGCACAGTGGTTAGCACTGCTGCCTTGCTGTACTAGGGACCTGGGTTCAATTCCAGCCTCAGACAATTGGCTGTGTGGAGGTTGCATATTCTTCCCATGTTGTGTGGGTTTCCTCCCACAGCCCAAAGATGTGCAGGTTAGGTGGATTGGCTATGCTAAACTGCCCAGTGTTTAGAGTGGGAAATTCTGGGGTGGATGCTCTCTCTTTTTGGAGAGTCAGTGTGGACATGAGGGGCCAAATGGCCTGCTCCCCATTGTAGGGATTCTATGAAATGGCCAACACTGTAACCCATGGTCCTAGAACCTCAAATGCAGGAGAAACATCCTGTCTAGTCTAGTCTGTTTGGCCCAGTTAGTTTTTTTTTTAAAACATTTCAATCAGATCCAGTCTCCTTCTTAAACTTCAGTGAATTTGGGCCCAATCGCTCTTCATGCAGCAGTCCCACCAATCCCTGTACCAGCATAGAGAACCTTTGCTACACTTACTCTATAGCGAGTATATTCTCTTTTAGGCAGGGAGACCAAAACTAATAGGGAACATTGGGAAATTGCACACAATACTCCAGTTGCAGTCACACCAAGGCCCTGCATAACTCCACTAATACATGCCTCTTATTCAACTCAAATCCTCTTGCAATGAAGGCCAATATACCATTTGCCTTCTTAATTGCTTGCTGCACCTGCCCATTGATTGGTGTACAAGGACACCCTGATTTTTTTGTACATCCACACTTCCTAATACAGGACCATCTAAATTGTACTGTCCTTTACTCATTCATAGGATATGGTCGTCACTGGCTAGGCAGCATTTATTACCCATCCTTAATTGCCCAGAAGGCAGTTAAGAGCCAACCACATTGCTGTGGGTCTGGAGTCACATGTAGACCAGACCAGGTAAGGATGGCAGTTTCCTTCCCTAAAAGGGCATTAGTGAACCAGATGGGTTTTTCCAACAATTGACAATGGATCCATGGTCATCATTAGATTCTTAATTCCAGATATTTATTGAATTCAAATTTCACCATCTGCCAAGGTGGGATTCAAACCCAGGTCCCCAGAACATTATCTGGGTCTCTGGATTAACAGTCTAGCCATAATAGCACTAGGCCATCACCTCCGCCTGTTATCATAGTGAAGTGTGAACCAAACTTCTCCAGCTCCTCCAAATCCTCCTTGCATCTTCCTCACACTACACAATCCCACTTAATTTTGTCATTAGCAAAGTTGGAAATGTTGTACTTGTTTCCCCATCCAAGTCATTTATTTATATAAGTCATGAACAGCTAGATTCCACAGATAACTACTAGTCATTGCCTGCACCTTGAAAAAGACCATTTATAACCACCATCTATACTTTGAACATGGGGATCTTAACTGAAAACATAGGCTGGGTAAACCAATTAGCTCAAATGCCATGGAGGACAAATTCATGGAATGTATACATACAGGATGATTTTTTAGAACAGGCTATTTTGGATGTAATATTAAGCAATGAGAAAAAAAAAGGTCCTATTGCCTTTAGGGAAGAATGACTACAATATGATGCAATACAAACTGAAACTAGGATCTTAAATCTAAACAATGGAAACCACAAAAGCGTGGAAGGGAAAGTTGGGTGTAGTAGATTGCGAAAACTACACAGAATGGTTTATCTCTTTCTGTTTGAGAAAGAGAACTTGGTTGCTGCATTTGGCTGCTACTTAACAGCAAGATTTCACTTCAAACATAATTCATTACATATGAAACACTTTGGAACAACCCAAGATGTGTCACAGTGCTGAGTGCAAGTTTCGCTTCCTAAAATGCATGGCTACCATGGTGCTGATCAAGCTTTCTTTCTCTTTACAAAGCAACATATGTAAAAAGAAAGAATAACTAAAAATAAAAGCAATAAATTGAGATTACCAACCATGACTGAAACCTAGGGAGCATCAACAGAAATACTGATTAGACTGAATGTTTTGAAGAAGAGATTTGTAAATAGTTGAATTTTTAGTTGCAATCAAATAGCTAGTTATGTATCGAGGAATTAGAAATGCAGGAAGATAGAAAGCATCAAGTGTTATCATTCATATTTATATACATACACCATAGAGGAACTATTCGGCCCTATAAGCCTGTGCCAGTGTTTCACCTCTGCAAGCTTCAACTCAGTTTCGGCATGCTGTTTCTCTTCCCTTGGGTACCTACCTAGCTTCTTTTTAAATGCCTTATTACAGTCTTCACCCCAAACACCCCACATGTTAGTGATTTATGCGTATCTCTGAATAAATGTTGTTGTTTATTGATTTAAATTAGGAATCATGATCCCTAGTTTTGTATCGACAAAATTGGGAAGGAGGAGTAAAATCATTTTTTCCATGTCCATCTTAGAATTTAGAAGTTTTCTATTAGGTCAATCTTCAAAGCTTTTATTATAGAGAAGAGGGAACCCATGCCAGTCAAGTTTGCATTTAGCACACAATCTACCCATGCAAAATTTTGTCATAAATGACATTTAAGCCAAGAATGAGCAGCAAACCACAACAGAAATAGAAGCTACCAATGAAAAGGCAGACATGTAAACTATCAAAGTAAAAAACAGATATGAAAAGAACAGATCAAAGTTAGCAACAGGCTTATAACGTGGAACCAATGACATAATTCGAATTCTCTCCTGCAAAGTTGATTTGGTCACCATTTTATTTTTCCTCGACTTGAAAGTTTCACATAATATTATACCATTGTTAGTTTGGTTCAGTTGGGCAGCATACTCAGCTGTAAGTCAGAGTCACTTGTTCAAATGTCATTCAAGGACATACAAAAGTAATAACTGCAGATACTTCAGTACAGCATTGTATATGGTCACTTCAGATGAGATATTAAACAGAGACTCTGCAGATTCAGATTGGTATAAAACATGACATGATAATATTTGAAGAAGGTATTTCTGCCCATGTGCTGGCAATATTCATCACTGCAACACTAATGTACAGTCTAAGTAGTTATTTATCTCAATGTCTACCACATTACATTGACTGTGCTATCTGGTGAATTTAAAAGTACAAGTATCAGGATCAGTAGCTGATATACAAATTTTTAATTACAATAAAAGATACAGAAATTATGGCACCAACACTTCACACTCTTAATGGCACAGCAATAGTACATATTTTATGCTAGTCTAGGTGAAAGAATCAATTCTGGAAAATGGAGCAATTATCACCTATTCTGGTAGTTGTGTTACAAGGTAAGTCTCCTTGTACTCTGTACTGAAATTGTAGGACACCACCTACTGTATATCAGTATGTTTAACGGAATTATAAATGTCACTTATACAGAGTAGCAAGAAAAAAATACCCACTATAATTAACACCTAACCCAGAAAAGCAATCATCTTACAGGTCAGTGAAGCCATCCTTAGTTTTTCAGAGCAAAATGGCAGATATTATATAGCATGTGGCCACTTCAAATTGCCAAACTGAAATTTATACAGGCTTCTTGCAGGTCTTCAACCTCAGTTGCATTCAAACCAGTTCTTGTACAAAGCTCATCATAAGTTCCATTGTACATACAGGACCAATAGCGGTCTCTTTTGATTTGATTGGGAAAGATGGGTGAATGATCACACTTTCTATCCTAGTTATGGAGATGAATGCTGTAGCCGGAATCTCTTAGCTCCTGGTTCAACGAGCAGTGTCAAGAAGAGACTCTTCACAAGCTTGGTCAGGTACTTGGGTCCTGGTTTTACTGTCAGTAGGACTTCATTGATACGTTCACCACTATAATTTAAAACAAAATATTAGCAGCATGAAATAAGTGAACTATTACTGTCAATACTTAGCAACAAAATGGAGTTCTTAATTAATAAAATTACTTTATTCACTTAAAACTGTTGACCTGGTCATCATCATATAGGAGACTGTTGTGCATACTTTTGCAGCCAGGTTTCCAACAACGTAATAATGACTACATTTCAAAAAGTATTTGGTCAGTTGTTATGCACCTCGGCACATGATAATAGTACATAAATGCAAGATATATTTTCATTAATGAATTAATTTTGTGATTTTTATTCAATGGAATATTATATTTTTAAGAGTTTAGACATGGGAAGGAAAGAATAGATGAAACAGACTACACATATTCACTGTTCAACAGTGAATGGCTGATCTTCACCCTCCATTCTACTCACCCTTCCTGCCAATTCCCATATAATTGGATTCTCTTACTGCCCAAAATTCTAAGCAATCTCAGACAAATATATTCAACAACCGAGCATCTACGATCTTATTGTGTAAAACTGTCTGATCTAAAGTTGTTCAATAAGCAACCTCACTTCTACTGAAACTATGCTTCTTGTTCTAGACTCAAGGCGGGGAAACAGCCTCATCATTTGGAAGCATAATAAGCCAGTTTGCTTTGCCATTCTTGGTCTTGGCTGATCAACTACCTCAATTTCATTTTCCCGATGTCACCAAACTCATTATAATCAATAGTATCTAGAAACTTATTAGTTTCTCTTGAACAAACTCAATAACTAAGCTTTGATTGATTGATTATTTATTGTCACATGTACCGTAGTACAGTGAAAAGCTTTGTTTACAAGCCGTACAGCCAGATTATAGTAAACAAGGTTGTACAGATCAAAAAGATTTAGACAGAAGCATACAGGTTACATTGCACAGGGCATGCACTAGGTGAGATCAACGTTAGCAAGATCAGCGTTATTGAAGCTAGACAGTCCATTCATCAGTCTAATAATGGCTGGGAATAAGCTGTTCCTGAAACTGCTAGTGTGTGGGTTCAGAGTTCTGTATCTTTCTGCTTGATGGAAGGGGTTGTAGGAGATCATTACTGGGGTGTGATGGGTCTTTGATGATGTTGGCAGCTTTTCCACAGCAGCAAGGTGTGTAAATGGAGTCCATGGATAGAAGGTTGGCTTCTGTGATGGTCTGGGCTGTGTACACCATTTTGTGTAGTTTCTTACACTCCTGGGAAGAGCAGGTGCCATATCAAGCCGGTATGCACCTGGACAATACGCTTTCAAATTATGCATCTGTAGAAGTTGGTGAGGGACCTTACAGACATGCCAAATTTCTGCAGCCGCCCAAGGAACAGGTGGGTAGTTGTGTCTTCTTGACCGTAACATCAACATGGGACGTCCAGGACAGGTTGTTGGTTATTGTCACTCCAGACACTCTTCCCTCCCTCTCAACCTCAGTTCCATTGATGTAGTTGGGGGGGGCGTGTTCTCCTCCTTTCTTTCTGAAGTCAATGATCAGTTCTTTTGTTTTGCTGATGTTGAGACAGAGGTTGTTCTCATTGCACGACATCACCAAGCCCTCTATGTCCCTTCTGTATTTGATGTGTTGTTAGATATCCATCCCACTACAGTGGTGTTGTCAGCGAACCATTACCCACTTGAGTAGAGAATTCTACAAAAGATTCGTTATCCTCAGTGAAGAAGTTTTCCTTATCGCAGTCCTAAATGGCTGAACAATGCCTGTGACTCCTGGTTCTTGACCCGCTCCCAGCCAGGGGAAACATACTTCCTGTTTTTACTCTGTCAAACCCTTTAAGAATTCAAGGGTTTCAACGGCATTACCTCTGGAACTTCTGTAGAATCTTATATGCTTTACATGAGAATTCTAAACTCAAGGCAATTAGGCCCATTCTACTCAACCATTTATCACCATCATGTGACAGCTGATTTGAGGATGATGTCTACTCAATGTCGAGTGTTTCTGCCATGGCTCTTCCAAGTGACTCGTAGGCTGATTTTCGACCACAGTCCTTTAAGGCTTATGGGGTAGCAGTTCCCATTAGGTAATGGAATCTGGATTGCAAGCTTCACTTCCTTTACTTTCCTTCTCTGTCATGGTTCTGACTCGTCCATAAGATGTTTGTACCCAGTGTGATGTAGCTTGATGAAAATTCTGAATAATTGGCAGGAGGTTTCTCAGTCATTTAAGGAAAATGCCACCAGCTTCAAAGTCAGCTTTGCAGTCTTTCATTGTTTTTTTTGGTCCTCTCCAGAATGTCAGCCATATGAACATTGAAAGGACAATACTCAAGAGAAGATGACAATTTTCAGTGATCCAAACACAGTGGCCAGTCCATCAAAGTTGATTTTGCATGAATTTTGCCTGAATCCTCACAGACGTGGCTTGAAGAAGGCCACTAACATTCGTTCAACAGTATGTTGAATTGAGGATGCATTGGAAACACTGTGGTTTTATTTTCTCTCATGTTGATTTATGTTGCTGACAGGCAGATCAGGGCTTACACACGTGCAGTGCCAAACTCCACTGTTTACTTGGACTTCAATTGACTGGAGTTTTCTGTTGTTAAATGTTCGCTGCCATAGTTTGGAGAAGGCTGAACTGGCACAGCTCATCAGATATTGAATACCCTTGCCAATGGTGGCCTTTTGAGAGATATGTGTGCCAAGTAAATGTTCAATGTATTCAAGAATGTCTCCTTCAGCATATAGAAGAGAGTAATATTTGGCTGACCATATGTGATTTACAAGTTTTATTTTGGCAAAGTTCAAGGACCAGTTGAGTTTCTCTCATACAAAATTGAAGTGTGGGTTATAAATCCGGTGCAGAGGGGGGAATAACAGCATGGCCATCTGTAAACTGTAGATCGTTTATCTATGGTGATTGGTTTCGTTTTTCCAATAGAGGCAACTGAGGTTAAAGAGTTTTTAAATGTAGATGTTATCCAATACTAACGTCAGAGGGCAGATGATCTTAGATAAATTGAATAGCCACTGTCAGGTAGATTGTAAACAGATCCAGCAGCATCTGTGGCGAGAAAAAAAGAGTTTAAAAAAGGTCCTGTGACTCTTCTTCAGAATGTTCAGTAATGTTAACTCTGTTTTCTCTTTACAGATGCTGCCAAATCTGCTGAGTTTCTCCAGCAATTTCCAGTTTTGTTTCTCACTTAGCATCCATAGTTCTGTATTTTATGTCTGATTGTAAATAGTTTAGGGTTATGACATAGCTTTGCTTAACACTGGTCTGGAGTTTGATGGTGTCTATTTCAGTTCTCCCACACAAGACAGTTGCAGCTCAAATTTAACAAAGCAAATGCAGGTGAAGAAGCTTCTTTGATATCCAACTTGTTGTGAGCCCAATCCAGGAGAGAAATACCACGAAAGCTTTACAGCACACGATTTCTCCCATTTTGAAGATGGTTTCAACTGACATATTCCTGGCTAAGTTCTTTGTTTCTCCCAGATCCATAGAAGGAGTGCATGCACTAGTCATGTAATAAAATATCCATCAGCTCTCAAGATCTTTGCATTGGTTGGAGTTAGACTCCTTAGAGCTTAGAAGAATGAGAGGAAATGCTACTGACAGATATAACAAATTTTTAGGGGATTTGACAAAAGATAATCTCCGAAAAGAGTAAACTAAGACCAGAAAGCAAAGGGGTTGCCCATTAAGACAGAGATAAAGAGGATTTTTTTTATTGTCAATACAGTGTGGAGCTGGAGGAACACAGCACATCAGGCAACATCAGAGGAGCAGGAAAGTTGACATTTCATGTTTACACCCTTCATCTGGAGTCCTGATGAAGGGTGTAAACGTGAAACGTCGACTTTCCTGCTCCTCTGATGCTGCCTGACCTGCTGTGTTCCTCCAGCTCCACACCGTATTGACTCTGACTCTGGCATCTGCAGTTCTTGCTATTTCTGGATTTTTTTTTTTTTAAAAATTGCTCAGTGTCCAGTTAATCTGTGGAATTAATCGCAGAGGACTGTTCAGGCCCTGTTGTGATGTACATTCAAGGCTGAGAGAGGCTATTTGGCCCATCAAGTCTACACCAACCCTCTAAAATAGCATCCCTCCCAGACCCAATTCCCCACACTATCCCAATGACCCATATTTACCATGGCTAACCCACCTAGCCTACACATCCCTGGACAACACAGGGCGATTTAGCATGGCCAATTCACCCAACCTGCACACTTTTGGACTGTGGGAGAAACCAGAGCACCCAGCAGAAGTCCATGCAGACATGGTGGGGAGGGGGGGGAAATGTGCAAATTCCACAGAGTCATTTAAGGTTGGAATCAAACCCTGGTTCCTGGCGCTGAGAGGTAATAGTGCTAACTACTGAGCCACCATGCCACCCACCATGATATCATTTAAATGGTAGAGTGCACTCCAAATGGCCTACTTCTGCTCCTACATATTAGGTTCTTCTCCATTTAAACATTCAATTCCTCTTATTTTTCCTGCTAAAATGCATAACCTTTTCCCACATGATATTTCATCTACCAAGTTTTTGCTCATCCACAGTCCGTCCATATCCCTCTGCAGATTCTGTCATTCTCATGACTGGTGTGGCATGGTGGCTCAGTGGCTAGCACTGCTGTCTCACAGCACCAGGGACCCGGGTTCAATTTCATTCTCGGGCAACTGTCTGTGTGGAGTTTGCACATTCTCCCCATGTCTGCGTGGGTTTTCCCGGGTGCTCCGGTTTTCTCCCACAGTCCAAATATGTGTGGGTTATTTGGATTGCAGGGCAATTTAGCATGGCCAGTGTCCAGGGATGTGTGCGTTAAGTGGATTAGCCATGGGAATTGCAGGGTTATAGGGATGAGTCTGGGTGGGATGCTCTTCAGAGGGTCGTTGTGGACTTGTTGGGCTGAATGACCTGTTTCCTGTGAGGATTCTATGGATTAGGCAAACAATTTCATTCAATTAATTTTTTTTTTTTTTTTTAAAAAAAAAAAGAAAAAAAGTGCGCTGTTACAACTTCCTTACTTTTCCTGATGACTGATGTCAGGTTAACTGGTAGGTAGTTCCATTTGCTGTTCATTTCTCAAGAAATGATTTTAGATTTGTCACCTCCCAACCTAGTGCAATCATTCTCACATCTAGGAAACTTTTCAAGTTCACAACCTTTGCATCCACAGTCTCTTTTAGAATCCTACTTTGTCTGCCATCACACTTTGCCACTTCTTTTCCTTCACCATAAATTAAAGTTCCTTCCTCTCATTGGACTCAATTTTCAAATATTTCTGGGCTAATTTTTGTGTCAGCAACTTTAAAAGTTTCTTATTTTAATCAAATACTACACTAAATTTTTTTGTTTAACTATTGTTTTCTTTATTCTTTCACTGGATGTGATTTCCACTAACAATGTGAGCATTTTGTTGCCCATCCCTAATTGCCCTTGAACGGAACATCTTGCAAGGCCAGTTAAAAATAAAACTCATTGGTGCTCCTCTGGAGTCACCCATTGGCCAGACCAGGGAATGATGGCAGCTTTCCCTCTCTATAGAGCATTAGGGAATCAGATAGATTTTTTTGACAGATCACTTGGTAGCCCTATGGTCGGAATTACCAAGAATAGCTTGAAATTCCAGATTAATGTATTAGTTGAATTCAAATTCCATCAGCAGTATGTAGCACAGCTACAGTAAAAATGTTTAAAAGTACCCAAGATGAATCAGTCAAGATTCCCATTTCTAAGCATTTTTGTGAAGTAACATTCTGATGTAGAGTTTCTGTACATTTAGCAACAAAGCTCTCTATCTTCATGCAAAGTCTGTTATTTGATAATGACTATGAACAGCAACCCTGACAATGCAGTGATTTTATCCCGCTAAGCTCCAGTCCAGATTTGGTCCTTGGTCTGTAGTCAGTGAGTGGATCTCCATCAGTGTATATCCGTTCCCTCAGAGCCATTCATACACATTCATGAGTGTGTAAGGGTGAAGGAATAAAAAAGTCAGAGCCCTGTTGGAATTTACCCCAGCATGAAAATGCACATCTATTAATGTTAAGTGTGGACAGAACCAAGTTATGTTGTGTACTGGTTAAATAAGCAGTCAAAATTTGCATCAGGACTAGTCAATGTATCGCTGAAAGAGAAAAATGCTATTGAAGCTTTTTGACTTGCGTTACCAAAATTGCCATTGTATTTGTTGTCGAGATGTCAGTACCTGTAAAACTGTTATAACATACAAAGATAAATGAAGAATGTTTTGAGCTTTGTGCACCAACACCACTGATGATTTTTCTCCAACCCTGGGAAAGCATATGCAACCTTTCTATGAGAACTGAGAGGTTTGAATGGTGACGTTCTTTCAAAACAAGGGGTACAAAATCGAAAATTTCTACTGAGCATGCATACCCACCTGATATTTCCAAACCAAGAGTTAAATGTGAACTGCATTGGGTGCCATGGATAACCTGGCTTGATATGAAATGTAAGTTCAAATTTTGACAGTGCATCATAACTTGAGAAAAGACACTTGACACTGCAAAGAAAAACAAATCATATATAGTGAGACCAGTCAACCTGTCTTTATATTGAATTGTGACCAACTTATTAACAGTAACCTCACATGTCAGGGTGTATTTAAGGAAGCAAATTGAAAACAGAGTTCATAATAAATTTCAATTTATAATCACCTCGCTAGTGCAATGAACATTCCAAGATGCTTTGCACAGCATTAAAAAACAAGTTTGACAGCTACATAAGGAAGTATTAGGTGCATTGGAATAGGTGAGACTACAGGCAATAAAAACATAAATGTAGGTTTCAGCAGTTAAAATGACATGGGGCAAAGTTAGGTAGTGTTATACAGGTTGGTTGGACAGCTGGTTTGTGATGCAGTGTTAAACTAGAGCAAGCTCAATCCTGCACCGGCTGAGATTACCATGAAGGCCCTGCTTTCTCAACCTCTTCCCTCACCTTAGGTGTGGTGACTCTCAGGTTAAACCAGCACCAGTTGGCTCTCTCTAATGAGAGAGTAGCCCTATAGTCCTCTGGCAACTTTACTTGTATACAAGACACACAAGAATGGACATACTAGGCTTTTGTTGTCAATTACCCATTAAGTTTTCAAGTACTTCTCCTAGCAATTACTTATCTCCGAGATATTGCTTTTGCTCTAAAGAGTTAGTCATGGAGGGTGACAATTTAGAAACTTACGTGCGCAAGTCACTACACAATTTGGGAATACTGACCCTGCTCTACAAAGAAAGTCAAAGACTGCGCATGCGAAGTAATCACATTAAATTCTTGAATGGCGGGTGTAAGTGCAATGCCTGATCACTTTAGAAAGGGCGGGTGAAGCTTCAAAATCTGAACTCTCATGCACCCACTTCTGACTGCATAATTACAAGCTGTATGATACCACTACACTTACTCCATGTTTTGAATCTGTGTCTTCAGAATGTCAAATTTTGATCCCCAGTTCAGCAAATATTCCAGCTCATCACCAAGCAACCGACCTCGACTCACCACTAACGAAACATCAAGCAAGAGCTAGAGAAGCAAACAGAGAATCAAGATGTTATCAAATCAGATAGGAGCATGGAAGCCTTTCAATCTACCAGAGTGCAACATCCCTTACAGGCTGGAAAAAGTCAGAAGCTGTGTACTGTGATCCAATAATCCAACAGTAACTCTGCAGATTCTAATTTTCACCCAGTATAAGGTATTAAACTGTGATTCAGACAGCTGTCACAGAAGAATACTGAAAAACAATATGAAACAGGGGAGGACAGTTCTAAAGGGGGTGCATGAGTAGAGGGACCCGAGTATATAAGCACATAGATCATCGAAGGCAGGACAGGTGGAAAGAGCAGTTAAAGCATATAGCGTTCTCAGCATCATTACCTGGAGCATGGAATACAAGAGCGGGGAGTGGGATGTTGAACTTGTACAAGAGACTTGTTTAGACCTCAGCTGGAGTATTGTGCATAATTCGGAGCACCACATTATAGGAAGGAGGAGAACATTTTGGATAAAGTATAGAAGCGATTTACAAGAATGGTTCTAGGAATGAGAAATTTCAATCCTGTGAATAGATTGGGGAGATTGGGACTGTTTTCCTTGGTGAGGAGGTGGTTAAGTGGAGATCTCATTGAAGTTTAAAAATCATGAGGGGCTGGACAGAGTAGATAGAAGGAAACTGTTCTCACTTGGTGAAAGGAACAAGGAGAGGATATAGATTTGAAGTGATATGCAAAAGAAACAGGGTGATAAGAAAAGAAAAAATTCACGTAGTCAGTAGCTAGGGAAGGGAATGCACTGCCTTGAAATGTGGCGGACAGGTTCAATTGAGGCATTCAAGAGGACATGAAGAATATTTGATATACAAATGATTTCTAGGGATATGTGCAATAGGCAGGAGATGGGCAGTAGGTAATAGAACAAGTACAAGTATGTGGCCAAATGGTCTCCTTCAGCACCTTCAGAGATAGTAAGAACTGCCGATGCTTGAGTCAGAGATAACACAGTGTGGAGCAATCATAATTAGGTGCTGGAGGAGCACAGCAGGCCAGACAGCATCAGAGGAGCAGGAAAGTTGATGTTTCGGGTCAGGACCCTTCAGAATGACCCATTTCTGAAGAAGGGTCCTGACCCGAAACGTCAACTTTCCTGCTGCTCTGACGCTGCCTGGCCTGCTATGCTCCTCCAGCTCCACACTGTTGTCATCTCCTTCAGCACCTAATTGTGACTGTGTATTGCTGGTTAAGGTTTTTTAAAACAATGCCTCATTCAGATTTTTTCTTCTCCCAGCTCCCTTGATTAAAAAATATAACAAGCAAGACTTGATATGTAAATTACAGTTCAAATCAAGATCATTGATTAACCAAGAAATTAAAGTTGAAGAATCTCATCTTAATTTGAACAATATTTATTCATAGAATAATTATTCTATCATGACTGTCAACTTCCCAAAAGTGCTATCCACTAAGTTGTATTCCTACATGTTCTTTCTCCATCTATTTCAGGAAAAAATAATTATTTACTTGACTTAGAGTCACATTATGATGCAGTTTCTGCCAAATAACCACCCTTTGGCAAGTACAACCAACAAACATAATTCCACAGCTTCTTGCTGCTGAATAAACAACGTAATATTAATGGTAGTGCCAAAAGCAGCTAATAAGCTATCAAAGAAAATCTATACAAATGCTCAAAACCCGAAATTAAAAACAGAAAGCACCGGGAGAAACAGTGGGGAGACAAACAGAGTTAATAGTGCACAACAAAAACAACCTTTTGTTAAAATTGAAATTTAGAAATGTATTTTATAACAAGCTATTACAAAGTCAGGGAAAATGAAATTGTGGAAAGGAAAAAATGAAGACAGAAGTCTGAAGGTAGGGTTGATTACAAGATTGAAAGGAATGATCCAGCCAGATTCATACCATGGGGAGCTGCAATTCATTGGTGTATACATCTTGCCAACTGCCTTGACTCTTCCAGTATGTCATAATTAATTCATGAACAAGCTTTGAATGCAACGGAGCCTCATCCTCTGAAAAATAGGACAAAACTAAATTGCGTGTTTTTGAATAGCAATTCAGTATGTTTAAACAGAAGAACACTTTCAGTGCAGGTTTGACAGGAAATAGTATTTACCTTCAACACTGAGATCAATATGAATGAGAACTGAATTAACTTACTTAATTATTTCCTTTCAGAAAGCCACAGATAACAGTAGTTACTATTACAAAGCAGAATTTAAGTGTTTAATCATAGAATCATAGTCAGACTCACACAACACAGAACAGGCCTTTTAGAACATCAAATCTGCACCGATCTATTAACACCACATGCCAGCACTTGGTCCATAGCTTTGAATATAATGATGACACTTTAACTGCTCATCCACAATCTTTTTAAAGGCTGTGATTTTTCCCACCTCTATTGCCCTCCTAGGCAGAGCATTCCACATTCCACCACCCTCTGGGTGAAAAAAAATTCCTCACATCTCCTCTAATCTAACTGTCTGTCACCGTAAAATTATGACCCTCATTGTGACCCTTCAGCTAAGGGGAACATTTGCTTCCTATCCACACCCTTCAACCTTCTCTTCGCTAAAAAAAACAACCCAAGCCTATCCAGCCTCTCTTCATAGCCGAAATGCTCCAACCTAGGCAACATCCTGGTGAATTTCCTCTGCACCCCCAGCCAGTGCAATTAAATTCATAACTGAACACTACTCCAGTTTTGGCCTAACCAAAATTTTGTATAGTACAGTTCAAACATATCCTCCCTGCTCTTATAAATCCATGCCAAGACTGATAAAGGCAAATATCCCAAATGCCTTCTTAACCACCCTAGTAATCCATTTTGCTGCCTTTGGGGAATGGTGAACAAGCGCCCCAAGATCGCTCAGTTGCTCAAAGCTTCCTAGTGTCCTGCTATTCATTGAGTACTCACTTGTATTGTTACTTCTTCCAAGTGCACCATCTCTCTTTTCAGGGTTAAATTCCATCTATCAAACATACAGCCCTGAACTAGCAACGAGTCGACATCATGTTTATGTTCCTCTTGGTCTATCCTCATCAGCATAAGCTACTGTTCATTTCTGTCACATGTGCTTTTCCATCTTCTCAACTCCGTTGTTCTAATCTTTTCAACTACATATTGTCTAAATGAGTTAGTTTCACCTTAAGCCACTCTTTGGTAAACAGTTTCTTCTGAGTTATTGATTACCATATATTTATGGCTCCTAGTTTTTGTCTTTCCCCACAACTAGAAACACATTCCATACTGACTGTAACAATCTTTTATCATTGTTAAGACATTATCATGTCATCCCTCAACTTCCACTTTTCTTATTTGCAAAATCTATCTTGCATTAACAATAAGAAGATATAAATCACTTCAGTAGGGTTTTAGAACCAAAAGATCTTATTTCAGTACAGCTATTTTTTTTAAAAATTCACTCATAGGACACAGGCACACTGGCTGGGCCAGCATTTATTATCCTAGTTGCCAGTGAGGTGGTGGTGGAGAGCTGCCTTCTTGAACCACTGCAGTCTGTAATGGTGTGTAGGTAGACCCACAATGCCATTTGGGATGGAGGTCCAGAATCTCAGCAACCCTGAAGGACTCAGGTTAAAATTCTACGTCTGGATGGTGAGTGGCATGGAGGGGAACTTGCAGGTAGTGATGTTCCCATGTATTTACTTCCCTTGTCCTAATTGATGGTAGTGGTCATGTGTTTGGAAGGTGCTGCCCAAGGAGTCTTGGTGAATTTCTGTAGTAGATCTTGTAGATGACGTTCACTGCTGCTAATGAGCATTGGTGGTGGAAGGAATGAATGTTTGTGGATGTGGTGCCAATCACATGGTTGTTTTGTCCTGAATGGTGACACATTCTTAATTTGTCATTCAAGCTGCAGTCAGCCACGCAAGTGAGGAGTGTTCCTAACTTATGCCTTGTAGATGATGGGCAGGGTCTGGGAAGTCAGAAGGGGAGATATTTGCTACAAGATTTCTAGCTTCTGACATGCTCTTCAAGCCACATTATTTATATGGCTAGTCCCATTTAATTTCTGGTTGATGATAACGCCCACTGGGAGATTCTGTGAAGGTACTTCAAGACTGATGACAGAATTCCCACACACAAATCACTTTACAATCTAGCCACTCGCTTTCCTGTGCTTTAAGTAACCATCAGTCCTTTGTCTGAAGGCAATCTAGGCTGCTCAGACCAATCATCTATAACAAACTAATTTTAAAAAAACTGACAATTAAACTGGTTATCCCTTTAACTGGAGGCACGGGAACCAATTTAAATTTATTCATATACCGGTCAATTTATAGGAAGTATTTAAAGCAAAATATCAGTGGGAAGCTCATTTGAGGTTCACTCTATAACACTAACTTACCATCCAAAGCAGATACAAGATTAATATCTAGGATTTTCTTACACTTCGCACCAGGAGAAAGATCAGCCGCTAGGTATAAAAAGAAACATCAATAAATTAGTTTAGAGCCAACAGGCCTGAAAACAACAGTTAATTAAACAATCATTAATTCTTAATAGCCCACTGAAAACTATTATTGAAAGAAATAACAGTAGGAAAAGGCCATTCAGCACCCTGGGCTATCCGCCATTCAATTGGATCAGGCATGGACTGTGGCCTGAACTCCACTTTACATCTCAACTCCTCATAACCCTGTGCTCTCTGGTAGATCAAAATCTTTCCTAACTTAGCCTCAACATATACAATGATCCAGCCTCCACAGCTCTTTATTGAGGAGACTCTGTAAAGAAAACGGCCCTCTGAATGAAGGAACTCCTACTTTATTAACAGGGATAATCTAGAAAATTACAGGCTGGTTAAGTCTTGCAGTGGTTGGAAGATTATTGGAGAAAATTCTTAGAAAAGGATTTACTGACATTTGGAAAAATACGGACTTATTAGCAACAGCAGGCAGCATGGATCTGTACAGGGGAGGTCGTGTCTCACAAACCTGATTTGAGTTTTTTGAGGAAGTGACAAAGATATTGATGAGGGCAGGGTGGTGGATGTTGTCTACCTGGACTTTAGCAAGACCTTTAACTAAGTCCCTCATGGCACAGGCGAATTCACATGGAATCCGTGGCAAGCTGGTAAGATATACAAAGAACTGGTTTGGTCATAGAAGACAGTGAGTAGTGGCGGAAGGCTATTTTTCTGAATGGAGATCAGTGACCTGTGGTGTTCTGTAGGAATCAGTGCTGGGACCCTTGTTTGTTACATCTGTATTTAAAAAATGATTTGGCATAAAATGGTCTGATTAGTAAGTTTGCGGATGACAAATATTGGGGGAGCTACAGATAGTGAGGAGGACTGCCAGAGGATATAGCAGGATATAAATACGCTAGAGACTTGGGCAGAGAAATGGCAGATGGAATTTAATCTGGACAAATGCAAGACGATGCAGTCTGGAAATTCTAATGCGGGAGGGAACTATACAGTAGATGGCACACTTAGAAGAACCAAAGAACCCTTAGAAGCATTAAAGTACAAGCATGTAGGTGTACAGGTCCAGTTCCCTTAAAGTGGCAATACAAGTGAATAAGGTGGTCAAGGCGGCATAGGGCATGCTTGCCTTCCATCTGGCAGGTATAAAAATGAGCAAGTCATGTTGCAGCTATCCAGAACTTTAGTTAGGCCACATTTGGAACAGTGTGTACAGTCACACTACCGCAAGGATGTGGAGGCTTTGCAGAGAGTACAGCAAAGATTTACAAGGAGGTTGCCTGGTTTGGAGGAGATTGGACAAACTTGGGTTGTTTTCACTTGAACAACAAAGGCTGAAGGGAGAACTGATTGACGTTTACAAAATTATGGATATTTGGAGTCTTTCTCCCAGGGTAGAAATATTGATTACGAGGAGTGCGTTTGGAATGTGCTGCCTGAGGTGGTGGTAGAAACAGATACAATAGTAACATTTAAAGAGGCAGCTTGACAGATACACAAATTTGCAGAGAATACAGGGGTACAGACCGCATAGAGGCGAAAAGGTTTCAGTGCAGGCTTGGTGGGCCAAAGGGCTTGCTCCCGTGCTTCACTGTGCTTTGTTCTTTCAGTGGGAGACTACTTATTTTGAAACTGTGCCCCTGTAGGGCTAGGTTCCTTCATGAGGGAAAACATCCTCTTAGCATCCTTTCCATTGACAGTGTATTTGGATTCACACAGGAGCAGAATTAAGATTTTCATCAATATTTTTAATAATTATCAACAGTCAAATTTAAAGCTATAACACACAAGATAAGCACTGATTTCCTAGACAACACAATATTCATATTAATACAAAAGCCATAGGCATCCAGTAGCAACAAAGTTCCCTACCCTGCTTCCCACCCCTGAAGTAAGTGATATACAATTCTATGTAAAAGAAACCATCACGCTAAATCCAGCTCGAAGAATTGGTCATGGGGTGGGGGGTAGGGGGGGGTCACATTTAATGCATTTCCATCACATTCACAAAACTTGGATATTTCAATTTGATAGTTACTATCCTTTTTATGCATCTCAGGTTTAAACTTGACAATTGTCATCATTTTTATTGCAATAGCATCCCCTATATAGTAGTTCCTGGACATATGCAGCCTGAAAACACATCCGTTTGCAAAATTATTATTCATCTCAGTTATTTCAAGATTTCCTGGTTCATGGTGAGCTGAGTGTTCCTTTGATAAACAGGTTGAATACTGTTCTTTCTTCTTGACTTGTAGCTGATCTCCACAGCAATGTTACAGCCTACCCATTCTCCCCAAAACTCCTATTGCAGTCTCCTGGTCTTAGAATTACAGAAGTCTTTTGCTGGCTTTGCAAATGGGCATCATTACCTGGTAACAATCTCTTGCTTTTCCCCCATACCCTTATAAATTACTTCTATTCAAATAATTTATCCAATGCCCTTTTGAATGCCTCATGAACCTGCCTCCATTATACTTCCAGGTTTGTATTCTAACTACTCAGAGAAAATGGTTGTGTTTTCAAAGAGAATGCCAAATTTGATGAGGAACAGGGAAGCTACTTATGATACGAAGACAAGCTGCAAACTTGCAATATTGGGGATGAATGAATCTAAAAAAATCATCAACAATGTCAAATCATAACTTGAAGAACAGGAAAAACTATAAGAATTCAACTTCAAGATTCTTCAGTAGCAGAACTCTGAAGTACACCATTGCATCAGGATCGAACCCTGGATTCGAGAGACGTGCATTCTTGGTTGGAATTTTGCTACAATTCCACCATTAAATTGGGTAATAGCCAAGTTGCGTTGTGAAGTTTAACATGCTTCCTTGAAGGGTTTTATTTTGATTGTTATGTGCAAAGTTTAAATTGTCTAACAAATTTCTTAATAAGTAGCTGAATTAAAGGTGCTTTATTTACTGCTCTCTCTGTCCTCCACCTTCAATGATCTATAACTTGATCCCTCTGCTCCTGCACCCCCTTTCGGATTGTACTCTCTCTTTTATAGTGTAGTTTAATGTTCGTCCTACTAAAATGCATCATCTCTCACTTCATCTGCCACCTATCATCCTACTCTACCAACTTGTCTACATCTTTTTGAAGTTCTACATTGTCCAACCCACAAGTTTATAATTCTTCCAAGTTTCATGTCTTCTGCAAACATTACAATTGTTCCCAGCACACCAACATCTACATGATTAACAAAGATTATAAGAAGTAAGTGTCTTATTATCAGCTTCTGGGGAACACCATTGCAAACCCCCCTTTAGCACTATAAGAATTTCATTAATTATTACTCTTTTTCCTATCACTGAGCCAAAGTTTAGCACTACTGACCATTTTATTCAATGACCTAAAACCTTCCTCAAAAGTCTGCGTGGCACCATATCAAACACCTTGTGGAACTCCACATAAATCACATTAACATTACCATGATTGAGCTATTGTGATACCTCTTCAAAAACTGCAAGTTTGTTAAACATGACTTCCCCTTTAGAAATCCCTGCTGACTCTCAACCCACCTTTTCCCACGTGATGACTAATTCTATCCCAAAATTGTGTCTTGAAGTTTCTCCACCACTGAAGAATGACTGATCTGTCACCGCAATCTTTCTTCAAGGATGCCTTGTAGTCTTCTGGCAACTTTGTAAGATAGGGAAGGCTGAAATATTATGGCTAGTGATCCTGTATTCCCCACTCACTTCCTTCACAATTCTTGGATGAATCTTATCTGGTCAAAGTGCCTTGTCAACCTTAAGTATCAACAGTCTATCCAAGACTTCTTCCTTATGAGTTTGAACCTTCTAGCAAGAGTTTCATCCTCTTTCACAATGGCCTGGGTAGCATCTCCCCCTTTGAGAAAGAAGGATGCAAAATATTCATTTAACACCTTAGCAATTCCCATGCCTCCAGATGTAAACCCCTTTTATGGTCCCCAATGGGCCTTACTCTTCCTTTCACCACTCTTTTATTACTTAGCTATCTGTCAAAGTCTTTGGGCCATGTTTTTATGCTGGTTGCCAGTTTTTCCTCAATTCCTCTTTGGTTCTCTTATTTCAGTTTAGAGGGGTTTAAATAAGTCTACAGAGGCTGGTATCCTGTTACCAAGTCAGTTTTTATTTACACAGAACAAGTTCTTGACTATAGTACTGCTTCGTTCACAGAGTCAGACACCAGACTGTCAGTATCCCTGACACTCAACTTTTCATGTCAGCTAGGGCTGTTAATCTGGTCCAATCAAGGAAATTATTGAGATCTAGCTGGTTGACCTCATTACAATCACTATGTAAACCTTCTGCCTTCATCTTGGTTGTCAATTTTATCTTCTACATCACACCTGTCACAAGCACACTACTTCTCCACCTTAGTTTCTATCTCCTTTTGTCATCCAGAGAGCTCTGGACTTGTTTGTCTTACCTTTCCTATTTGAGGGAATAAATGTAGACTGTAATTGAACCATGTCCTCTTTGAACATAGTCCATTATTTAGTTACTGTTTATCCCACCAACCTCTCGTTCTTGTCAATTCTGGTCAGTTCTGTTTTTGCCCCATTGAAGTCAGCACTTGTCAATTGATTTTTATTACTCTGAATTGATGGTCATCATTCTCCATCATCATCCTGAACCTTGCAATACAACAATCACAATCTCGTAAACATTCATCCATTGACACTGACCCATTTAGCCCACTCATTTCCAAGAATCAGGTCCAACAGTACACCCTCGTCACCCCCCAGCCTCCAATGCAGCTGTCCCAACTCGAATTCAACACCTTACAGCATTTCCAGCTCCATCCTGAAAACCCTTTGCAACTTCTCCATCTCCCCACAAACCCCCACAACCTCCGTCTCTCTACAACAGTAGAAATGCTAGGATCAATGTATCATTATTTCTAGCGTCCAGGTGAATGCCAGGTGATGCATCTGGTTTAATTCCATTTTAATTTTTTTTAGCACTTTCATACAACTGATAGCCTTGCTAGGTCACCACAGAGGGTGTAGGAGGGTCTGGAGTCACAAGCAAGCCAGGCAGGTATATTTCCTTGCTGAAAATTACATTAATGAACAGCTGGGCTTTTACAATAGTAAGCAATAGTTTCATTGGAATTAGTGTTAAATGCTATTAATAAATCTAGACTTCCATAATGGAATTTGAACCACTGCTTCTGGGCTTCTGGATTGTTGGTCCAGTGACATTAACTCTATTCCACAGCTTCCCCCTAGGTATTTTCAATCATGTTAGGAACTCAGCTTTCTGAACTTGCGTCGTGTGTGTGTTGTACAAAACAACAGTGAAGTACAATATTGCTGTTATATGCCCGCAATATCGTAATACTATATGAAGGTGATGAAATTAATCATGCAGCCATGTATCTGACACATTAATTCATCAAATTGAACCTCAATAATTACTGCTGCACTGGATAGAAACATATTTATATTTCTAGGCAATTAATTAGCACCCTTACACACAGGTTCACCAAACGTCAAAGTGAGCTCCAGGGAGTCATACAGAAATTTATAAACAGCCTGTTCATCCTGGCTGATGCATAACGTCCATTCTAACAGCCTGCAAAGAGAAAATTCCAATAAGACAATTAGAATAAACAATGAAAAGTTCAAGTTAGACATTCCAAACACCATTTTGGGTAGTATAGCAACAGTAAGAGAACAGATCCTCAGCTGTGCAAGACACTGTGCACAGTGTTTCAGATCAAGTTGAAATAAATGCCTTCTACTGTCCCGTCAGGGAGATGAAATGGTATATTTCTGTTACTTGTTGAAAAATTTGAATTAGTCAAAACATGATAACATGCTGATCTGGAAAATTAATTATTTCAATTATTTGTAATATATATGTTTCTCCCCCCTCCTGCCTAAGTGAATTAGCCCCTTATGTTTATTTAAGCATTGTATCAAGAATAATTACAAGATTCAATTCTGTACCAACGGTTCCACCCTCTCCCTCACACCCTCTCAACCCATCTAAATTGACCTCCATAAGAACAGATGGTGATCAGTCACAACTATTAATCTATACCACTAGCAGCCACATGTATAGGCCCCTGTGCCTCATATCAATGGGTTGCTTTCCGTTGTCTTGGTTTTTCTTCATTATGGACCTTTTAACTTTAATTTGCTCCCCATTTTTGTTATGACTTCACTGAAGCCACACAAGCATCTGGAGGCAGTGAGATTACCAAGTACATACATTCTTCAGACAATTGTTATTTTTAAATCAAAGAAGCTGAACGGTGCCATTGTTTTGTTAAAAGTATGATATAGTCCAGCTGAGTGTGACTGGAAATTCCAACTGAGCAGAAATAGGGAAAAGGCATAGCCATTCATTTTAAAAGGATTCCATTTATGTTTTTAACAGAAGTTTTGTATAAAAATTGTTTCAGTTGATATTAATGATGACTATTACTGCATTATGTTCATTACCAATAAGAGAATCTTTCGATACAAAATAGAAGAGTGTACATTTATTGAAAGGGAGAAGAGGGTTAAGTACACTCCATTATGTCTAAACTCTGTGATAGTTGACTTAGAGATATTTATATTGCTGTCATTAATATAGTGATTATTTTCATTATCAGCATTCTCATAAAAGATTTCTTTATTTATCTGGTGCTTTTTGAACTTCACACTTTTTTTCAACCAAGAAATATTTTTATATATGGGCAGTTATTGGCATCAATGCCACCAATAACATCTTTCAGAAATTGCAGGTATATTAATGCATTACACAGGCTGCAATAGATACAACTTCAACAGGAATTCAGATTTTCAAAGGAATGAGACAAAATAGTAATCAGGCTGGTTATTTGATAACAAAGCTTGATACCGAGAGAAAAGAATTGGTGAATCAAGGGTTACTTTTGCACTAACTGGTTTTGTAGAAGTAATTTTTATTTTAAAATGTGGAAATGCCAAATTTGCAAAACAACCAACCAGTTACAGAGAACAGTGTTTCTTCACATGTTCATTGGTTCTTCTTTCAAATTTGACATTTCCACATTTTTCAATCACTGTCCATCTTGGATACAAAAGGCTTTTCACTGCCAAATAATCTCTCTGTGAAAGGCTGAAATCAGGGTAGTACAGATGGCTTTGACAAGGAAAGAAGAGAGGGAGAGTTCAATTGGCCATTATACCACATCAAGCAGTGTCCAGTTGTATAATACAACACCTTCCCTATCATAAAGAAGCTAATGAAGGTTGGAAGAACAGAAACTGGGTAAAACAATCAAAATATTATAATCTAAATTATACCAGATTAGAAGAAAGATTTCAGATTTGAGGCGAGAAGTAATCAGTAAGGCATACCAACATCTTTTAAACTGATGTTTAAATGCAAACAGATATTGCCTTCTGCTTAACAAAACCATCATTGAAGTGGTGAGGACTACACTTGTAATAACAATACAAATCTAAAGCTAGTTATTCCTTTTAAGTTTTGTACTGCAGAATCCAGGCACTGAATTAAAGATCACCCCTCTATACCTCATTTGAAAATTTTTGCAAGTTACTTTCCCCTTCTATAGCAAGGCAGCAAGAAGATCAGTTTAAGATTAGTCAGATTCCCAGCTACAGGAAAGTGTACCTTGAAGAACTTTTACTAGGGAGGAAACCATCAGTGTGTTGTAGTGCCAGACAGAAATACAGGTTTTTTTTTCCTCCACTTAGAACATACAGTTAGGCACAGTTCTCATTTTATGAAAATCAGCTTCTGATAGCCACCTATCTTGGATCTAGTAGTAGGTAATGAGGGAGGTTTACTAAATGACCGAGTAAAAGACCTGTTAGGAAGTAGTGATCATAACATAGTGAATTCAATATTTGGTTTGAGAGAGTGAAAAACTTATGTTGGAAACAACTGTATTTAAAGAGAATTACAAATGAATTGAGAATGGATTAGCTAAAAAGTGAACTGGGTAGGAATGACAGTAAGCAAGCAGTAACAGACATTTATGAATTCATGACTCTCAGCAAAAATACATCTCAGTAAAGAGGAAAGATTCTAAGAGAGTGATAAACCAACAATGGCTAACCAAGGAAGTCAATGAGAATATTCAAGTTGAAAGATAAAGCATATAAAAAGGAGGCCAAAGTCAGTGACAGCCTCTGAACACTGGGATAAATTCACAGTTCAGCAAAGGAAGACTAAAAAGATTATAGGAGGGCAAATTAGCAAGGAATAAAGAAACTGACAATAACAGCTTCTTTAAATATAGAAAAAAGAAGGCCCCTTAGAAAATCAATCTGGGAGATAGCTTTGAGACACAAGGAAATGCAGAGGAGTTAAGCAGATGAGGCTGTTGACTTGCTCACTGAGCTGGCTTGTTCTCATTCAGACGTTTCATCACCATGCTAAGCAACATCATCAGTGGAGCCTCCCATGAAGCCTTGTTATTCTACTCCACTTGGAATTTATATTGTTTAGTCCATTATGGTGAGTAGTGCCATTTCCAGTTTTGATCTGTGTAAGTTTGTATATGGTTTCCATATGCACTGATGGTTTGCATTCTAGGATCCTAAAAGAGGTAGCTAGAGATAATGGGTGCATTGATTGTAATTTTCCAAAAATCCTTGGTTTCTGGAGAAGTCCTAGAGGATTGGAAAACTGCCAATGTGACACCTCTATTCAAAAAGGGAGGGCAAAGAAAGGTAACTGTAGGCCTATAAGACCAACATCTATTGTTGGAAAAGTATTGGAATCAATTATTAAGAAAGTAATGGCAAAACTTTTGGAAAATAACACAATCTAATGAGGTTGAGTAAGAATTACTTCATGAAAGGGAAATTATGTCTGACTAATTTATTGAAGCTTTTTGAGGACATCTCAACCAAATGGATAGAGGAGAACTAGTAGATGTGTGGTATCTGCACTTCCAGAAGGTATTGAACAAAGTACCGCACAAAAAATTAAGTCATAAAAGCTCCACAACTCATCCCTCACACCCCCTCCCTGCAATAACAACCAAAACAGAATCCCCCTCGTCCTCATGTACCACCCCACCAACCTCCAGATCCAACGCATCATCCTCCGACACTTCCGCCATCTGCAATCCGACCCCACCACCAAAGACATTTTTCCCTCCCCACCCTTATCTGCTTTCCGGAGGGACCACTCTCTCCGTGACTCCCTCGTCCGCTCCACACTCCCCTCCAGCCCCACCACACCCGGCACTTTTCCCTGCAACCGCAGGAAGTGCTACACCTGCCCCCTCACCCCCATCCCAGGCCCAAAGAAGACTTTCCACATCAAGCAGATATTCACCTGCTCATCTGCTAATGTGATATACTACATCCGCTGTTCCCGTTGTGGCCTCCTCTACATCGGGGAAACTAAGCGGAGGCTTGGAGACCGCTTTGCAGAACACCTATGCTCGGTTTGCACTAAACAACTGCACCTCCCAGTCGCGAACCATTTCAACTCCCCCTCCCATTCCTCAGAAGACATGTCCATCCCGGGCCTCCTGCAGTGCCACAACAATGCCACCCAAAGGTTGCAGGAACAGCAACTCATATTCCGCTTGGGAACCCTGCAGCCCAACGGTATCAATGGGGACTTCACAAGCTTCAAAATCTCCCCTCCCCCCTACCGCATCCCAAAACCAGCCCAGCTCATCCCTGCCTCCCTAACCTGTCCTTTCTCCCACCTATCCCTCCTCCCACCTCAAGCCCCACCCCCATCTCCTACCTAATAACTTCATCCCGCCCCCTTGACCTGTCCGTGCTCCCTGGACTGATCTACCTCCTCCCTAACTCCCCACCTACACTCCCCTTTACTGGCTCCATCCCCGCCTTTTTGATCTGTCTGTCTCCTCTCCACCTATCTTCTCCTCTATCCACCTCCCCCTCTCTCCCTATTTATTTCAGAACCTCCTTCCCCTCCCCCATTTCTGAAGAAGGGTCTAGGCCCAAAACGTCAGCCTTCCTGCTCCTCTGATGCTACGTGGTCTGCTGTGTTCATCCAGCTCTACACCTTGTTAAGTCATAAAAGCTCACAGTATTGGAGGAAGTATATTGGCATGGGCAGAGAATTGTTTCATGGGCAGGAAACACTAAGAGGGGATAATGGCTCTTTGTCAGGTTGTCAGTGGGTTCCACAGGAATCATTGCTGGGGCCACAATTGTTTACACTATATAGATTAATAGATAGATTTGGAGGAAGTGAAGGTACCATTGCCAAACATTCGTAGACATAAATAGATGGAAAGGCACATTCTGAGAGGAATACAAATCAATTACAGAGGGAGATAATGATAGGTTAAGTAAGTAGGCAAGAAGCTGGCAACTGGAGCATAATGTGAGAAAATGTGAAGTTGTTTATTTTGGAAGGGAGAACAAAAGAATAGAATATTATTTAAATGGAGAAAAACTGCAGAAAGTTGCAACACAATGGGACTTGGGGTACTTGTACACAAAACTCAAACCTAGCACACAGGTGCACAAGCAATCAGGAAGGCTAAGGGAATGTTGGCCCTTATTTCAAAGGGTTTGGAGTATAACAGTAGGGAAGTCGTAAGAGTAGGGAAGTCAACTGTACATGGTGCTGATGATGCCATATCTGGAGTAGTGAGAAGTTTTGGTCCTGTCATTTAGGGAAAGGTATCATTTTATTGAAGAAGGCTCACTAGGATGATCCCTGGTACAGAAGGATTGCATTATGAGAAAAGGCTAAACAAATTTAGACTCTACCCACTGGAGTTTAGAAAAATGACAGGTGATCTCATTGAAACATCTAGAATTCTAGTTGTCATGATAAATGCTGAGAGGACGTTTCCCCTTATGGGAGGGTCTAGGATCAGAGGACATAGTCTCAGAATAGAGGAGCACCAATTTAATGATTTGAGGAGGAAGTTCTTCTCTCAAAGGGTTGAGTATCTTTGGAACTCCTTGCTAAAGAGAGCTGTGGGGACAGAGTCCTTGTGTATATTCAAGGCTGAGATAGACTCATTCTTGATCAGTAGAGTTACAGGAAAAGAGGAGGAAATAGACATGAGGAATGCTGGATCAGTCATGATTCTATTGAACTGAGGAGCAGGCCCAAGGGGCTGAACAGATTACTCCAGTTCTTATTTCTTATAGTATCAACTTGCTTTGGTACTCACTCCTGGAACTCTTCTTTCAGATCCCACACATTGGCAGCCTTTTCCTGTAGCTCTTTCGCATTAAGAACTTTGGCAAGTTGACTGAGAAGAAAAAAATATTAAATGGTGTTAATAAAAATGTTCAAGAATCAAAAGTACATTTTGGAATGAACATTAGTTGAATTACTGGATAAACCGAGCGGACAGGATGACAGATGAAGTATAATGTGGATGTGAGGGACTGTTCACTGTGGTGGTAAGAATAGAAAAGCTTTTTTTAATTAAAAAAAGTGTGAAACTTGTAAATGTTGATTTCAAAGACATGCTTGTGTGCGCATACATAAAAAACAAAGTCAGCATGCTAAGTACTCAAGCGATCAGAAAGGCAAATTGCATGTTGGTCTTGGTTGCAAGGGATTGGCGTATAGGAATAAAGACTGCATGCCACAATTGTACAAAGCTGTGGTAAGGCCAAATCTGGATAAGCTTGTGCAATTTTGGTCTCCATAATTAAGAAAGGGCATATTTCCATTGGAGCAAATGGTTCACTAGATTTGTCCCTGGAATGAGAAGCTGAGTAAATTGGGCCCATGATCTCTGGAGTTTAGAAGAATGAGAACAAATCTAATTGAAACCTACATGATTCTGAAGGGGATTCACAGGGTAGATGCTGAGATTTTGCTTTTTTGAAATTATTTCAAAAGGATTGTGACTCTTTGGAATCTACTCCAGAGTGTTGGAGATACTCCATTATAGAGTACATTAAAAGCTGGCACAGTCAGATTTTTGTTTTCTTGGAGAATCAAGGTTATTGGAAGCAGAGGAGCCAGTGGGAAAAATGGAGTTGGAACACAAGATCAGCCATGATTATCCTGAATGGCAGGTCGGCTCAACAGGCCATAGAGGCTACTCCTGCATTGATTTCTTAGGTCCTTAAGCATTCTTCAAGGTTGCATCATAGATCCAACCACCATCAGCCACCGCAACAATTACTTTCCTTCCTCTTCAAGTGCAGAAATGGGGGTGTTTGCTGATGACTGCACAATATTCAGTGCCATTAACAGTTCCTCAGCTAATCAAAGCGTATCCATGCTTGCAGCAGTACCTGCACAACATTCACAGTTGGATAGTAAGTGCCACTCATGCCACAAAATGCCTGGCAAATGCCATTTTCAACAAAATAAAATCTAACTAACTATCTATCTCCTGTCGACATTCAACAGCACTGAATCCCCTGAGCGATTAGTACTGAACAGAAACCTAGCTGGTTCAGCATATACATACAGTGGTTACTGTTATGAACCCAGCTGGTAGTAATACTGGACAAACCAGACTCTAAAGCAAAAACATGCTTTCTAGACCATAAGCTTTACTTTAACAATTTGGTTAGTGACTGAACATACTGATGTACTTCTAACAAAAGAACAAAGTTTATCACATAAAAAAGTTACGTACATGATAATTTGGAGGTTTAACTAGAAATAGCAAAAAGAAATACCCTTTACAGACAACTCCAGTGAAGTATCAGTCCGATATCTACTCTAATTTCTTACTCGATTGATGAGTTCACAAGTGTTTCCTTTTGGCAACTTTCTGCACATTCACCAAATATGATTCTCACCGTTATCCTTCCTCCACTAGATACAAAGACACAGACACACACACAGACTAACTCACTGAACGGTAATAACAGATCTGGGCGTTTTTCAAGCTGTGTCTGTAATTTCTCCATATCTGAATGCTAAATGATTAGCCCCCTTATCCTGAAACCGTTCCCGGATGTTTTAGATTTCCTGACCAGTGAAAGGAACATGGACTGCTAAAACAGCTGATGACTCTTCTAGATCTGATGGCCTGGAGACTGCCAAAACTAAGACTTCTGCTGGTATGGATTATCTTTTCTCTCTGAAATGAACTTACTATTGGCTGCTTCCCACCCCTCTCTATCTGGGTTATAAAACACTTCAGCAGTTATCTTACCAGGTAATTTACGCGGTCATCTAGCTCAAACCACATTTTTTGGAAATGTTGTTCTATCCATTTTCAAAACAAAAAAGAGTTTTTGACCCTTAAAAACAAGTCACCTTAATACAACTGAAAACTAAAAACTCATTTACTTTTATCTTATAATGCTCACCAATTTTCTAATGTTTGCCATCCTCTGTTAAACATCCCTCAAACCTATCCTTAAAAATTGTATTTCCTCTCCTACCCGTGCAATCATGCTGAGATTGACTCAAATTTGCACCTAAATCAGTGAATAATTACTTCGTTGAACATGAATTTTCAGTTAGAGTAGTGAAATTGAAACCGGTATCTGTTCAAAGGTGAAAAAAAAAATCACATCTCAGTGTGAGCAAATATTGATATGAAACAAACACTAAAGTTCAGACATATTTGTTTAAGCTAACATTCAAATGACTGCAACTTTGAGAAATATAGATCCAATCCTGAAAACTGAACTATGATAAAACAGTTGGGAAAACAGAGGTGCACCTTAAAAAGGGAGAAAAAAATACATAAACAAGCACAATGATATAAAACATACCTTTCCACTTCACAGCGTTCTGCCTGAAGTTTCTTCAGCTCTGTACAGAAAAGGGCTGAGTTATATAGACCAGTACTGAAAACTGTAACATTTAAATTATATGCTAGTTTTACACATTTTTATTCTTCAGGTTGTCAAACCCAAATTATTACTAGTGTTTTTAAGCAACCATATGCACCAGAACATAAATCTGAAAGAACAGTTACCAAAAAAAGCACTGGCAAATCTAGATAAAACGTGCAACTGACATCAACAATGATTAGTTGTAGAACTGTCCAAGACCAAACAACACTAACTTTGCACACACTCAAGATTACTGGTGTTTCTCAAGAAACCAAGTAAGAATAAGCCATTCATTCACATATTAAAGGACTAAAGGAAATTTTGTATCTCCAATGTGAAGATCTTCAGTGCTTGTGAATAATCCTTCTTTAGGTCACTTGTCAGCATCAAAACAGATGAAAACCTGATACAGCAGCCCATGTAAAGCTTCCTCTATAGCATATCAACATCATACCTTTAAACATAGCCTGAAAAGCATCTTTCCAAGTCACAATGTAATCTTTCTGCTTCCTACCTTGCATATCTTTCCGGTGTCGGAGTTCCAAATTAGTGCAATAATTGAGGATATTTTTGTTCTGTGAATCAGCAAATTTTCTTGTGGAATATTTCAACCAGTGGAGATTTAAATCCCATCAGTTTTAATGCCATTCATCTCCCCCCCCCGACCCGGAAATAGTTAGATGTCCGAGAATGTAGCTTTCCATCTATTCCCCAAAGAAAAGACTTCAAATGTATGGGTAGGAAGACGAGAGACAATCAATCAAAGTCATGAAGAGAAAGAGGGAGAACAGAGAGAAGTCAAATTAAAACTGAACTCTTATTTCCATATCCAGCATAATTTTTGTTTTTACACAAAGAGTGCGCTACACTTTTTTCAAATCTTAGCTTTAGAATTAAAAATAGAAATTCAGCCAACAATGGTTTGAAACCAAAAAGAGTTGTTTCCTAAAATAATGATGTTCAAGAGGCAAAAACATACACTGGAGGGTTTGCTTAAACCTGTCAGACCTGACTATGATTTTCATCCATGCTTCAGTTTTAAATGCCAACTTTCAAATATCAAATTCAGAACCACCTACACAAATATGATTTCTATAACCAAATAATAACGAAGATTTTGCCTTCATGCCTACTTCTTTTGCTATCCAGTTGCTTACCGTCACATCTGTCGTGCACAGTTTGCTTCAGCTGTGTAATACTGTCATCGTCAATGACATCAACACTGCACTCGCTCAGATGATCCAAATTTGCTACATTCAAGACAAGACACATTAATTTTTAAGGCAAAGAACTTAAGGAATTTAATATATTAAAAAAGATAACTGCAAATACAATGAAACATATGATAAACAAATATCCACGAAACGAGCATTTCCAATCCAGGATATTAGTACAATTTTCTCACATTTTTTATATCGGTTGATCATAAGTTTCCAAAGCTCTCTAGATTTAGGATGTGAGATATTGGATTAGAAAATTTCAATGTCACTATTTTAAGGAACAGTGGAGAACACAAAACTCCAGACTTCTCAGTTAAACATCAACTATGGGGAACTTATTGAAATCTATTACTGGGACAAAGTGGTTGAGCATTTGAACAACTATGAGCTAAAACCAAATATTAATGTGGACGAGTGTACAGTAGGTCACATTTGATTGAGTTAATACAAGAGAACCAGGTAGGTGGTGCAGGAGTCCCTCAAATACTTAGCTTGCTGATCAATATTTACGTTGGATACTGATGAGAGTTATGATTTCTCAGGGATCTGCAGCCAGACCCAACTCTATGGCACCAAGGTGACTCTTTTGTACAAGAAGAGAGGAATAAGAGAGGAAAAGCAATAGAGATTGAGGATTCCATAGTCATGAGATCAAGCAGACCTTGTCCGCAGCAGTAAATGTCAAAGATATCATGATGGCGGCAGAATATCCTTCTGGAAGAGAGAATAGCCAAGGTCATATTCCAGTGGTGCAAACAAAATGATATGAAGAGGAGTGAGATTTTAAAAAGCAGATTTTAGGGAGTTAGGAAGAAAATTAAAAAGCAGAAGCTGAAAAGCAGTAATCTCAGGATTACTCCCAGTGGTATGGGCTAGTGAGCATAGGAATAGGAGTTTTGATTAATTGAACATGTTACTGGAGAATTAGTGTGGAAGGAAGGGCATAAATTTTCTGTGGCATTGGGATGTGAATAAGCTGGACAGTTAAACTTGGACAAGAGTAAAATTTACAGGAAGATTTGCTAGTGTTATTTGGGAGAATTCGAACTACCTTGTCAGGGAATGGAAATCTGAGGGGTAACTCAAATTAGAAGGAAGTAAATTGAGTGACAGGAAGAAGATTGGCAGGTGAAATAAAGAGCATGCGAAACAAAGGAAAACATGAGTTTGACACAGTGTGGAGCTGGAGGAACACAGCAGGCCAGGCACAAGAGGAGCAGGAAAGCTGGCGTTTTGCGTCAGGATCCTTCTTCAGAAAAATTCAGATTTTCAGAAAGGATGCTTTCTATATTGTATCTATAAAAATTGGCAAGAGTCTTTGTGAAAATGCCAAATTTCCTCAGTCTTAAGGAAGTAGAGACGTTATTGTGCTTTCTTGACGTCACGTCAACATGGGTGGACCAGGACAGACTATTGGTGAATAGTACTCCCAGAAACTTGATGCTCTTGATCATCTCCACCTCAGCACCATTGATGCAGACAGGGGCATGCCCTCCACTCTGCTTCCTGACGTCAACGACCGGCTTGTTTATTTTGCTGATGTTGACAGAGAGATTCTTGTCTTTACATCATGCCGCTAAGTGCTCAATCTCTCAGCAAATTGGTAAGTGGAGTTGGGGTGGATTTTGGCCATACAGTCATAAGTGCATAGGGAGTATATTAGGGGACTGAGTATGCAGCCTTGCAGGGCACCAGCGTTGAGGATTATTGTGGAGGAGGTGTTGTCGCCTATCCTTACTGATTGTGGTCTATGGGGCAGGAAATGGAGGATCCAGTTACAGAGGTGGGAGCCAAGGCATAGGTCTCGGAGTGCAAAGAATGCATGTATAAAAAGCACAAGATAGTTTTAAAGTTGCAGCAATACGTTGGTAAATATGGTTGGGCAGCTTACATCGAGCCAAGGTTACCAGGCAACGACGGATTGTTTTGGAAACCGGATTTGATTTTCAGGAAAGATCAATTGATAGCAGTGACAGATGTGACTGCCCAGTTCGAGGATAAGAAGGCAGCACTAGAAAGAAAGCACTGGTTGAGAGAGCGTGCAAATATAAACACAGGAACTGACTGCCAGCCCTGAGCCAGTACATTTTGGATTTGTCATGGCAGTATGAAGAAAATGAAGCTGAACAACTCCCTAATAAGGTTTCTAGGAATCCAGAGATACAAGTCCTTTGCTCAGGATATGTCAAGACTGACTATCTTCTTGACACTTGAATTTCTAATGAATATTTAGCGACAAATGAAGGTGGTCTACCTAGTCCATTCCAAGACAGTGAATGATAGTATAACATTTGAGGATATTAGATGGTGGTGTCGGCTTATGGAATAATGTTAAAAAGGCAAAAGGTTAAGGGCACTCTACCTGAAAGCATGCAGCATTTGCAACATGCTGGAGGACTTGAAGGCACAGATTTAATTGCTATTTCAGAAACATGGAGACTAGGAACCGAATATTCAAGAATATTAGACATTTATGTAGCACAGGCAAAAGCAAGATGGAGGTGAAATGGGATCATGTATTAGTAGGAAAACATCTCAGAAATGGAAGAACAAAAGGTGTGGAATACATTTGTGTGGAATTAAGAAACAGCAAGGAGCAAACATTGATAGGCATTGTTCTTTGGTTATAAGCAGTATATAGAATACGTTGTTGATAATGCAGTAATCACAGATGGCTTCAATCTGAATGTAGACTAGGGCAATGTAATTGGATGACAGGACTGTCCTATAAAGAGAGATTGGGCAAACAAGGCCTGAATTCTCTTGAGTTACAAAGAATGAGAAGTGATTGCATTAAATCCTCCACCATGCTTAAAAGGAATAGACAGGTTAGATGCAGGTAAAATATATATTTTCTCTGGTTGGGGAGTCTAGAACCAGAGGACGCAATGTCAAAATAAAGTGGAAGCCACATAGGTCTGAGACAGTGAGGTTTTTTTAAACCCAGGAGTCTATCGATCTTTGGAATTCTATACCCCAGAGGTCTGTGGAAGCTTAGACAACAAGTTGGTTTAGACAATGACAGACTTCTAAATATCAATGACAAATATATGGATATAGTGTGGGAAAAAGGCATCGAGTGGATGATCAACTTTGAACTTACTAAATGTTGAAGCAAGCTTGATATGACCTCCCACAGACATTTCTTAACAGCCAGCGAAACAGATCAACAAAAAATTAAATTGGAATTGAAAGCAACATTGTCATGGATTTGAAATTTGGCACTGGGTCAGGACGAAGGGAGTATTCATTGATTGGTGGGCTGTGACAAACAGACAGTTCCCTACTGACTTGTCCTGGAAACACAACTTTTTACCATGTAGTATGCAATAGCATGAAAGAATAAAATTTTTCTCTAAGTTTTCGGATAACACCAACTAAAGTACAGAAAGTTGTATGTCCTCAAACAGGTTACAAGATTGACTGTGGTATGGAGGTCCATGTGATAAAAGGTCATCCATTTTACATCCAGAATGACCAAACTATTTTCCAGTTAAAGTGACAACATGGATGCAAGGTACCCATGTACAACAAATCATTTAGGTCCGTGCACAAACAGAAAAGCTAAACAAAAGGCTAATCGAATATTAACCTCTGCTTCAATAGGATTGGCTGTGTTAGGAAACTAGGTTTTAGTTATTCACAAACTTGGACAGATGCACCCAGCATATTGCATTGTGGTAAGGCTAGTAACTGTACAGGAAATAAAAATGTTGCCCAGTCAACAAATAATAACTTTTCAAAAAGATGCTCAGAGGTCATTTACATCCCACATTAAAGTACATTGGATCTTCATTTAAGAGGTTACTTGATAGATGATATTTCAGACAATGCAGCACCCCATGTACCACATTAAAATATTTAGTCTAGATTATATACTACACAAACTGACACTCACCATTCAAAAGATATGATCTGGTGTGCTGCTTGACAAACGTTTGCAGGCTACAACAGTTTTGGAGAATTGAAACACCTCTCCAGTAATTGCTGGAAACTATGGACTAAATTATCACCTCGGATAACATACAGAAGCATTTTTACTGCTGCAGTGGAAGGGGAGAAGGAAGGAATTGAAGAAAAGAAGATTCAGCTACACAAGTCCATATTTACTTACCAAGATCTAATGATGCAAGGCAATCATCCATCTTGCGTAACATATCATCCAAATAAGCCTCATATTCATTTCTCTGCTGACGCTGTGCCTAAATTGAAAAAGAGAAAGCAGGACTTAAATTTGTCAGAAATTGGAGATGCAGCACATTTTAAATGGAAAATTGTCTGTTTAAATTAGTGAAGAGTATTCCAGTTAGATGTTTCAATCATTTCCTGTGATGTAATTTGAAGACTTGGTAGATTGTAAAAAGTAAAACCGATATAGTAAGGCACAGCAAAAAAATTATATTGTGCTCAAGTGGAGAGTTAGGAATGACAGGCAATAGAATTAATCCGTTGTTACAGTAATTGGTTGGAACCCTAAAAAATACTACAAGTGTTTTTAGTCTTTAACCTCAAAATGCATTTTTTTTTTTTTTTTAAAAAAAAAAAGGGGACTGCTACTGCGACAAAATTACTAGAGTGTAAATTCAGTGACTGGTGGGACTTGATGAGACCGGACACCTTTAAGAGTAAGAGAAAATTCAAAGAGAGTGGGAGATTCAGAACATATGATAATGAGGGGTTGATGGCTTCTGTGGATCATATTCTAAATTTCAGACATTTTGTTTTTCCTTTTAAAAGGACATACAAGGACAAGGGTTAACAACAATTAAAAAAAAAATGGTTTTGACATACTGAAGTGTACTAGTGGCACTGAACACTCTCAGGTACATTAGCCTCAGTGTGAATGTTAATGTGCTGTGAAGGTCAGAGTCAAAAAACTCAGTCACAATGTGTCTTTATCTGCAACACACATCCTTCGCTCAGAGTGCAAATCAGCTAGCTAGCTAGCTGTCAGGCAGAAGGGAAAAGGACAACAAAATGACTCTCTGATTGAATGCTGGAATTCGATCAATCAGAATGAGTTTCACAGATCAGTTGAGATACCAAGGATCATGAAATGGACTGTTCAAGGACCACAGTCAATGCTACTGGTAATCTCCACTGTATCTCACTTTTCATGAATATTTCAGAGACTGGTCAGTATATCTATTGTCTTTTTGGACTCCTCTCTTATTTATGTCTGTGTGTTGTGTTACTAATGACTAAACACAAGACAACCAAACATACTGTTTTGTTAATTTAAGTGCGGCTACATTGGTTCCTTTTTAAAAATGTAATATCATTTAGCCTTGCAAAAAGTATTCACAAGGGAACAGATCCTTTTCAAATTAACGTTATTGAAACCAACTGAGATTGTGGTTGACTAAAGGAGAGAACGGTTCATTCTTCCTCATCCAGGACTTTAACAAAATCTGTCTAGAAAGATAAGAAATTGGGGAACTTATCCGGGATCTGATCATAAGACAGTAAATGACTGCAGGGACAGATAGCAGTCCTCACAGTCCTTCAAGCTTGTTCTGTTGCTCAATTAGATTATGGCTTATCTGTATTCCCAACTCTATTTTCTTTGGTTCCTTATTGCTTAACGTATTTTATCTAACAAAAATCTATCCATCTTAGTTCATAGAGTATTGGAAATCCAGAACTCTTGAAAAAGCTATTGAGGCTTAGTCAAAATAATTTAAGTAGTTTTTAAATCGACATTAGTCCTCAATGGTCTGGCTCCCTTTTATTGATTCCACCAACTGAGAAAATAGTTTCTGACTAACCTACAAACTCCTTTGAAATCATCCTTACTTTTGTATATTCAAGTGAATTAGATTTACACTATGCAACCTGTCCATGTAACTTAATCCTTTCAGTCCTGGTATCATTCTGGTGAATGTGCACTGTATTCACTCAAAAGGTCAATATATTCTTAGTGAGCTGCAATTCATTGAAGTGCTGAAGTCACACCAAGAGTTCAGCATAGGAATACAAAATGGTAACAGTTATATTACAGTGTCATTTTAGACAGGAGCCAACATTCCATTGACTTTTGTAGTTTTTGGTCCAATCTACTAGCTTTTAAGAGTGATTTCTATACTTGAAGTTGAATCCTGCCATTCCGGGAACTAGCCTAGTAAACCTTTGTCATACTCCCCTTTATGACAATATATCCTTCCCTATGTACGGGGACCAAAACGATATACAACACTCTAGGTCTTGTCTCATGAAGGTCAGTATAATTACTACTTTACTTCCGTACTGAAGTCCTCTAGCAATAAAGGCCAATTTACCACTGCCCTTCTAATTGCTTGCTGCACCTGCATGTTAGATTCAGTGACCTACGAACAAGGACAGCCAGGGTTCTTTCGATATTAACATTTCCCAATTTCTAACCATTTGAGAAATAGTCTGTGTTTCTCTTTTCTATACTATATTTGCTTCGTCATGTTCTTATCCACTCAGTTAACTGCTCTAAATCACCTCATACCTTTCTCACAACTCTCATTCCCACCTAGTTATGTCAATATTACTTTTTACTGATACTAATTTTGTTCAGTTCGTCATTCTTGCTAGTCCCTGAACACTACAGTATTTCTAAGGCTTTTTTGCATCTTTCTCCAAGAAGATAGATGCAATGTGTTTATTTAGTTTCTCTTATTCTCCATTTCCTTATTCCCCAATGTCTCTGCTTGTTAACGGTCTTCGCCAATAGGTTTCTTTTAAAGTATATACAGGAGGTTTTGCAGTCCTTTTTTAATGCCTTTTGCTGGTTTACATGTTCTAATGTCCTTCCGTCAGTTTCTTCATACTCATTTACTATAATTTAAAAACCACCAATCCTCACGCTTAGTACTTCTTTTAGATCAAATAAAATGTTAACATTTTGGTAGCTATGTTTGGAGCACTTTCCCCATTGGGTTTTTGCACCTCAAAAGAAATGAAAATCATTGTAACAAATGTATTAATTTCCAATGTATCACAGTAAACATGCCCTTTGTAAATTTAAACAAAGGAAATTACAGGTACACGGGTCCCTAGCTTTGGATTGCACAACATATTTTCACACGTAATCTAAAATTCTATTCTATTATGACCGCACTTCCCAAAAGGCTCCTTTTTGGCAAGATTAATTGACGTTTACTCATTGCACAGAACTAGATCCAAAATAATCCGTTCTCTAGTCCATTCGTCAACATAACGTTATAGAAATCCGTTTTGTATGCATTCCAGGAAATGGTCCTCCACAGCATTCATGTAAATTAGGTTTAGCCAGTCTATATGTATGTATGTTGAAGTCCCCCTTGATTACTAAATTATCTTTGTTACACATACCTCTAACTTCCATATTCACACTATTCCTTACATTACCACTACTGTTTTATGGCTAATAAACAATAACTAGCAATGTTTAATACCCCTTAATGTTTTGTTGATCCTCTCTCACTTAGCTCGTAATTTCATCATTTATTAACTGATCCGCTCCAATCTTTTTCCTTTTTGTCTATTGCTTCTGAACATTCAATTCTCAATTGTGATCATCTTGCAGCCTCATCTCTCCAAGGGCAATTAGGTCACATTGTTTACTGCCTGTATACATTCGCATAGGCCTTTAATGTTGCCCTTTTTTGTATCTTCTCTCCATTTGATGTCTGCTTTTGTTTCTGCTGCCTTCCAATTTAGTTTACTAGTTTTCTTCTCAGTATTACCAGCCTTGTTTCTCTCTTATCTGAGATTCTGTCTCCGGTTTCCATCCTCCTGCTGAGCTAGTTTAAACCCTCTCAAATACCATGCGTAAATCTGTTATGGGCATTAGTCTAAACAATAGCACAAAGCTTCTTAAATATGCTAAATAAAGATCAAAAGCATCTTGAAACAAATATATTCAGCAAGAAAATGAGTTCATGGCATGGATTGGAGGGTTGTACAAAAGGGCACAATTCTTTTTATTTGCATAATAAACAAATACTGCACAGTTTAAAGAATAATTGATGTATTCATTACATGATGTCCAAATTTCTGCAAAGCAAAATAATCAGCATACACCAAATAATGGCCACAAATTGAATAGTAAATCAGGACTTATATTCTTTGAGAAAACACATTTTCTCAAAGGTTAAACTACGACTTAACCCATGCCTTGGAGCCCAAATTGCCAATGAAAACCACAGATGTGCTAAATTTAATTGTTCAACAGAAAACTTTAAATCATAAGACTATAAGAAATAGCAACATGAATAGGCCATTTGGCCCCTTGAGCCTGTTCCGCCATTCATTAAGAGCACTGCGGTCCAACGTTACTCAGGTCCACATTTCTTGCACTTTCCCCATAAACCTCAATTCCTCTACTGATTAAGAATCTACCTATCTCAGCCTTAAATATACAAAAGGACTTGCAGCTCTCCATGGCAAGGAGTTTCAAAGACACTCAACCCTCTGAAATTATAATGCATTTGAAATTGATAGCCAATTGAGAGTCAGATCATACTCTGCATACCAGATCCTCATTCCATTAAATGTTGCTGAAGTAGATCCATAAAGCAAACTAACCTTAAACATATTCAACTGTGCTGAATACAGGTCAACCTTTTGTTCATGGCAGATTGCTTTGGTTTTTTTCACAAAACTGGATTTCTTGGCATTCAGGCAAGAACGAAACATTCGCAACTGAAAAGAAGATTTTCCAGTAAGGCAAGTTAAAGGCTTTCAATTTGTTATGCAGTTCAGTTATTGATTTCAAGATCATCTATTCCTATCAAATCCTTTCAAAAGAAATTGCTGAATTTAACAAAGCAAAACAAAGGCAACAAACTCATTTTAAAGTGCACCAGATATCTGAATGCCATAAATCTAAATTGAGTCCAGTTTGCAGGTATGATCAACAATGATGTGGAATTGAGCTTCAATAAAATGTAACATTCTTCTGAAAAAAAAAACTCAGCACCAAACATCAATTACTAATGTTAATTTGGAAAGAATAGATTACTGAATTTAAGCCCATGTAGGTAACTTTAACACTGATAATTGTTTTTTTGTTTTACCTCCTCTTCTGTCATTTCCATCACACTTTTCCAAAGAGCAGGGTTCACCTCTGACAGAAGTTTATCAAGATCTAACAACTGATCCTTCAGTCTGTAAAGACAAAAATAAAATCAGAACTTTATAATGCTAGCATTGAATATTTAATGATGTTATCTAGATTTTTTTTCCTCTCCTTCCATGCAAACTCTAATTTCTAAAGTTTGATCATTTTAAAACTGTGCGCGTATTTTCTTAAAGATGACTATTGCTCAAGTGGACTTTTTTCCTGAATGGTAAAATTAGGCATATCTGCAACTTACAGATCAATTCTTAAAAATACTTTCAACAAAAAATTTGAATGTACCATAGAATTAACATGTTAGGGTCAGGAAGGTATTTCTTCATTGTTCTTCCAGTGAAAAGAACGGGAAGGAAACCACTCCAACTGAAGAATCACACGTGTTTGTGCAGCATATAAACTATTACAGAATGGACAAGGTTATATTTTATATTGTTGCCGTCCAAAATACAGAAGAACAAAAGAATCTGGGAATCAGAGTACGTAGTGGATTAAAACAGTTTTTATATCTGGATTCTGGACTAGAAGCCAGCTCAAGTTATACGAAGAGAATTTCCTTTTCTTCCTGGCTGCAAGTGCCCGACAAGAAGTAGGTTTGATTTGGCTCAAGTCAGTCACCTCAGGGTGTGGGACAACGACAACAACCTACGTTGTAGCATCTTTAAAGTAGTGAAATGGCCCAAAAAGTGTTTCAAAGCAATGTTATCAAAAGAAAATTAACACTAAATCACTAAAGTTGATATTTGGACAGATAACAAAACTTTTGGACAAATTAGCAACTTGGTTTTATTAAGCAACTTGAACAAAGAGATGGACATTCAGATGTTTAGGAAGCGAATTCCAGAGCTTAGGGCATAGGCACTGGAATATCGACGGCGCAACAACCAAAATCAAGACAGGTGAAAGGCGCCAGATTTGTAGGTGTACAGAAATTTCTGAATATTGTAGGATTGGATGATATTAGACAACTGAAGTGAGCCATGGAGGAACTTGAAAACAAGGCTTCAAATTCTAAAATTGAGGTGTTAACAAGAGCCAACTGTAGATCTGTGAACACAGTAACAAATAGGTCAATGGGACTTGGTGTAAGTTACGGCACCAGTAGCAGAAGTTAGGGTTAGCCCATGTTTATGGGCTCCAGCAGCAAACACAATTCTCCTCAACTTAGTAAAATTGGCTACATTTTTTTTGGAATGCTTTGTAGTTATATGACATGAAGGTAGTAGTAAAAAGTTCTATTATGGAGTCAGCATTCAGACACAGTAGTGTGGCAGACAAATCTTAATGCCACATTTCGAACCAACATAAAAGCAGAAGCATACTAAATATTGATGTTCATTTTGGATCCCAACATCCTTGTTCTCTGAATCAATCCAATGTAAAATCAAAAAACAATCCTAGTGGCAAAATTAATTTTATAATCTATAGTTACAGACCATCTTGAATGCAATACCCTGCATACAAGAGATGTAACAAGATTATTCAATTCTTATTATTTAAAACCAGCAGGACAGAAATGTAACAGAAATGTCTTTCTCTTGTAGAGTAATCCTTTAAAAATGACATAGTTGGCATGATGCAATACACTAAAACTAGTTTATTAAAGGCTACACCACTCAGAGGTTACACTAAGCATGAAAACTATTTTCATATTATATATGTCATAGCCATAAATCATGGTGGTACTAGGAAGAATAAGCAAGAAAAAAAAGTTAGTTTTCTAAGACTCTAAATGGAGTAGAACAGCAAAGAACTCAAATAACAATTAATAAAAGTAGCAATGCAAGTTAACAAGACCATAAAAAATTTCAAAGAACTGGGTTATGGTTCTACAGGAATAGAATTGAAAAATGGAGAAATACTTAAATTTGTACAGACCCCCTGATTAGGCCACAATGGAGAATACTGTGCATAGGTCTGACCTCCATAAATTTAAAAAAATATAAAGCAGCATTGAAGTGAGCACATAAAAATATGCAAGAATAATATCAGATACGAGGTCAAAACCGTCAGGAAAGACCAAAGTGGCTAAGACTATTTTACCTCTAAGAGAGATATCAAAGAGGTAACCTGATAGGCCTTGTAAGTTATGAAGTAGTTTGCTCAGGGGAATGTAGATCAAGGTCAGTCACTAATAAACCCAATAAAGAATTCTGAAAATACTCTATCTGGCAAGTGAGCAGAATGTGGAACTTGTTACCTAGTGCAGTAGTTGAGGGGAGATATCATTAAATTTAACTAAAAGGAAAACTATGGAGGCAGAAAGGAATGGAAGGATGTGTCAGTATGTGCAAGATAAATACCAACATAATCCAGTTGGACCATTTGTCTGTTTCTGTGTTGCACGCACCTTGTAATAAATGAGTATCCATTTTAACTGTGAGCTTCTCAAAAGTGGCAAGATGTTTACCAGAAAGGTTTTACAGTTTGTAGGTCATTGACTGTATTGGATTAAATCAATTCTGACATAATTCCATACTATTAGGAATTAAATCAGCAAAATTAGCTTGCAATGCTAAATAATGTGGAATAATCTGGATCAATTCATTTTTATCAGCCAAGATGCTATTTTAAAAAGGTGGGTGTTGGTTAGCTCAGTTGGTGGACAGCTGTTTTTTTGGACAGAGTAACATAAACAAACAGTGTAGGTTCAATTTCCACACCTGAAAGACTCTCCTTCTCAATGTCTCCCTTCAGCTGAGGAATGGTGACCCTCAGATTAAACCACCACCAGTCGCTTCTCTTTAATGACAATAGCTCCATGGTGACTATCTTTATTTAAATAATGTACTACAAGGAAGATACCTATTCAATTATATTATGTTAGAAACACCAACTGTTGTAAAATGGGCATTTTAATTGTTTTCATTAACTACATGTTTCCCCTGATCACTAGCAAGTTAGCAAAACAATATTAATTTTCCACAGAGTATACTGATTTTTATCTTTTAAAAGGTACATTTCAGTAGAAGGGAAAAGAATTCTGATTGCAGTTGATTGCTTTCCTCTTATCTGAATATTACAAGGTCTTACTCAGCTATGGCTGCAGAGAGAGCATTGCTGTCCTCTTCATAGACTTCCCGTTTAGGCCGGTGAACAAACTTCACTGCCAGCCAATTTTCGACAGTTGAAGACTTGTCTAATTCAACCTGACCAAAGTATAAACAAAACACAGCAACAATTAGGCAAATAAAAACCCTAAATTACAATTCAAATTGTTTCACTGGGGCGACTGGGAAACCAGAAGACAGGTGCTGTTTACATTTCAGTTACACAATTCAAACCGTACAAATCTCACAATCTTTATCAATTCAGACTGCAGAATTTAACTATAGTTACTTTCAAACTCTTACATACTGTGAATCATTCAAAAAAGGGACAGCTAGGTCAATATTAAAACAAAAATATATGTACAGGGTTTAAACACAAAATGCAGCTCGATGTTTGACATTTTAATTGTGATGCATTGTTTGAAAAAGGATTTGCAGCATACTACTGCATAGAAAGAATTCAGGAGTCTGAACATCTGTAGCCACATTCTTACATTAACACGTAGTTCACTCTGGCGAGATTTCTGTGCGTGCGTTTGAACTTTCAAAAGTTTGAAAAATTCTCGAACTGTGATCTGGCCATCCATCAATTTCTAGAAAAACAAACAAAAAGGGCAAAATTGTTCTTAAGATAGCTTGTATGAAATTGCACTTATTACAAGATGTACTACAAGACATTTCAGTATTTCTAGTCTTTCTAGGATATTGTTCCTTCCCCATAGCACATGCCCATTACATTTCTTACACATTTAAATGGCAAATTTTTGTTGTTCACCTTTGCAACTAGATTACACATGGCCCCAGTAAATCATGTTGAAACACTTGGTTTATTCTTATAGTCCAAAGTTATAAAGCATGCACATATTATGACATCTTACAGAGTGCCTTTAAGATGCACGAAGCAGCCTATCACTATTAAATAAGCATACAATTTGAGACTTATTCCACAAGTGAACAAAGGAATTTTCACAGTAGGCCATTACGGGAAATTTTTAAGCCATGGATTCAATAAAAGAATAGAATGACTATACCTCATGCAGCTCAGACTCTTCTAAAATCACTAGGGATGTATTCAGGTTACATTTTGAATCTGGAGAGAGATAGAAATTGCACAATGAAGCTTCAGAATGATCAGCCATAGATCAATGTTTCTTTCACTGAAGCTAACGATATCACTGGTTTACAATGCTTTCTAAAAGTGCTAGCTGGTACCATATTCTCAATTACTGTTGACTTTGTTTTGTCCCAGCTCCCACTAAATTAACTGTATACAGTGATGTCACAGGGATGGCACTTTTAGCACAATGATAGAACTAATCTAATCTAGTTTAGAAATGTTTTAAAACATGTTCTGTATATACAAGATAGTCTGTCAACTATTCATACTATTCACTATACATATTCATGATTTGAATGAAGCAACTAAGTGTAATATCTCCAGGTTTGCAGATGATAAAGCTGTGTAGGAGGCTCTACAAGGAGAACGCAAAGATGCTTTAGTGTGATTTGGACAAGTTGAGTGAATGGGCAATTGCATGGCAGATGAAAAATTATGTGGACAAATGTGAGGTTATCCATTTTGATAGTTGATACAGAAAGAGAGATTATCCGAGTGGAATAGATTGCACTTCTATTCCCAACGAGACCTGGGTGTCCTTGTTCACCAGTTCACAAGCATACAGGTATAGAAATCAGTGAATGAGACAAACGTAACAATGGTCTTCTTAACAACGGGATTCAAATACAGAAACAGGGATGTCCTGCTGCAATTGTACAGGGCCTTAGTGAGACCACACCTGGAGAATTATGTGAAGTTTTGGACTTCTCACTGGGGGAAGAATGTTGTTGCAATCGAGGGAGAGCAACAAAGTTTTACCAAATTGATTCTTGGGACAAGATTGATGTAGGAGGAGCGATTGAGTTGGTTAGGATTGTATTCACTGGATTTAGAAGAATGGTGGGAGGGAGAAGAGATAAAATTCTAACAGTTCTCAATAGGTAAATGCAGAGGAGGTCCAGAACTACGGGTCACAGCCTAAGGATATAGTGTAGGCTATTTAGGACTCAGGAGAAATTTCTTCACCCAGATTGGTGAGTCTGTAGAATTCTCTGCCACTGAAAGCAATTAAGACCAAAACATTCAATGTTTTGGCCTCAAGGAGTTACATTGTTCCTTCCCAAAGCACATGCCCATTACATTCCTTACACATTTAAATGGAAAATTTCTGTTGTTCACCTTTGCATATTCTTTTAGCCCAAAGTTATAAAGCATGCACATATTATGACATCTTACAGAGTGCCCTTGATATACAAGAAGCAGTCTATTATATAACTTAAGACTTTTTCCACAAGCCAAGTTTTAATATACATGTGAACATAGGAAGATCTACTTTTTACAGCTAAAGGAATCAAAGAGCATGGAAGCAAGTGGAAAGAAGGTAAGGAGTTGGATAATCAGCCATGATCCTATCGAATGGTGGAACGGGCCTGAAAGGCCTACTTTTGCTTCTATTTTGTATGTTTCCAAGTGTTAAATGAGATGTGTGTTATTTTGATCAAATCCAGTGATATAGTGCATCGGTAGCTGTAAGAACACAATTATTTCAGGTACAGATATTAAAGTGTGGCATTTAAAAATGAGTTATATCAACAAGATTTTTTAAAAAATTATTGAAACAGTTCTCAATTTCTACAGTCTTCATGCATATTCCGTCCCCCCCACCCCCAAAACACCCTGTACTATGTACATCACTAAATACCATAAATACCTCAATTTCAGTGGAACTAATGTAGCTAGTCATTATTATGAAATAGTGGCAATTCTAGTTTTAGCTGTCGGAGTTGGACAAAAAACTTGATTCTAGCCATGTGCAGAATTAACTAACCTCTGACAGTGAAGCATAGCCTTACCTTGGTATTAGAGAGCTGTTAAGTGAACTCAGGAGAAAATGGGTGAGAACAATGGTTGCCTTCAGCTGGACTTTCAAACATTGTTTGACTTGTATGGATAATGACCATTTGAGTCAAGTACAAGAGAATATTGGGACAACAATAAGGTGAGAGAGAGAGAAAAAAATCAGAACTGTTGTTTCATTGTTCCCATCTACTCTTCAAATATTGAATTGAAGCAAGTGAGACAAGTTGACATTCTGTTCCATTTTAAACCACAGAAATTAGTACTAGAAAATGAACGATTGTTCTAGCGAACAGTCAAACGTAGTTGTGTTACACTTACTAACTTTCTGCTTAAAAGGAGGTAAAACCACAAATACTAGCCCTATGAAATGTAGTACCATGTACATAACTTGTAATTAAGCTAACATACGACACTAAATAATGTGTGTTGAAGTCTAGCCTACACAATGTTTTCCCGAAGGTCTTGAACACACTGGAATTTCTACACTCAAATGCATAATTTTGAAGGCAGGCTCATACTTTATGTGAAACTTGCTCACTTATCTATCTTTCCTTTTACAAAGAACAAGAAAGGAAGAACATAAAAGATATGAGGAATAGGCCATTCAAACCCCAAAGTCTGTTCTGCTATTCATTAAGATCATGGCCGATTAGTGTTCAACAACCTAATCCCACCTCCCTATATCCCTTGATCCCTTCAGCTACAAGGGCTATTTCTACCTTATTCTTCAAATCAAAACATTTTGGCCTCAACCATTTTCTGTGGAAGTGAATTCCAGAGGCTCACTACTCTCTGGGTGAAGAAATTTGTTCTCATCTCAGTTCTGAAAGGTATACTCCACTATTGGGAACATCATTCCTGCATCTAAAGTTTTAGAGATTTCTAGGAGATCCTCCATCATTCTTCTAAACCCCAGTGAATACAATATGTAAATTATGGGGCAGGGGGCACGTCCTAAGTAAGTGGAAAGACAGAGGAGAATGGTTTTGAATCTGAAAAAAAAAAACAAGTTAATTAGAGAAGACAGACAAGAACAAGTTAGGAGAACTCTGAAGAATTATTTCAATGCAAGGGATCTTACAGGTAAGGCTGATGAACTCAGGGCATGTTTGGGAACGTGGGATTGGGCTGTCATAGCTCTTACAGAAACTTGAAGGATTGACAGGACTGGCAGCTCAATATTCCAGATTTCAGATGCTATAGGAAAGACAGAAAAAGAGGCAAAAGGAGGTGGGGGTGGGAGTGGAATTTTTGATTACCATTACTGCTGTAAATAGAGAAGATATTTCTGGAAAATTATCCAGTGAAAATACATGGGTTGAAATTAGAAAAAAAAAATGCTCACCTTGACGGGATTGTACTATAGACACTCCAACAGTCAGAGAGAAATTGAGGATGTAATATATAGAGAGATTTTAGATACATGCAACAATAAGGTTGCAATAGTAGGTAATTTTGATTTTCCAGTCATTGACTGGGACTACCATAGTTTTAAAGGTTTCGATGGTGAAGAATTTGTTAAAACGTGTTCAAGAAAATTTTCTTTATCAATTTATAATTGTTCCCACCAGAGGAAGAGCAAAACTTGACCTTCTGTTCGGTAATAAGACAGGGCAAGTCTCTCCAATTGATAGTAGGCAAATACTTTCAGTTTAGTAATTATAATTCTATTTGTTTTAAAATTGTTATAAAAAAGGATAAGGAGAAAAAGGAGGAGAGGGGGAGGGGGGTCTTTGTGTTGAACCTCAGGAAATGGAACAGATATTAAACAAATATTTCACATCAGTTTTACTGTGGAGAAAAAGAATAAAGGCTCGAGAACTCAGGAAAATATATATTAATGTTTTGAAAATAGTTCACATTACAGAAGAGAAAGTGCGGGAGGTCTTACAAAAGGATAAAAGTAGCTAAATCTCCAGGACCTGAACGAGTGTACTCCAGGACATTGTGGGAAATTAGTGAGGAAATTGCGGGGCCTCTTGCAGAAATTTTTCTTTTATCTATAACCACAGGTGAGGTACCAGATGTCCCGAGAGTGGCTAATGTTGTGCTTTTGTTTAAGCAAGGGATGTAAGAAGCCTGGGAACTACAGACCAGAGTGTCTGACTTCAATGTGGGTTAGGTTGTTGGAAGTGATTCTGAAAAGATAGGATTTATATGCTTTGAGAGAGAAGAAATGATTAGGGGTAGTTGCATGGTTTTGTGCAAAGGAAATCATATCTCAAACTTGATTGAACATATTTGAGGAAGTAACCAAGATGATTGATGACAACAGAATGGTAGACATTGTTCACTTGGACTTTAGTAAAGCCTTTGAAAACGTTCCATATCTATGTTCTATTTTCCACATGGTGGACTAATTAGTAAAGTTAGATCACATGGGCTTCAGGATGAGCTTGCCAATTGGATACAAAATTGACCTAACAGCAAAGGACAGTGCGGAGCTGGAGGGTTGCTTTTTGGACAGGTAGCCTGTGACCAGTGGTGTTCAACAGAAGCAGTGCTGGGTCCATTTTTGCTGGTCATTTTATAGAAATGATTTAGACAATTATATAGAAGGCATGGTTAGTAAGTTTGCAGATGACACCGAAATTGGTGGTGCAGTGGACAGTGAAGGTTATCAAGATTACGAGATCTTGATCAAGTGGATCAACGGGCTTTAGTGCGGCAAGCGGAGTTTAATTTGGATAAATGCAAACTATTTCATTTTGGCAAAACAAACAAGGGCAGGATTGATACAATTAAAAGTAAGTCCTTGAATAGTGTTGTAGAACAGAGAAAACTAGAGTTTTGGGTATATATTCTTTGAAATTTCGGTCAGATGTAAACAGGGTGGTTAAGAAGGCATTTAGAATGCTCGCTTCACTGCTCAGATGTTTGAGTATAGGAATTGGGACATCGAGGCTGTACAAGATGTCGGTGAGGCCTCTCTGGAGTCCTGTATCCAGTTCTGGTCACCCTGTTATAGGAAGGATATTATTAACCTGGACAGCATTCAGAAGAGATTACTAGGATGTTGCCAGGAATTGAGGGTTTGAGTTATAATTAGAGGCTGGATAGGCTAAGACTTTTTCCACTGGGAGCACAGGAGGTCGAGGGGTGACATTATAGAGGTTTATAAAATCATGAGGGGTATAGATAAGGTGAATGGCAGGTGTCTTTTCCTTAGGGTGAGGGATTTCAAAACTGGAGACATTTTTTAAAGGAGATAGGAGAAAGATTTAAAAAAGACATGAGGGGCATTTTTTTTGTACACAAAGTGGCTCGTGAGTGTAATGAACTTTCAAAAGTGGTGGATGTGTGTACAGTTACAACATTTAAAAGACATTTAGAAAATTACATGAATAAGAAATGTTTGTAGGGATACAAGTCAGGTGCAGGCTGGTGGGACTAGTTTTGGGATTATGGTCAGCATTGACTGGTTAGACTGAAGGGTCTGTTTCCATGCTGTATGACTGACTCAATCTCTACTCATAGGTCAATCCTACCATTGCAGGAATCAACTTGGTAAACCTTTGCTGCACTCCCTGTATAGTTAACAGCAGTTCAAGTCCAAGACAGCACACAATATTCACCAATGTCCTATATAGTTGCAGCAAGACATCCTTGTTTCTGTACTCGAATCCTCTTGCTATGAAGGCCAATAGATTGTTTGCCTTCTTCACTGCCTGCTGCAGCTGCACACTTACCTTCAAGTGACTGGTACACAAGGACACCCAGGTGTCACTGACCATTCCCCTCCCTCAATTTACAGTTAAGTAATAATCTGCCTTCCTACTATTGCTACTGAAGTGCTTAGTCTCATGTTTACCTACATTATTCCACATCAGACATGCATTTGCCCCACTCAACCTGTCCAAAGCACACTGCAACATATCTGCACCCTCATTACAATCACCATTCCCACCCCGCTTTGTTTCATTTGCAAACTTTGGAGATATTGTATTTAGTTCCCTCATCTAAATATCTAAATCATTCACATATACTGTGAATAGCTGGGGTCCTAGTACCAATTTCTTAATGTGGAGAGGGTTCAGAAAAGATTTACCAGAATGTTACTGGGAATGGAGAGTTCGAGTTTTAAGGAAAGGCTGGATAAAGCTGGGGCTTATTTCACTGGAGCGTAGGAGGTCAAGGGGTGACTTTATGAGGGGCCTAGCTAAGGTGAATAGCAAAAAAAAAAAAAAAAAAAGAAAAAAGTCTTTTCCCTAGGATGGGGGATTTCAAACCTAGAGGAAGTACTTTTAAGGTGAGAGGAGAAAAGATTTAAAAAGGGACCTGAGGGGCAACATTTTCACACTGAGGGTGGTTCATATGTGGAATGAACTGCCAGAGGAAGTGGTGGATGCAAGTGCAGGTACAACATTTAAAAGATATTTGGATAGGTACATGAATAGGAAAGGTTTACAGGGATATGGGCCAAATGCAGGCAAGTGGGACAAGTTTAATTTGGGAAACTTGGTTGGCATGGACAAGTTGGACTGAAAAGGTTTGTTTCCATGCTGTACGACTCTGACTCTAAAGATCAGGACAGTAAAAGCTGATCTTTTGTGACCTCTGAAAATCCAGAATTGGTGCTTCAGTAAAAAGGAAACAATCTTCCACTTCTGGAAGTACCAGAAGTTTGATCCAATGACAGTTCCTAGTCAAGATGATGGGGGAAGGAATTACTTGTGGTAGTCTATTTATCACCTATTCCTGGTTGCCGTCAAAAAATTAAGAGTGAACTACTCAATGTGAGACTGAAGTCACAGGTAGGCAAGACCCTGTCTGAAATTAACTTCTTTTAATTCTAAACAAATGAAATGCAAATTGACAGAGATCACAACTTACTGGCAGCATCTGCAGAGGTTCCATCTCCTTTGGTTGAATCTAAGGAGCTATTATCCAGGCTTTTTGTCGTTATACTGAGTTGGTTCTCTTCCATGACTTGATGATCCATGCCTTCCCATTGCACAACAGGAGCATTGTTGGTCTATATTAAAAATACTTACAAACTTACAGTTGCTACTTCAACATCTGAAGACTCAATTTGATGCCATTAAGAAACATTCATTGCACAAATAGTAGAAATTCTGTCATTAATTCAACTGTATATTTCAGTTCAAAGGAATTTGTTCTAAAACAGTATACATGGTTTCATGGAATTGGTGGAGATAAGGTAAAGTAAAATTGTATGCAAGGGAAAATAACTTTTGAGTGGTTTTACTGTTTATGTAGAGGATTTTACTCAAAGGAGGACTCCAATAAAAGTACCACAATGCAATGTCTCACACTACTTTATTGTGGGAGGCAGGAACTGATAGTAAGGAAGGTAAGCCGTTATTCAATTTACTGTTCGCACTGTGATGGAATTTGCATCTTATATCTCCTTTTTTCAGTTGAGGACCAGGCAGTCAATTACTTTTCCAGATGTTTGCATTGCTCAGGCAATACCTGAATAAACTGAAACATTTTGGTTCAAGATTAAATAAAATTACTCATTATCAAAAGAATTACAAAATAAGCCTTTGTCCAGAGAATAAAGTGTTACCACCATAGGAGAGGCCTTGCCTGGATTTCTTAAAATCCCATGCACAAATAACTATTCTGGAATTTATTTTTCACCTCAGATTAATAAACAGAAAACAAGGTGAACAGAAAGGATAACTATTTACATTAAATCTTAATTACAACCAAAATTATTTATTCCAGAAGGCCACCTTTTCAGTTCAGCTGTTTCCTTTGCAGGAAGCTATAGGCTTAAGATAGCTTTCCAATCAAGTTTGTCCTTTCATCCGATTTATTGGCTGATTAAATTTAGTTTAAACACACGCAGACTATTAATACAAATCAATTTTAAGCTAGAAAATACTTCTTGTGCATTTTTTTTCAGTTACCTTTTGGCTTGAAGAATCAGTATCTTCAGGACGCAAATTTCTCATTTTCTTTCTGCTGCATGAATTTCTGTTTTTCTCCTCTTCACTCCATGCTCGTTTATGGTAAAGCTTTTCTTCTACCGATTTCATAATTTTGAAACCTCCAAGACCTTGGCAACTTAGAACATTCTCATCCTGTTCAGAAGTAGATGAATCTTCTTTTCCAAGTTGTTCAGAGATAGTGAGGCAGCTCAAATCACTGGACTTCAAGGAGAGAGATGGCTCAGATTGATCAAATACTTTTTCTACATTGTCATGATCAGTTGCTTGGCTTTTGTTCTGGATACCTGGGGTATTTTTAGGGTCAATATTATGTCTTAATATATCTGAGTCTACTTTAAATTTGTTTGGTTTGTATATGGTACTCAGAAGTGAGTCAGAGCCAAGATGGTCTCTTAATGATTTTGCTACATCCTGATGATTTGAATTTACAGCTTTATACAAATTTTCTCTACTAGGCAATTTAGGAGGAAAGATTCCTAGACAAAGATTGAATTTAAATGTGCCCTTAAAAAGAGAACTTTGCTTCAAAAGTCGTGACTTTGCATCCCAGGTTTGACAATTTGTAGAACCTTTTTCACCCACTGGCGGCTTTTCTGTAACAGTGTCATAAGTTACATTGGTCACGGTGTTCAATTTTTGAAGTGATTGCATATTAGCAAGACTTGACTTTCTGGATTGATTATATCCCATATTTTTATTGGCTGTATTTTCAAATTCAGTTACATCATTCATAATATTGCCAGTTTGGGTACCATTAACTTGATGTCCAACTAAATCTTCAGAAGCTGCCTCCCTACTTTGATTGACCAGGCACGATATTTCCTCAGCTTCAAGGTTATTGTTACCTTTCAGGATAGGATCCAAAGAGTTCCCCTTGGAAAATGCAGATTCTTTGATTTCTTTCCCATTCATTTTTTCACTTACACACAGTGAACTGACATGTTCTCCATCTTCCTCGGTCTCACCTTCTGTACTTAGGACAGTGATTTCCACGTTCCTGGTTAAAGTATCAGAAGTACCAAGTGTATGGACAGCTTGATTAACATTAGACAGACTGTTTTCAACTGCGGTTTTTATGTTGACAAATTCCACATTGCTTGAATGGTTACCAGAACCTTTTTGTCCCTTTTCAAGCTCCAACTGGGAAATGATGTGATTACTGGAAACATCATACTTACTGGAAATGGACGTGCCATCAATTTTTTTAGCTGGTGTATCTTGTTCAGATACTGGAATCTTATCACTGGGGAATGGTGGCAAAACAGACCCACGAGCAGTGAATCTGGAAGTCATGACATCTGAACCTAATGACTCACTTATAACTGATACAAATCCATCACACTCAGTGGCAACTGTACGGTTTTTGGTTATGTCTATGTCATTTGCTTCTGAAGACCTTGTGAATTTATCCCTGGGTGAGGATAATAGAGAACAGTCAGCATCCGTCAGTTTGGGAATCATTCTAGGCAAACTCAAATCTTCATTTCCAACTTTCCCAATACTTCCACTGATAATTGGAACTGTATGGCTTTTTGTGATGTCCATATCATTTGTGTCAGAAAATATTAATGTCTTATCACTAGGAAAAGATGTACATAAACCTTCTGTCCAATTTACTACAGGCCCAAGATTTCCTCCATTAATTGTAACAGTATGGCTTTTAGTTATATCCATGTCATTTGCTTCTGAAAATACCAAAGTCTTATCGTTAGGACATGATGACAGAACAGACACTGAGGCATTCTCAATGGAAGTGTTTTTATCTGAACCCACTATATGTCTTGCAACAGCCCCCAGGTTTTCACTCTCAATTGCAACTGTATGACTTTTTGTAATGTCCATATCATTTGCTTCTGAAAAGACAAGAGTCTTATCACCGAGAAAGGATGATATAGACTGAGGCACACGAGGTTTAGAAGTCATTGTTCGAAAACCTAATGTTTCATTTGTAACTTGTCCATTAATTGTAACAGTATGGCTTTTAGTTACATCCATATCGTTTGCTTCCGAAAATACCAAGGTCTTATCATTGGGAAAAGAGGACAGAGCAGACGTGGATGCATTCTCAGCAAAAATCTTTTTATCTGAACCCACTATGGGCCTTGCAACAAGCCCAAGGTTTTCATTCTCAATTATGACTGTTTGACTTTTGGTTAGGTCCATGTCAGTTGTTTCTGAAAACACCAGGGTTGTTTTGCTGGAAAAAGGTGGTTGAGCAGATGCAGCAGTATTCTCAGCTGAAGTTAGTTTCACTGATTCCAATGGTTCATTTGGAATGTGTCTAAGATTTCCACTCTCAATCGCAACAGTGTGGCTTTTTGTTATATCCATATCATTTGCTTCTGAAAACACAATAGTTTTGTTAGCATGAAAGGACGCTGTAGACTCAGGGACAGAGTGTTTGGAAGTCATTCTAGTAAAAGCTAACGCTTCATTTGTAACTTGCCCAAGGTTTCCATTGTCAATTGTGAAGGGATGACTCTTGGTTATATCCATATCATTTGCTTCCGAAAATACCAGAGTCTTATCATTGGGAAGAGAGGAAAGAACAGATGCAGATGCATTCTCAATGCAAGTCTTCTTATCTAGACCTACAATGGGCCTTGCAACAGCCCCAAGGTTTTCACTCTCAATTGCAACTGTAAGACTTTTGGTAATGTCCATATCATTTGCTTCCGAAAATACCACCGTCTTATCACTGGGAAGAGATGACAGAACAGATTCAACAGTACTGTGTCTCAAGGACAGTTTCTTCGGAGCCAGTGTTCCATTTGTAACTTGTCCAAGATTTCCACTGTCAATTTGAACCGTATGACTTTTTGTGATGTCCATATCATTTGCGTCAGAAAATACCACAGTTCTATCACTCGGAAAAGAAGAATTTGAACCCACTGTCCAGTTTGCAACCGCCCTAAGTTTTCCATTGTCAATTGGGACTGAATGACTTTTCGTGATGTCTACATCATTTGCTTCAGAAAATAACATTGACTTGTCACTGGGAAAAGATGACAAAAAGGGCCCAACAGTACTCCACTTTGAAATCAGTTTTGTTGAAGCTGATGTTTCATTTTTCACTCGATCAATGTTTCCGTTGTCAATCGTGACTGTATGGCTTTTAGTTATATCCATATCATTTGCTTCTGAAAATACCATGGTCTTATCACTGGAAAAAGGTGGAAGTATTGATCCAGGTAAATTCAGTTCAGAGGTCATTCTTGTAAAACCCAATGCTTCATTTGCAACTTGTCCAGTGATTTTATTATCAATCATGACTGTATAGCTTTTAGTTATGTCCATATCATTTGCTTCTGAAAATACCATTGTTCTGTCATTCTTACCAAATGATGAGACAGATCCAGCAGTATTTTGTCTCAAAGTATTTTTATCTGAACCCTTCACTTCATTTCTAACTTGCCCAAGACTTCCACTGTCAATTGTGTTGAGGTGACTTTTGGTTATATCCATATCATTTGCTTCTGAAAATACGATGGTTTTATCACTGGGAAAAGATGGCGAAACAGGCATAGATTTGGAGGTCAGTTTACTTGCAACTAAAGCCTCACTTTGATTAATCTTGCTACAATGTCTGTTATCTGAGAATATTTTGTCTTCATTAGGAGTAAAGGAGGACAGCATTGATTTATCTCTTTTTTGAATTGCAACAGCGGTCGGTTGATTTTGGTTTGTGAGGTGCTCTACCTTCCTGACATCAATAGGTACAGTATGACATCTGGTCATATCCATGTAATCTTCTCCAGAAAATATAACTGTTTTATCTTGAAGAAAGGAAGAATGAGTTGAACTTTCAGTACCTATGGCTTCTACATTGTTAGGTACTGTTGTTGAATGGAGAGTGGTAGCATTTCCCAAGGCAAAATGGTTAATAGCAACAGTGTGGCTTCTAGTAAGCTCCATATCGTTGTCTTGGTCCAGAAACTGCACAGTTTTGTTTGAATCTAAATTGTTATTAGAATTAAATTTCATTACTAAGTTATTTGTTGTTTCAACATTTTTAACTGTTCCACAAGCTGAAAGAATACCATTGTCCGCTTGTTTCAAGATCTGTTCCTCAAAAATGGAAGCCATTGACACCATTTTATTGCGGTCAGTGTCGCTCTGCTTTATGCTATTTAAGAATGTTTTAAAATCTATTGTCTTTTGCTGTTTTGGAACTTCATTTTGTCTGATAGAGCTGAAGGACTTATTAGCATTCTCTTTTTCACTGTCAAAACAGACAGTAGTATGCACTGGTTCTGTAGAATCAATTCCAGTCAAAAAAGATTTGAAGTCAATTTTTTTAGAAAGCGTAGTTGCAGCTTTCATTTCAGAAGACTGGACTATCTCTTCAAGATCTCCTTGTATTTCAACCGCAGACATGGGGAAATTTTGATGTTTACTGACAGTCTCAATGTGTTGACAGTGCTGTTTAAAAATGGGAAGACAATTACATTAAGACTCAAATATTGGACATTTTGCTTTCAAATGCTGTTCTTGATTTTAAAATATCAAAATGGAAATGGAACACACATTTGCCGAAAAAGAACCTCACCTTTTATAAGATTGCTGTAACTTCAGTATATGAGAAGCAGACTAAATTAATACAAACATGCTTCCATAAAATTGTTTGTAAATTCAAATCACAGATATAAAACATACAAGCATAATTCTTCCTGCTCACATGAATGAAGGCAAACTGTTCGGTTTCACAGTTATAGGTACAATCCTAAACATACACCAGTACTTGCAAAGACAAATGCTGATTTACCTCAATTTGTTGCAATGGCGTTCGAAGAGGTGCATGAAGCAGTGCATCCATTCCTTTGTGTAGAAAAGATACTAAGAATTAGTATTGTGTCACCCAGAAGAAATGTCTGATTCATCAGACTATATTTAACCTAAGTACACATAGGTAGATGGAGCATAAAGGACCAACCTCAAATGTAAAATCTGCTTGTAACAGAGGACTTAAATCCGAGTTGCACAAGAACACGAAAGTCAAATCAAAAGGATGCAAAATTTTCAACCGAAGCAGAGGACATGGCAGAACAAACAGTGAGGCATATGGAAATGAATAGTTTGGGGTACTTGCTGAACTATGCTGATTCTAATTAATGAATTCTACTGTGGTCTAGTAATACTTCATCACAATAGTCTAGACAGCAGAATTGGCTAGAAAATTACAACAGTCTAGTACAAAAGGGATTTATCTGCTTAGTGTACCAACAGAAGAGATTTACTAGAGTCAAAGACATCCCTCGTTGGAAAGGTGAATAAAACTTCACACAACTTCAGAAATTAGAAATACTGATCAGGTATTCACAGCAACATACAATTCAGATGTGCTGAAATGAAATGAACTGCCAACATGCTCAATAGACCTTAAACAAGTAAGTAACTTGACAAGATAATTTTTTCCTAAAACAAAATAAGGAACAGTATCAGCTAAATTTGGATGGCCAGGTTTTTGCATGGGATAGCGTCACATTTAAATTTCTCTCTTCCACAAGAGGCCAATAACCAAACTTCAAAAAGATAAGGACTGCCACAATCGTAAATGAACTTAACCAAAAAAAAAAATTTTAAAAAGCAATAAATTAATGGTTTGAATAATTAATAGAAATTACCATTAGAAAATGGAAAGCAGCAAACCTTAAAAAAAAAGCCAACTTTTGCCTTTATGATTAAGAAGCAGATCTGCAAAGACAGAATTGGCCTCAATTCATGATTAACAGGGAATGAAGCAGTGATTTGGATTGAGCCAAGCAGTTACGTTTAACTAATGTGGACAATGGGTCATTTCTAGTTGGTAATACTCCATGCTGGCTTTGAGCATGGGGGAATCAGAAGTGAATGGACTTTTAGACTTCGGTTTCCTCCTTTCTCAGCCTGCTTGCCTCTCCCACGATCTTACCACTTTTCCTCTTTATCACTACTATCCTTCTTCTCTATATACCCTCTCTCCTGAATCTCCTGCCGATAGATTCGCCAGTAAGCCTAGAGCAGCACACAGGGCCTCTGATTGGAGCACAAGTTCCTTGCAAAATCTTCCACTTACATTTATCTATATTTGTAACCCCAGCTTCAAACAAAACAGAAATAAAATGAAGTATTTCAAAAACAAATCTTTCACTTTATATTTTTATCATTTATCCTATTAAATGCAGCCCAAAGCTTAAAATTCTCTACCCTATGGCTTAAGCAAGATAGGGAGAGAATCTGAAATTTAGCTTCAATAAGCAAATGCATTTTCCTATCCGCACAGAGTGGCTAATCAGATCCTTATTTCATTTACAGAAAAGTGTTCATGAGCTAGCCAGTCAAACATACACCACGGGTCTGAATAGACAAATGAGCAAGTCATAATGATGCAATCACACAAGCATGGAGGAAGCATTTAGAATTCGACACAAAGATATTTGCAACAAATCTAAAGCATTTAAATCTCGAGAAGATTTGTTGCTCAGGTTGTGGATGAGGTTGTAGTCACGCTCGCCAAGCTGGTGTGTTTGGTTGCAAACGTTTCATCACCCTGCTAGGTAACATCGTCCGTGCGCCTCCAGCGAAGCATCAGTGTTTTGTCCCGCTTGTTGTTTATATGCCTCAGTTTGCTGGGGTGGTTGGTATTATTTCCAGTTTTGTTCCTCAATGGTTTGTACACAGGACTTCGATGTGTTGTCCCAGTCGATTTTGTGTCCCTCATTGTCTGTGTGTAGTAAGACAAGTGAGAATTGATCATGTCTCTTGGTGGCTAGTTGGCGTTCATGTGTCCATACATTCACTTTGTATGTGCTGTTGAAGGGGAAGTCGGTTGTGAGGCACAAATCTAGTAGTTTTATGGTGGTGTCCCTGTTGATGTTGTTGGTGTCCTGGGTTGTCTGCTTACTTGATTCATCTAGCAGTGTGGCAATTGTTTATTTGGTTAGGTCAATGTTTATGGATCGAAATAGCGCTGTTACGTTGAAGGATATCATCATCTCGTCCTCATCTATTCTGGTGTCATTGATGATGTTGATGACTTCTTGGGCTGAGTGGATGGAGTAGGTAGTGTTGTCCCCTAAGTATTTAAATTTCTGTTGTAGTTCTTTGGCAAATCTATATGTTAGTGTACCTGGCACTGAGACAATGGGTCTGAGGGGGATCCCACAATTTTTGTATCTTGGGGAGTCTGTAGAATCAGGTGGTGTTGGCTGGCTTCATTTTTTTGGTAGTCTATCTTGCTGACGTCTCCCGAGTTGCGTTATTTCTTTGGGATCATTGTAATCCTGTTTCCCAGCTATGGTGTTGAGTCTATTGCCATCTGTTGGTAGGTATCGGTATCTGCTAGCACTGCGTTAGCTTTCTCGACGTATTGGGTTCTATTGAAGATTAGTGTCATGCTTCCTTTGTGTGCGGGTAAGATTATGTTCCTGTTTTTCTTGGGTCTTTCCAGGGCTTTCCTCTCTTATGCGTTCCATTTTCCTTTTTGGCTGTTAGTTGATAGTCCCAACTATTGTCTGTCTGATGGTCTGTTGTACTTTTTCCGTGAGTCCGTTATCTCTTCTGTGTTGAACGTGTTCCACTGTTACCTCCAAGACAGACCACAAACAAGAAGACACAACATGACTAGAATCACTACCATACATCAAGAACATTTCAGAGATGACCACACGACTACTCAGACCCCTAGGAATCAGAGTAGCCCACAAACCGACAACCACCCTACGACAGCTACTGATGAATGTAAAGGATCCCATACCCAAAACCAGCAAAACTAGGGTAATATACAAAATACCATGCAAGGACTTTGAGAAACATTATACAGGCCAAACCAGAAGAAAATTGACTATACGGATACACGAACAACGACTAGTCACCAAGAGACATGACCAATTCTCACTTGTCTCACTACACACAGACAACGAGGGACACAAATTTGACCGGGACAACACATTGATAAGCTCACAAGCCAAACAGAGAGACGCCAGGGAATTCCTGGAGGCCTGATATTCCAACCGGAACTCCGTCAACAAATACATTGAAATAGACCTGGTGTACAAACCACTGAGAAACAAAACCGGAAGCAATACCAACCACCCCAGAAAACCAAGGCATATAAATAACAAGCGGGACAGAACATCGGTGCTTCACCAGAGGCGCACTGACGATGTTACCTAGCAGGGTGACGAAACGTTTGCAACCAAACCTACTGGCTCGGCGAGCATGTCTACAACCTCAAACCTAAAGCATTTTAGCACAAATGTACAGAACAATGAACATGAAGTAAAAGACAGATGAGAAATGCAAATAATCTAAATAAAATGCTGCAAGTGGAATGTAAAAAAAGTTGAAAACTTTCCCCTCATTCTATATTGTGTGGTCTCTATTGTGCTGTCTATTATGTCAGAATGCAGCACCTCCAAAATGAATAGATACAAAACCTTCCAAAAAAGTTATTAAAAGGAATGATTAAAAGTGGAATTGCTTACTCACCAGCAATACTGTAATTTGTCTTTTGTGGCATCATGTCTCTACAAAATAAAAATATGTTTCTATTGCATACATTACATACCTTTAAGCAAACAAATTTAAATTTAGCTTCAATTGTTGCACTTGAGAAACATGGCTCATGCATTCCACGTTTTAAACTATCAAATTGCACAGCATCAAGCTGTAACAAAACACAGTTTTCCGCTGGCTACAAGTTTCATGATAGTTTATCCATTGGGATGGAAGGAGGATGTTTTATTCAGGAAATGCAAGAGAATAATGAAGAGTTCAGAAATGGTTGTAAAGACATCCTTGAATTCATTTGTATCCATTAAATATCACTATTGAGTGAGAATGACCCAATTGATCCATTCTTTTCTTCTTTCAAATCTTCTCTGCAAATCTTGCCCCGTTCATTTATTTACTCAATTCAATATTCAAATTTATTCTTATTTCCACCACACTTCCAGGAAGTGTATTCCAAATAATAATGTACGTCAATTAAGCAAAAAAAAAAAAAAACAATTCATTGTCTCTTATTTCATTTGAAAAGAATCTTAAATCATTATGCTTTGGTTACTGACTCCTTTGTCAGCTACAAGCTGTTGCCTTATCTCTGAAAACCTTTATAATTTTGAATGCCTGAATCAAAATTGCCATTTAAAACTGTCTGCTCAAAAGGAAAACAAGTCCAGTTTTTCCTAGTCATTTCATGCAACTTAAGTATTCATCCGTGGTCCAATTCTTGTAAATTTCCTCTATACCATCTCCAAGATCTTGACAATATTTCTAAAGCATGCTGCCCATTATTGGCCACAATACCAAAGCCAGGCACAGGTGTTTTCTTTTAAAAAAAATTTTTCTTTTCGTTTTCCATGCTCTATTTATAAAATCAAGTGTCCTGTACACCTTTTTTAAACAAAAGGTTCTTTATACAACATTTTCTACCATCTTCAAAAAGCTTGTATGTGCGCATGATGGAGGCGATGGCCCAGTGATATTATTGCTGGACTATTAATGCAGAAACTCAGCAAATGTTCCGAGGACCCGAGGTCAAAACCCACCACAGTAGATGGCAAAATTTGAATTCAATAATAAAAAAAAAGTGGAATTAAGAACCTACTGATGACCACAAAACCATTGTCAATTGTCCAAAAAACCCACCTGGCTCACTAATGCACACAAAAAGCAGGACAAGTCCAACCTGACCAATTACCACCCCATCAGTCTATTCTTGATCAGTAAAGTGATTGCAGTGCTATCAAACAGTACCTGCTCAGCACTAACCTGCTGAGTGATGCCCAGAGTCAGTCAGCTCCTGATCTCACTACAGCCTTGGTTCAAATGTGGACAAAATAGCTGAGATGGAGGTGACAGAATGACAGCCCTTGATGTCTAAGCCACATTTGACCAAGTGTTGCATCAAGGTGTCCAAGCAAAACTGGATGAATGGGTACCAGGGAATAAACTCTCCACTGGTTGGAGTCATACCTGAAGATGGTTGTGGTTGTTGAAGCTCAGTGAACTCAGCTCCAGGACATCTCTGCAAGAGTTGCTCAGGTCCTAGGCCCAATCATCTCCAGCTGCTTCAATGACTTCCCTCCATCATAAAAAGGTTTGAGGTAAGGATGTTTGCTGATGACTGCTCCAATGCTCAGCACTGTTGGGGACGACTCTGATATCAAAGCAGTCCATGTTCAAATACAACAAGTCTGTACAATATCCAAGCTTGGGCTGACAAATGGAAAGCAAAATTTGCCCCACACAAATGCCAGTCAATAACCATCTCACCACTGCCCCTTGATTTTCAAAGTGTTACCACTGACCAGAAATTCAACTGGACTTGCCACAAACACAGTGGCTACAACATAAGGTCAGAGGCTAGGAATACTGTAATGAGTAACTCACCTCCTAACTCCCCAAAGCCTGTCCACCATCTAAAAGGCACAAGTCAGGAGTGCAATGGAACACTCCCCTCTTGCCTGGATGGGCACAGCTTCAATGACAGTCAAGCTGCTTAATACCATGCAGGACAAAGCAGCCCGTTTCATTGGCATCACATTCACAAACATCCACCACCGATGCTTAGAACCAGTGTGTACCATCTTCAAGATGAACTGCAGGAATTCACTAAGGTTACTTAGGCAGCACTTCCCAAACCCACGACTACTTCCATCTAGAAGGACAAGGCCACCACCTGCGAGTGCCCTGCCAAGCCAGTTACCATCCTGACTTGGAAATATATTGCCATTACTTTAATGTCGTTGGATCAAAAATCCTGGAATTCCCTCCATAATAGCATTGTGGGTCAACCCTCAGCATGCAGCAGTTTATGAAAGCAACTCACCAACACCTTCGAGGGTAACCAAGGATTGACAAAAAAATGCCAGCCAACCAGCAATGCCCATGTCCACAAAATTAATAAAAAATGCCAACTGTCTGATCCTGCATCTGCTTTAAAATTGTACCACACAGTTCATGAGTAATTTCACAATGCCAACATATAATAATGTAACATAGATGATCAAAACTTCAATTCATTAAAACAAAAGTGAAAAATATTGTTGAATGATTCAATCTCAAAACAGAAAAACAGTAAATATAGGTTCAATGGCAAGTTTACAAAAACTACATTGTAACACACAGCCTGCATTGTGTAGCATTTACCACTGGGTGCCCTCCAGTGACCCTCCAGACGACAAAATAATTATTCTCTAAAAGCCCTCTATGCTGATAAAATGCCCTTCGGAAACATCATACTGATAGTAAAATCAAACTTCCATCGTATAACCTCAAATTAAATGCACACTGCAGCACCAATGACTGAAATAACTCCAGAGAGGCCAGTATCACGTCACCAAGTCATCCTTTATTTCCACATGTAGAGTTCTTCACACTGACGCAGCTCTGAGTGAAAAAGAACCCCGACACTCCTTTTTATATTTTGTCAACCAGGACTGCCTGATTGGATGAGATTAGCAGCCTGAATTGGGGAACTTATATTTTATGAGGTCCGCTTGGCCGACCTCGCTATAATCACTATATCACTCCCCAGAGTCCGAAGGCAATTGTTTTTTTTTGTAGCTCCTTCTGGGGCATTTTAGTACCTGGTCAGGTTCCTTCAACTCTGCCTCTGACATGGGCAGCGTGTAAGCAATGGCCTGTTATATGTGACCAACACATTCAGCAGTCCATGTATTGTGAAAGATGCGTGCAGTTTTTCTATTGTCATCCCCATGTTTGATGAACGAACTCTACACACAACCAGCCACTGTGAGTGGGTCCCCACAATGACTAAGAACATCGAGCCCATCAAAGAGCCTGCATAGTCGACACATAACCAAGTCTGGGGTTTACCTAGCCATTCCCACAACGTTCTGATGCTGGTGTTAATTTTTGTCCTTGTTGGTGCTCTGGGCATAGCTTGATCATGTCTGTATCCAATCCTAGCCACGAGGTGCAACTTCTTGCCAACATCTTCATTTTGGAAACCCTTGAATGACCCTGGTGGAGGGTCACGTCGCTTGAGACAATCGCTCTTGCTCCCCATAATATGTTGTCCTCTAATGTGATCTGGTCTCTCTGGGTCCAAAAAGGTTCCAATTCTGGTTGTGATGGCCCTTTGGTTTCCCCCATGGTGAGGGGTTTCAGTTTTTTCCAGGACTGGATCTATCTTTGTCAAAAGTCTGATATTGTCAGCTGTGACCTCAAGTGTGTTCAGAATACTTAAAAACCATTACAGGCTCTTCCAGTGGTGGTACCACCAGTGGTGTATCTGCCAGCAAGAGGCAGCTCAATGCATCCACATTTGAGACTTGGCCTCCCAGACAGTTTTCTGACTTGTAGTTATACGCACTTAGTATTAGAGCCCACCGCTAAATTTGGCCTGAAACTATGGTCAGCACTGCTTTGTCCTCTTTGAGCAGGCCTAGCAGGGGTTTGTGGTCCGTTATTGTAACAAAGGGAGTATTGGTGGAATTTCCTGACACCAAATATGACTGCCAAACCTTCCTTCTCTATCTGGGTGTATTTATGCTCTGCATTAGCCAAAGTCCTGGATGCATACGTTATTGGGCACTCCTTTCCATTAAGCCATCTATGAGCTAATACTACCTCGATGCCATAGAAGGAGACATCACGTGTAAATAGCAGACCTCACTTGGAATCATAGTGTGCCAACATCTTAGGGGGTGTTTCTTCACTTCCCTAAAAGTGATGGCTTGGCTACATGACAATTTTCAAAGCTGAACCTTTTTTAAAGAGTTGATGTAAAAAGGTGCCAGGATGGAAGCCAGCTTATGTGTGAACTTTCCGTAATAATTCACCAGCCCAAGGAAAGATCGAACCACCTCTTCCAACTGCCTAACCCGATTTTGTTGACTCTAGCCCAAGTAGGTCACTTTGGGTGCCTGGAACACACATTTTTCTCTTCTAAGGCATATACCCACATGGGGGAAATATCTAAGGGCTATGCCCCAAGATCTCTAAGTGCTCCTCATTGAACTTCCCTGTTATTAGCATGTCATCCAGATGACTGGCGACCTGGGGTAGACCTTGTAAAATGTTCTCCGTTGTCCACTGAAACATTGCGCAGCCTGACAGTACACCAAATGGCAGTATCATATATTGGTACAAATCCTTATGGGTATTAAATATAGCATGCTTCTAGGAATCTTCACATAACTGCAATTGCAAGTTAGCAATTTATATCCAGCTTCATGAAGGATACCCCACTGTTAGCTTTGCAAATAAATCCTCTATGCAAGGTACTGGGTATTTATCCAGCTGTGAAAAGCTGTTTACCGTTTGTTTGAAATCCCCACAAAGGCGAACTGACCCACCAGGCTTTGCAATTGACACAAACAGTGCTGCCCATTCCACAATCTGGACCAGTTTGATGATTCCTTCGCTTTCCAGCCTCCTGATTTCTACTTCTACTTCTGTCTGCAAGGCAAATGGCTTTGGACGGGCCTTGCAGAATTGTGGAATTGCTACTTGGTCAACATGCAAGGTGGCCTTGGCTCCTTTGATAGTCCCTAGACTCTACTGAAGAAACTTCGATGGAGTTAATTAGGACATCACTCCAATCAAAAAAAAAGTTGAGCCAATCTAGGTAAATCTTTCTCAACCAATTTTGCCATCCAGCTTGAGCCTGAGCCTGAGCCTTTTATTACAATCAGTGGTAGCTGAATCAGCTGCTTGTCATGAGAGACCGGAACTAACATTGTACCCTTAATCCGTAAGGATTCCCCGGTATAGATTCTCAGTCTTGCCAAGGTCTTGTGCAAACTGAAGGGTTGGAGTCAAGGGTGAATTTGGTTAAAGACTGGTTTTGCAATCACTGCGGTGGTATTGACCTCTATTAGCGCTGGATGATCGTTTAACCAGGCTTATTTTGATTGGTTTGGATTTGGGTGTTGCTAAGCAATTTAACCATTCCAAACCAGATGTAGGTGGACTTTCCAGTGTGTGGACTCTCCTGGACACCAACCTTTGAGTTCGCTTACTCAATTTAGGTCTAATGGGACTCTTTTGCTGTTTCTCGTCCACCTACTGGCAGCAATTACAATCGCTTGGTGGGCCAGATCCTGAAGAAAATTTTAACTGTTTGGCTGAAGCTCAGCTTTGTTTTGGGGTTTTTCTGTGGGTATACCTAGAATCCCTCTGTTCAGGATATAGCCTGAGTGAGGCTATGCAAATGCCTTCAGTTAAGTGGTGTCCCCCAATCTCAGTCAAACAAAGTGTCCACTTCCATCAGAATATTCCGCAAGTCATACGGTCCACTTGTTGTATTTTCCAATAATAAAGATAGTTGTAATGCCTGTTTGAGATTCAGCTGGGGCTTTTGCATGGTTATATCATTAATCCCACATACCAAATGGTCTCTCAGCATTTCATTAAGGATTAAACCAAAGTCACATGCCTTTGCCAGTTGTCTTAATTTAGTCAAAAACCCAACACAGATTACAATGGTTCTCGAATGGCCAAGCAAAATCAATGGTATCTCAGAATTAGAGGAGGCTTGGAGTCATAATATTCCTTGACAGGTTTTAGTATCTGGTGCCTCAGGGAAATTTACACTCTTAATAACCGAAAAAGTTGCAGGTCCACAAGCTGTCAGGAGAATTACTCGTTGCTTTTCATTTGTCCCAATGTCATTTACCCAGAAAAAATAATGCATTCTTTCCACATACTGGGCACAGTCTTCGACAGCAGGATTGAACGAGTTAAGCTTCCCAAATAACGACATGATGCCAGAAATGCTTACCCTAATTCAAAGATGACTGTTGCAAGTGAATTTCTTCAGGTGTGTGCTTTTCTTTCGTCACCACTGAAATAAATCCACAGAGGCCAGTATCCCATCACCAAGTCACCCTTTATTTATAAGTGGAGATTAGAAAGAGTTCCTTGACAGCACTATCAAGCATGACCTACTCACCAACAAGTTGCTCACCTGTGATCATTAAGAGTTACAACAAGATCACTTAACTCCAGATCTCATTACAACCTTGGTCCAAACACAGACAATTTAAGTGAATATCAGAAACAAGCCATGAATAAATTGTATTAATTTAAGGCAGCATTTTACCATGTTTGACTTCTGGCAGATCTTTTAAAATTTAATAGAATAAAAATCAGAGAGAAAGCTCTCTAGTGGTTGTGATCATATCCTGTATGACTTCATAACTTTCAGGTCAAAAGTGGGTGTTCACTTATGATTGCACACAAGTCAGTTTCATTTGCAACACATCATATATTGAAGTAGTCCTTATAGGTAGTAAGGCCTGACAAAACAATGAGCACCTCTAACAAGAGAATCCATTTATTGTGTCATTTGAATATCAGTGAATCCTCCACCATCAAGAGCCTGACATCACCATCAATCAGAAACTTAACCAGTCATGTAAGCACTGTGACTATAAGACAAGGTCAAAGGCTAGTTATTCTATAGCAAGTGACTCAACTTTGAAAGAATGTTCCTTTTTTTGTTGTGCATGAGTGTGTACTGTTAAATATGTTAACCTTTTGCAATGCACAAACAATATTGTAGAAGGGATAACTTGTTGGTGCACTGTACCTCCTGAGCTGTTGTTGACTTCCCACAGCTTTCCTACTCTCTGTAAAGATACAAGTTAAAAGTGTGCTGGGACACTTCACACTTGGATCAAAGCAGCTCCAATAAAGTTCAACAAGCCCGGCATCCCTTCAAACTAAGATATATTAGAGAAGGCACTCACTTTCAGCCCTGTGGGAGTTGTTTCAACACACAGGTAGTAGCAGTTCAAGTCAGCACACCACCTACTCAACAGCAACTAGAGATAGGCAATGTATTGGGCATGCCAGCTATATCCATGGCTTGCAAATGATTAAATAAACTAAACAAAAAAGTGTCTTTACCTTTCTAACACTGCTGGCTGGTTCTCCTTTTGGCTGTCTTCTCCTAAAAAAATAATATTTCAGCAATTACAAAATGGACAAAAACCTTAATCCTTTTTGTCAGTATTCCAATTTTAATGTTTAAACAGAAAATATTACTAAGAACTACTTGGTGTACCTGAATGATAACCTGATTCATATACAAAGAATCCAGAATCCTTCTGTAGGGTTGTCTCTCTCTAGTCGAGTCTCTCCTGCTTAACTATTTTTGCACCAAAGTGGTTAACTTCAACTGTCCCACATTACATCTCATCTGCCACTTTTTTGCCCACTCACTTAACTTAGTTCAATTTGCTGTCTTCGCATCATCCTCAACTTATTTTCTTTTGTATCAACAACAAATTTGGCTGCAACATACTTGGCCCTTTTCTTTTCCTTCAATTCTCTGCACAAAGGCAGTTCTGTCACACAGCACAACAACCTCTACCATCGTTAAGATAAGCAGGCTGGTCCAGAATCCACCCCAGTCAAAATAGGGATCATATATCCAATACTGTTCACATCAATCTGATCCACACCAGGTGCCCAGCTGTCTCAACCAGGCCTCACCTATTACCTATACATTAGAATCACAGAATTATAGAATTCCTACAGTGCAGGAAGAGGCCATTTGACTCATCGAGTCTGCACTAAAGAGCATCCCACCTGGACTTATACCTACACCCTATCCCTGTAACTTCTTATTTACCATGTTTAATCCACCTCACCTGCAATCCCTGGACAGCATGGAGCAATTTAGCATGGCCAATACACCTAACCTGCACATCTTTGGACTACGGAGGAAACAGGAGAAGACCCATGGAGAAACCGGGAGGACGTGCAAACTTCACAGTCACGCAAGCTGGAATCGAACCTGGGTCACTGGTGCTGTGAGGCAGCAGTGCTAACCACTGTACTGCCCACTTTGTAGTTCAGAACTTTGAATAGTGATGGTAAAGGCTTCAATTTTGTCTCCATCACATTACTGACCAGGAAGGTCTCCTGTTCTTCCTGCCTGCGACTAATGTTTCTTGGAACGATCTACAAGTTGACACTGAATGGATTTGGCTGTGTTCCAAACACACCTTCCTTAGCCATTCATCTTGAAATGATCCTGCAGATTCTGGCTCAGAGACACTACTCACTATGCCACAAGGCATCCTTTAGTCCCTTTATCCAAGCCATTAACATAGATTACAAATAACTGAGGCCCAGGACTGATCTGATTAATTTTTGCTAATCTGAATATGAGCCATTTAACCTAGCTCAGCTACTTGTTCATTAGCCAAATTCTCTATCCTTGTTAATTTCCCCAACAGCATAAACTCTTACCTTGTAAACTCTTATGTGGCATGAAATCAAATATCTCTTGGAAATCCAAATACACAACATCTGGTTCCTTTCAGTCTACCCTCTTTTTACATCCGCAAAAGAGCTCTAGTGAATTTTTCAAACATTGCTCTCTTTTTGTAAAAATCATTCTGATTCTGTCTGATTCTATGATTTGTGAAATATCCTACTATTTTCTCAATAACAGATTTTGAAAACAAATGATATTAGGCCAACTGGTCTATAAATTTCCAGCTTTCTATTTCACTCTTAAGTGGAGATGTTAATTTTGCAGCTTTCTAAATCACTGACACCTTTCCAGAATATGGAAAGCTTTGAAGAAAACAATACAACGCATTCACCATCTCTGCAGTCACTTAAGACATTTTGGTGCAGGTCATCAGGTCCACAAGACTCATTAGTCTTTAATCACATAAGTTTTCCTCATACTGTCTCTAGCAATTGTTTTAAATTCTTCCCTGGTCTATTTTCTGTTGATGCTGGAATACTTCTTTTATTTTTTACTGAAGAGATAAAACATTTGTTAAAAGTCTGTGCCATTTCCTTGTTCCTGCATTATTAATACCCGAGTCTCATCCTCTAACAATCCAACATTTACTTTAGCCACTAAGACTTTATATGGTAAAAGTCACCATAGCCCTACTGGAACACCGGGCTGATCTCTCATTAGTAAGCAAGACAACTGGTGGCGGTTTAAGCTGAGGGACATAACTGATTTACATATGATTATAGAAACTCTCCATATTAATATCATTAGCTATTTTACTCATTATAATTTTCTTAAACATTTTTGTTAAAAAAAAAAATGAGTCTGAATCCTTGCTAAAAAGTGGAAGGGTGTGCTATCAGTACAGAAAAGGTGAAACTTGGGAAGTTGAGAAATAGTGGATGTACAGTGAAGAATCTATATATACACACACTTATTTGGCTTCAACAGGTCAACAAACGATTATGCAAAACATTTCCTAAAAGAGAAGAGGAGCCCAATACTGGAGAGATTATTTTTGGACTGCAAAAGTAGGGTGGAGAGTTTCAGTGGATCACGCAGCTGTTGAGTGAGGGGATTAGCAGCTTTGGAAGATCGGCCCATTTATGGCTGGTGTTGGGAAAAAAATTTGATTCAAACTGAATGTATAATTTTTGAAAGTTGACCCAAGGTGATGCTCTGAATTTGTTTAATTCATAAATCGGTCAAATTTTCCCAATCTAGTTTGTCACCTGCTAAATTTGAATCATTCAATGTCAGTTCACGTTCTTCCACAACCCCATTTATGAAACACAGTTTGGGAGCTTTATTTATCATAATCTAACAAAAATATCATACTTACAAATTCCAGGTTAAAAGATTTAATGGAAGGCAATGGTCTTGTGGTTTTATCACTATACTTTTAATCCAGAAATCATGGCAATATTCTGGGGACCCTGGTTGGAATCCCATCATGGCAGATAAATATCTGGAATTAAGAGTCTAATGGTGACCACAAAACCACTGTTAATTGTCAGAAAAATCCATTTTGTCCACTAGTGTCCCTTAGGGAAGGAAACTGCCATCCTTATCAGGTCTGGCCTAGGCAGTTATACTCTTATCCCTTAAAATGTATAAAAAAGTTAAAAACAATCTGTATACAATCTTTGGTATTTGTGGTATATTCTCTTTTTAAAGAGAAAAACCTTTTAAAAATTGAACACATTTACAGCAGGTAAACGTTAATATGCAATTGCATCATTTAATAATGCATTTGAGATAATGAGGAACAAAAAAGTACTCCCAAAAATCAAGAATCTGCCCTCAAGAATGATGCACAAAGAGTCCATTTTGATCTCTCTACTGCATGCATTCAGATAAAAAGCCTTTAATTCTGTTCCTAATTTTTCTTATTCTAACGTTATTTACTGATACTCTTGTTTGCATACTCTGCCCCTTCCTGTCACACTATTTATCACCACTCTTATCACCAACTTGCACCACTGAATCATCATCGAGAAAGTTGATAAACAGTCTTCCCAATGTGAACATCCACCTACTTAGTTTAGTGCCCTTCCTACTGGTCCCGGGGCATCCGGTGAAGCCCTGTGAACAGTATGCCTCCCTGCTTCCCTGAAGAGTGGCCAATTCTTGATCGGAAGTTTCTTGATCCCAATCATTTTCTCTGAAGTTTTTTTTCTGTCCCGAGATAAAAAGAAGTAACTCACACAGCATCTGTGTTCTGAAATGGAATCATACTTACCATTTTCTACATCTTGCATGATCATCATCATTTTATCAGTCACAAACTCCCTGAACAGGAAAGGAAAGAGAAAATGTGAGATCCACAATGCCTAAGTTTTCAGCCTTTGTACTTCAGTGGTCAATAGCTGATCTAATCACAGAAACCAATTTCAGGAAGATAGGACAGAAGACATTTAGCCTCTCGAGCCTATACTACTCTCATTGATACTGTGGCTGATCAGTGACCAGAAACTTCCACCAACTTAAAAATTAACATTTGATTAGCATTAATTGCAGTTTTCAGGAGAGGTACAAATTTCTATCACCTTTTACATGTAGTCAAATCCTAACTTCACTCTTGAAATATCTGGTTAATTTTAACATGTCTCCTGTTCTTAAAAACCACAGTTTGCAAAAGTATTTTCTCCCAATTGTTGCTATCTTTACGCTGCGAAGCCCTCAATCAAATAACCCACTGGCTTTCAAACTTCCAGACATCTTCTCAGTTTAAATCCCAAGTCCTGGTAACATTCAGCTGCAGGCATTCCAGGTGTACTCTAACCAAAATTGTGGACAGCTGATACATGACTTCAGTTCCCATGTAATTCTGTTCCTCTACAAATGAAATTAGGATTTCGTCTGCTTTTTGATCATATCCATTTTTGTATTCTTGGCAAAATAGAACAAAGAACAATACAGCACAGGAATAAGCCCTTTGGCTCTCCAAACCGGTTTCTGCCATTCTTGTGAAGGGGTTTCACTATTTACATAATAAATGAAAATGAAAATGTTTGCAAACTGTCATGAAGTTCCACCACGAGAGCATGACCCAATTACAAGATTTAATCAAAATATAAATCTCTCTGTTTGGGGTAATTCGGGTTGCTTTGAAAACTTATTGCTTTCAGTCCTAACAAGAACACCAAGGAATCGACCTTATTTAATTGCTGTTTGAGGAAACTTACATATAAAGTGGATGTTTCATCTCCCAACAGTAACTGCACTTTAAAATCTCTTACAATTGCTATAAAAGCACCTTGGGAGCTCCATAGGTGGTTATGAAAAGTGTAACACAAATGTGTTTTCATTAACTAGCAGCAAAAGTGTTCTTTGGTAAGTTGCTATTGCTTTAAGGATTTGCTTTGATATTATTACAGTCACAATATAACTAAGTGGTGCATTAATCCAAAGACCCAGATAATGCTCTGAGGACCGGGCCTCAAATCCCATCATGACAGATGGTGGAATTTGATTTCAATAAATATCTGGAGTTAAGAATCTATTGATGACCACGAATCCATTGCTAATTGGTGGAAAAACCCATCTGGTTCACTAATGCCCTTTAGGGAAGGAAACTACCATCCTTACCTGGTCTGGTCTACATGTGACTCCAGACACACAGCAATGTGGTTGACACTCAACTGCCCCCTGAAATGGCCTAGCAAGCCACTCAGTTGTACCAATTGCTACAAAGACTCAAAGAAATGAAACTGGACGGATCACCCGGCATCGACCTAGGCACCGGAAAAGAAAATGGCAGAAACAACCCTGCCGACCATGCAAAGTCCTCCTCACTAACATCTGGGGGTTAGTGCCAAAATTGGGAGAGCTGTTTCACAGACTAGTCAAGCAACAGCCTGACATAGTCATACTAACAGAATTATACCTTACAGACAATGTCCCAGACACCACCATCACCATCCCTGGATATGTCCTGTCTCACCGGCAGCACAGACGGCACAGTGATGTACAGTCTGGAGGGTGTTGCTGTAGGAGTCCTCAACATTGACCCCGGACCCCACGAAGTCTCATGGTTTCAAGTTAAACATGGGCAAGGAAACCTCCTGCTGATTACCACATACCGTCCTCCCTGAGCTGATGAATCAGTATTCCTCAATGTTGAGCAACACTTAGAGGATGCACTGAGAATGGCAAGGGCACAAAAATGTACTCTGGGTCAGGGATTTCAATGTCCACCACCAACAGTGGCTCGGCAGCAGTACTAGCGATCGAGCTGGTCGGGTCCTCAAGGACATAACTGCTAGACTGGGTCTGCGACAGGTGGCGAGGGAACCAACAGGAGCGAAGAGGGAAAAATATACTTGACCTCATCCTTACTAATCTGCCGGCTGCAGTTGCATCTGTCCATGACAGTATCAGTAAGAGTGACCATTGCACAGTCCTTGTGGAGACAAAGTCCCGCCTTCACATTGAGAACAACCTCCATCGTATTGTGTGGCACTAATCACCATGCTAAACGGGACAGACTTCACAGAGATCTAGCAACTCAAGACTGGGCATCCATGAGGTGCCGTGAGCCATCAACAGCAGCAGAATTGTACTCCAACACAATCTGTAACCCCATGGCCCAGCATATCCCCCACTCAACCATTACCATCAAGCCAGGGGATCAACCCTGGTTCAAAGAAGAGTGCAGGAAGGCATGCCAGGAGCTGCACCAGCCATGCCTGAAAATGAGGTATCAACCTGGTGAAGCCACCAAACAGGATTACTTGCACGCCAAACAACAAGCAATAGACAGTGCTAAGCGATCCCACAACCAACGGATCACATCTAAGCTCTGCACTCCTGCCACATCCAGTTGTGAATGTGGTGGACAATTAAACAACTCACTGGAGGAGGCGGCTCCACAACTATCCCCATCCTCAATGGTGGAAGAGCCCAGCACATCAGTGCAAAAGATAAGGGTGAAGCATTCGCAGCAATCTTTTGCCAGAAGTACTGAGTAGACGATTTATCTCGGTCTCCTCCAGTGGTCCCCAGCATTAAAGATACCAGTCTTCCGCTAATTCGATTCACTCCACGTGATATCAAGAAACAGCTGGAGACACTGGATACTGCAAAGGCCACCGGCCCTGACAACACCCCAGCAATAGTACTGAAGACTTGTGCTCCAGAACTTGACGTTTCCTTAGCCAAGCTGTTCCAGTACAGTTACAACACTGGTATCTACCCGACAATCTGGAAAGTTGCCCGAGTATGTCCTGTACACAAAAAGCAGGACAAATCCAACCCGGCCAATTACCGTCCCATCAGTCTCCTCTCAATCATCAGTGAAGTGATGGAAAGTGTCATCAACAGTGCTATCAAGCAGCACCTGCTCAGTGACGCCCAGTTTAGGCTCTGCCAGGGCCACTCAGCTCCTGACCTCACTACAGCCTTGGTTCAAACATGGACAAAAGAACTTAATTAAAGAGGTGAGGTGAGAGTGATAGCCCTGGATATCAAGGCTGCATTCGACCGAGTGTGGCATCAAGGAGCCCTAGCAAACTGGAATCAATGGGTATCAGGGGGCAAACGCTCTGTTGGTTGGAGTCATACCTGACACATAGGAAGATGGTCGTGGTCGTGGGAGGTCAATCATCTCAGCTGCAGGACATCTCTGCAGGAGTTTCTCAGGGTAGTGTTCTAGGCCCAACCATCTTCAACTGCTTCATCAATGACCTTCCCTCCATCATAAGGTCAGAAGTGGGGATGTTCGCCAATGATTGCACAATGTTCAGCACCATTCCTGACTCCTCAAACACTGAAGCAGTCCACGTTCACATGCAACAAGATCTGGACAATATCCAGGCTTGGGCTGACAAGTGGCAAGTTACATTTGCACCACATAAATGTCAGACTATGAACATCACCAATAAGAGACAAATCTAACCATCGTCCCTTGACATTCAATGGTGTTACCATCACTGAATCCCCCACTATCAACATCCTGGGGGTTACCATTGACCAGAAACTCAGCTGGACTCACCACATTAAGAGTGATTAGAAGAGCAGGTCAGAAGTTGGGAATATGGGGCGAGTAACTCATCTCCTGACTCCTCAAAGCCTGTCCACCATCTACAAGGCACAAGTCAGGAGTGTGATGGAATACTCCCCACTTGCCTGGATGAGTGCAGCCCCAACAATACTCCAGAAGCTTGACACCATCCAGGACAAAGCAGCCCATTTGATTGGCACTATATCCACAAACATTCACTCCCTCCACCACTGACGCTCAGTAGCAGCAGTGTGTATTATCTACAAGAATGCAGAAACTCACCAAAGATCGTCAGACAGCACCTTCTGAACCCACGACCACTTCCATCTAGAAGGACAAGGGCAGCAGATATATGGGAACACCACCGCCTCCAAGTGACTCACCGTCCTGACTTGGAAATATATCACCGTTCCTTCACTGTCGCTGTCAAAATCCTGGAATTCCCTCCCTAATAGCATTGTGGGTCAACCCACAGCAGGAGGAATGCAGCAGTTCAAGAAGGCAGCTCACCAACACTTTCTCAAGGGCAACTAGGGATGGGCAAGAAATGCTGGCCAGGCAGCGATGCCCACATCCCACAAAAATGAATAGGAAAAAAAAAAATGCATTAAGTGGCTGTCTGGAGAAAGCGAGAAAGACAGATCCACAAAGAGTGTCACATCTACGATGCAAAGGGAACCTCAAACAGCAACCTCTCAGAGAGGGCTTTGGGGTGCTGAAGACTGGACTTTGATCTTGTGACTACAGAGATAGTAAGTGGTGATGACCTTGTGAGAGTACATCCAAAATTGTAGACACTGTTAGCTTTTTCCTTTTTAATAATACATAAGAATATCCATTAAAAAGCTGATTTCAACTCTACGCGAATCTACCAGTGGGACTGAAGGTCAGAATACAGAAGAAATATTTCATAGGTTTCTCACTCAGTGCTGCAAACCAGTTAGAAAGTAAACAGGACAACAAAAAGGGCACTCTTTCATCCTGGAATTTCTTTGCTGGAATTCAAACAGGGTCAAAAGAAATGAAACACTACCACTACACCACTGTAATGTGTTAATTCAGTAACTGTTGTACTGATTAAATTTCCAAATAATGTTTCTAGTTCTGCCTGTGTTATATTATTATTTCAATATGTACAGTTACTAAATTGAAACTCCCTAGTTTGGATGAATAGAAATATTCACCAAACAATAAACTACTTAATTCCCAGTCATGTCATACCTTAATATCTCTTTGCAAAGACAAACTCCTGACTGGCTTCTGATTAGCTGGTCTTCCTCTTGACCACCAACTCCCGTCTGCTGATTGTAACTATTTGGTACAGGCAGTTCTCCTATAACGCAACAGTTGCGTTCTTGTGAGACCTTGCGCTATACAAAATCGCAATCAAAAATTGCATAATAGGGAGAAAAAAAAAAAGATCGATATAGAAAGTTGCTATACTTGTACAGCAGAAAGTTTGCCTTATCGAAACAACATCCACTATTCAATCACGTTACAGCCAATTCACGTTAATGAAACACACATTTTAGCAGAACTACCTACATAGCAAATGTCAGTTTCTTAAAACAATTCCACCCAGCACAACTGTCCCCAGAAGAACAGACAAATTGCCCATTTGTCTTGAAATTATCATGGCACAAGAATCAGGACCATGGGAAAGCCCAAAACCATCAAATTCAGCTTGAAACCAGCTAAACCACCAACTTCCAACTGTTGCACGCCCTTGCATTTTTTTTCCCTAAATTACTGAATCTATTCTTGCCAATAATACTTTGTATATGCCAAAGCTAGAGGGTGTTTTTATTATTTTACTCTGACCAGACTAAGTACATTAAAGCTAACCTCTGTTTGTTAAAGCTCAAGAAAACCTGCAAATGTGCCTGTTTATAAAAGGTTCAATGAAAGGCTGCAAATAGCTCACTGAGTTGGCAAGTATATCCTTTTTAAAACTCCAAATATAGTCAAAAGCAGTCGAGAATAAAGAACAACCAATCAGTACCTCCCTATCAGATCAGTCTCGTCTGATTTTCTGTTGTAGAGTACAATACCTCTGAACAGGAAAAAAAAACTGCAGATGCTAGAAATTCAAATTAAAGCAGAAAATGCTGGGAAATTTAAATTCAAACCTCAAAACTTAAATCCCTCTCACCACAGATACTACCTGATTTTAACAATGTTAATCTTTATTTTCTGTTTATAAATTACAGCACTGCTGAACAGTGAGATAACAAGATTCGAAATAAAACTAATTACCCTATCTCCCCAGACAAACAACAAACAAGATCTCTACCACTTAACCATTACCAGGTCATCTCCACCAAACACAGATTTCAACATTTATTAGTTTGGCAGGCCCTCTTCTGGTAGTCTCCCTGCCCCAGGACCAGAGAGGCCTGCGATCTCATCTCACTTGTTCCAGAGGTATAAAACAACATTCCTGAACAGGTGATTAGAAAAATGTCAAATTAAAAAAGTGGATCAGCAAGAAGTTAATCCCTACATTCTGCTCACGTTAAATGGAATTTTAATGTGTGAAGTTCCACCTCTTTCACTTACTTGACTTCTTTAGTCTCTGCAAAGCTGACTCTTCGAGAGCTCCTGCGAAGTTTTCCCACATTCTCCATCTACAACGCAGGAAAATAAAAAATTGAGAGCCAAGTTTACAATATTCTAGTTTATACTTCTGATTATCAGCATATTCGTATTTCTGAGCATAGAAAACATCACACCCATGATTGCATCAGATAGGTACTATTAACAAATGTTAAATACCTAGTAGTTGAAGGCAAGATGTCAAGGTGTTGACTAATGCTTCTTAATTATACTTCAATGTGTAGGGTCTTTTGTGACGCAGAGGCAGTGTCCCTACCACTAATCCAGAAGACATTTGGCTCAAAGTCTCACCTGCTCCAGAGGTGCGTCATACCTCATCGGAACAGACTAAAAACACACTTAGATGGTGTCTATGAATCTTGAGGTGCAGTGGTTGCTTCCCTACCGCTGGACTGGAAGGTTTAGGTTCAGGTTCAGGTTCAAGCCCCACTTGCCCTGGAGGGCTGTCATAATTTTCTGAACAAGTAGAATTTTAAAAAAAAAAACTTAAACATGAATAAAAGAGTCAGCCAGCACTAGGGTGGATTGTTTTAGAGTGGAGATACAAGCTCAGGGACAAGCAACAAAAAAAAAAAACCCCAAAGTCTTTCATTCAATTCTTGTTGTATTCTTCAACAAACTTGAAATTATTCTAACACTAGTGGGAGAAGACGACCACTAAAAAGTGAAAGTGGGAAATGAAAGTTTATTTTCAGATAGAAAGATTGAATTGAAGATTTTTCTTAAGAAAAAGGGACTGCAATTGGATAGTATTTTAGCAAAGATGACACACCAGGTATAAAGATGGCAAGATTTAATCTTTTCATAAAGTGGAGCCTTATGACCAATGGAAAAATAAAATGTATGGGATATCCCTGTTGAAAAGAAAACAAGGATAACCCAGGCACTTTTGTTTCCTGCCAGAAACATGGTCAGCTGCAAAGTATTCTCAGAACTAGAAGTTAAGCAAATGGATAGTGGAGGAGTTTGGGATATTTTAAAATTCATGATTAAAATTTAAATGAAAGATGACTCATTGCATGTCTGGACACACTGATAATTTTAGAAAACTGGATAGAGTATGTTACAGAGTTTAACCAATTATATGCAATTTGAAGTGATTCCATTGGGAAACTGTTAGCTATAGTCCTACTGCACAACAGGGCTGTTCTCGTATTAGAGAGATAGCTGGTAGTGTTTCAGCAGGAGGGTCATCATGCCTAGGGCAGGAAGTGAGGTTGAGATGGAGTTCTTCGTGGTAACCTCAGCCCAGGATTTAAACCCACGCTGTTGGCATTACTCTGCATTGCAAACCAGTTAACCAAGTTAACTGGACCCCAGGGAAATTCTCTCATCTATATATGGCTTTAAATGGTTTGATTGCACTAGGATAGGCTCTTGGTCTTGATGGTAATTAGATTCAAAAGAGCAAGACATGGTTTTAGATCAAACAAAAACAAACTTTGAGAAAGTAATTTCCAGCCAGTTTCACAGCACAAATGGACTTGTCAATAATGACACTAAAAAAATGGAGGTTACCATGCTAAAAGCATGGACGCCCTTAATTATTGGGTCAAAACAGCTGTACAAAAGAAAGGAAGAAAAAAAAAAAAACACACAAAGAAAGAGCATAGAAAAAAACTTTGATAGCTGTAACAGGCAGCAGGATGAGACTTTAACAATGAATAACAACTTCAGATGTGACTCGAAGCATCCTTATGCATTGATTTGCTCAAGATGACACATAACATGGAAGGTACAGAGGACAGAAGAACATTGTTGACTATCAGAAAGAATGTCACCAAAAGCTTCAGTGAGATATTGAATGACCTAGTTACGGGTTCAATTACATGGTTCTAGATCATGAGTGTACGGCATGTGGAGTGGATTGGTTGAAATGTTCCATGGATTCATTAAGACAGACAGACTGATGCAAGGTCAAAAGGTTGTGGCCGCCCAACTTATTTCAAGTTCTGTGATGCATAACATACTGAAAACACCAAAAAAAAAAGTAGTAATTCAGTAACTGACTTCAAGTTATTCCAAACTAATCTGTTTAAAATCTATAGAGTTGGATATTAGAGTGCTAAAGTCTGACTTCCAATTTTTAACTGTCACAATTTTATCATCTCAGAAATTTCTCAAACGTGTCTGATCCTCCCCATAGAAGTCAACAGTTTTATCTGGAAAATGTTAAATTAATTAAATTCAGGTCAGATTCTCACAAATGGAAGATTCAACAACTAAGGAAGAATCAGATCAGTTGAGAAGCTTAATTTGACAGTTAAAACGGTTATGCACACATACTTGACCAGATGCACGCTATGATGCATTAGAATCAAGCACCACGCTGAAGTATGCTATCATTAGGGGAACTATTGAAAGCAATAAGACATTGAAGAAATTTAGTTTTGAACGGTAGACACTCCAGTTTCCAGCCCTAGGTGATCCTGAAGAAATGCAATTAGTAATTTTTAAGAGATGGCTCACATGTTAATCTTCCCAATGGTTATTTAAGTTCAGCAGGATTCAAAATATTTAGTGATAAATGTTTTTCATTTACCTGGGAATCAAAGTTTTTAAAAAAAATATTTTTTCACAGCAATGTGGGCAGCACTGACTAGGCAAACACATTGCCCACCAAAACATGGTGGCGAGCTTCCATCTTAAATCCATGCAGTCCTTACAATGTCAAAACACCCATAGTGCTCTTAGGAAGATAGTTCCAGGATTTTTGACCAGTAACAAATGAAGAAGTTGTGGTACAGTTCCAAGAAGGGATAGTGACTTGGAGATTAAGTTGCAGGTGGTAGTATTCTTAAGCATATGCTGCCCATGCCCTTTTAGGTAGTAAAAGGCTTGAAGATGTGGTCAAAGAAGCCTTGCTAAGTGCATCTTGTGGATGGTAGATTCTGCTACCACTCTGAATTGGTGAAAGATGGTTGTGGATGGGATGCCAAGCAAGCAAGCAGCTTTGTCCTAGATGGTGTCAAGCTTTGACTGTTGTAAGAGTTGCACTCATCCAGGAAAGTCGAAGATATTGCATCACATTCCTGACTTGTTCCTTGTAAATGGGGGATAGACAGACAGGAGTGTAGAGACAGGAGGAGTTACATATTACACAACTCCTTGTGGCTCCTCTTATAGACAATATTTATATGGGTGGTCCAGTTCAGTTTCTCGTCTACAGTAACCCTCAGGATGTTGATACTTGGCAATTCAGCAATGATAATGCCACTGAACATCAAAGGGTTGGTGGTTAGATTCTCTTGTTGTAGATGGAATGACCGAGCACTTGTGTAGGATGAACGTTACTTGCCATTTAATCAACCTCAGCCTGATGATACACTTGTGCTATGAATTCATCAAGTACTTTAAAGAAACTCCTATTTAAGTGGTTGTCAGGGAACAAAATGAGTGTATCGAATGCTACATTGATCACTGTTCATTCTGGACAATGTGTACTTGACAAAGGCCAAAAATGAGAAAGGCGCTGAGCTCCAAAAGCTTGCCTGTTCAAAGAAACCTATTGTTGTGTGATTTTTGACCTTGTCCACTCCAGTCCAGCACAGGCATCTCCACATCATACTTGACAAAGAGTCATGGAAAGGAGGTTGAGGATTCCAAAATATAAGCAAGATCTTTGAAAGAAAATTTCCAAAACAAAAACGGGTAATGCAAGTCACCAATTATTCATTTGGGCTGGCATCTTTTGTAAAGAAAAAGTCAAATTGATGATGTTCTTGTCAGAGGGATGCTTTTTTATTATGAATCATAGGAACTCAAATGTATTGCAATCTTATGGAAATGTATTTTTGTTTTAAATATGAGATGATATGGTGTACATTGAAGTTGATTGTACTATCTATGTATTTATGATCACTTCAATTTAGCAATAGTGTCTTGTTTGCATATTAATTTAACTCAAAAAAAGTGGAACTGATAGTATCCAATTGGTTATTTTTGATGGATGTTAAATAACTAGTAGCTGAAGGTAAGAAATGGGTATTGATTAGAAAATACTTACTCAGAGCTCTTGTCATAGTGGTAGTGTTCCTACCTCTGAGCCAGGAGACCCTGGTTCAAATTCCAGTTGCTCCAGGAGTGTGTGAGATAACATCCCTAGACGGGTTAGTTACAAAATATGCCTTCTCAGATGTGTATAAGGGCTTTTGTGAAGTAGTAATATTCCTACCTATGTGCCAGAAGGCTTGTAATCATGTTCCACCTTCACCAAACGGTGAATCATAACACAATTAAACAAGTTGATGAAAAATATACTTGCGTGTGTACAGTGTTAGTACAGTGGTAGTGTCCCTACCTCTGAGCCAGGAGGCTTATGTTCAAGACTGCTGCAGAGGTGTGCCTTAACATCTTAGAAAATATTGACTCAGATGTGTGCTGGTCTTGTGGTGCAGTAGTAGTGTTCCCACCTCTGAAGCAGAAGACCAAAGGTTTAAGCCCTACTTGTCCTGGTAGTGTAGTACAGCCCATTTGAGCAGGATGGTATAAAAATCCTCACATGTATGGGGCTCTTGTGGCACAGTCATAGTGCCACTACCTCTGGACCAGAAGGCTTGGAATGAAGTTCCACTTGCTCCAGCGATACTTCGTAACATATCTGAACAGGTTGATTCAAAATACTTACTGAAATAGAAGAGTCCCCCAGGACTAGGGTGCAGTGTTAAATTGAAATGCAAGCTCTGTGGCAAGTAACAGTCTCCAAAGCATTCCAGTCTCAATTGTTCTTTACTGATATGCTTGGAGGTCCTATCATACATCAATTATAGTCACTTCAAATGGGTTTCAGTATGGTTCCTAGCACCCATTGTTGTGTAGAATCAATTCATCAGCATAACATGTAGGCTTACATAGCTCTCCTCTGCCAATTTTCCCATGTCAAAAGCTAGGTACATCTACATTGTAAATCTGTAATGAAGTGGACACAAATTACATACTACACCAAGTTTTGTTATTTGCAATCCCAACAGTTCTACAGATTTGCTTATCTTGGTAATTCTTGGTTACCTTCTGACTAGTTTCAGCTTCTTTCAAAGTTCGAAGTGGGCTCCTCGAAACTTTCAAAATCTTGATGTGGGGAGGAGGGTGGGAGACATAGAATAAAGGCAAAAAAATGTTATTGAACTTATGCATCAACATTTGTCAGTCACTAATTTGGCTTAAATTTAATGACTAGCTGCAATTTTAAACAACATATTACTTTAAGCCTTTAACACAGAGCAGCTTTCAATAACTGCAAATTTTTGTGCAGTCTGTACGATCTAAATTGGTATAACCGAGAAGACAAATGAATAGTCAGGAGCATCCAGTTCAATTGGGAATTGATGCTAGGCAAGTGCTCGCTTAAAATGGTGTTCCTCTATCCTGCCATCCCTTATTTTTGGATTGGATGTAAAAGCTCGGGACAACTTAAAACACTGAACATGTATTGCAATTTCACAGATGGAGCAAAAAGTTGATGCACCGTTGTATACATTTTTTACTAAACAGTGTAAAGATTTATTTAAATACATCAATTCAGCAAAAAAAAAATCAGGAAGTGAAATGAAATACAAGCAGTAATATACTAACAGTCGATTACAAGTATTTTTTCAATACTGAAATTACTTTAGCATTTAAACTTTTATAATTTACCTGACATCAATGCTGGAGCAAAGGACATTATAAATTATTTTACCATTTGGTAGTTATACTTTTTAACTATCATATTGAGACACTCTTCATATTGGAGCAATATTCCAAGATGATTTAATAAACTCTAGTTCTCATTGTAGATGGACATCAAAGTGAATACATTTAAAAATGTCAATGTCAATGCAATTAAAGTAATCCCTTAGAATCAAATAATTTGATAGAAAACAAGATGAGAGTGTAGCCAATAATAACCCTGTAAAAGATGCAAAACCATGCTAATGTTGGCTGCGGACGGTCCTCTGCCTTAATGATAGTTATCAAGATAGGCTAGAAGTAAATTCAAATTCCCAACTGTTCCATATTTTTTCTTTTTTGAAGTTGAGCGTCTGCTCATCCTCTTAATGGAATTTCCATTCACATGATTGCAATGGAATATGATTAAAATGGGTTTTTAAACATTTTTTTGCACAGCTTCCTGAAAGTCACTAATGTTTCTGTGGTGAGGTTCATCTTTATAAAATCTGACAAAAAAAGTTTGAAAACTGACAAACAGATTTCCAGCTAACGACCACCAAACAGGTGGCCACTTGATGGCTCCATCACTGTAACAGAGATGTCCTTTTCAGATATTCATTTTGTATCATAGGTTTTATTATATAATACCTTTATACAATTAATGATACAGTTACAACGGTCACTTCAACAGATGATTAGAAATATTTTGTACATTTTTAATGCTATTGATGGTCAAGTGATAAATGTTAATTAGTGCACAATATGTGTTACAATGCAGTTTTTGTAAATTCGCTGTAGAAAAATTATTTTTTGCCATTTCCTGTTGCAGCGAATAAGAATTAAATGACAAACTTTCTTGCATGTTTTAATGATTTGGAATTTTGATCATGGTCACATTGTACATTACTATCGCGAAAGCACTCATCATAGTTTACTATAAGTGTACACTAGGCTAAGAGATCATGTTTTGTCTGTGCACAAAGTTCTGCAAATGACTCATGCAGTTTAAGGATTACATCAAACTTACAACACTAGTGTGTCATGGTGCTCAGATACAGGTTGATCCATCAACAAGAGAGCTGCCTTGAACATAGATTTTTCAAATCTTCAGTCCTTCATATTCAAATAGGCAAACCAACACAGGTACAATTAAATATCAGGAGTTGTTAGATCCTTTGTGGTCATGTTGAGGCCTCATTCGACTTTTTATTATAAACTTTTAATTTAAACTATTGAGATTGAGATTTCAAACTGCATTCACTGCATCTTTAACTGAATTTCAACAGCACGTGACAAGGAGACATACTTCAGTAAAAAACTAAACTTGGAAACACACGTCAGGTCAGTCAGCATCTGAAAGGGAGAGGTTTATGTTTTGGACTGGATTCTTCAGTTGCTGTCATTTGTGATGCACAATTCAGGCATGTGAGCACAGCAAGAGTTGCATGTAAAACAGTGTGAAAATTTTTCAAATATTTTGAATGCACTTTAGACCATGCAAAAGAGAATTAATAACTAAATCAAAAACTTACACCCGATTGTCTTCTCTTGCATTTCCCTTCCTGGATTTCAGCACTGAGAAGAAAAAGGTAGCATTAGAACCATTTATAATTCAACACTACTGTGATCTTTTTAATTTGCTTCATTTGGTCAAAAAATTGATTGCGCAGTGGTGAAAGCTGCAATTTTGTCTTTACAAGTACTTTGGAAAAAAAAACACAATTCGTGACATTCACAACAGTCAATGTTTGAAAATTTCGTTTGTCAGACGGATGTGGGAAATATGGAAAAATACTTTGAAGAGGATTTATAATGTGAACTATATACATATCTTTCCAAAGACTGAATATAATGAAGAGAGAAGACAATGGTTTGTCTTCAGAACTGAACACCAAAATAGTGAGGTATAACTGGAAGTGATTAAGTTTAGTTGGGAAATACTGATGGAGGTGTTTAACACATCCGTAGTAGAGGAGCTTCCCAGCACTCATGACTTACCATCCCAAAATCTGTAACCTTAGAAGTACAATAGCAATAGTGTAAAAAAAACAGGAAAATAAGCAAAAGCAAACAGCAAAATCTGAAGAAAAAAAAAAACAACAGTCTTGAAGCCCAACCAGAAAAACAAAATCGATTTTGCTGGTGGACTGTATGCATTCATCAAGATGAACTTTACCAGAATCATTAACATTTTTCTACCTTTCCAATGCCAACTGTTCATTCGAATGAATAAAATTGTTCCACATTCACCAGCCAGACATGCAGGTATAGTATGGACCTTATGCTAATAAATGTCTTACATACTGCACAGTAGCAGTTCTTTAAACCTAGATATCTTTTTTCTTCATGATACATTTCCAAAGGCCACATAACAGATTGCTTCAAGATTATGTACTGAACAATTATTGAACAGTTAATAAAATTCTTTAATACATTAAAGTTACAATATGCTTAAGTCATATCCCAAATGAATTTTACAGACAAGGTTTAAAAGAAAGTTTGAATATGGCAAAGATGAAGTAGATCCAGACAGCATGACAGACAACTATAAGATATTGGTATCTGAAGATGAAAATGTGGACAGTGCAGGTGACCAAAACACAGTTTTACTGACAGATGCATTGATCTTGATTTGAAATCTGCACCATACAAATCAAAACACAAGTCTGGCTATTATCAAATTTAGCATCAGGAAGAGGAATGAAATTGGGGATATGCCACGAACCTTCTTGGGAGAGGTCAGGACTTATTCTTTTGATTTGCTCATGTTCGATTGCAAAACATTCTGATTCATTTACTATATACGTCATGGAGGAGCAGACTGACAGATTAGCATTAATCACAAGATCAAGGTTGACGGTTGTACAAAGCTACAGGTGGGTATCAAGTGGTAGATGAATATATACTTGTGAATAGAATTGCCAAAGCATATCATACATAAATCAGGATGGGAACCATGGATTTAACAGTTAATACAGAATGTCATATCATTGGAGGAGATATACTGGACAAATTGACAAAAGATAACCATCCCAAGACAACAATACTACAGATGGACATAAGGAAGGGGTTCTGTACAAGAACATTGTACTTGATCAGGACAAGCGTCACAGCAATCAATAAAAAGTTGTAACACTCCTGTGTTGGAAAAGGCTCCACACCTGGTCTATTCTTTCTCTTATGTAATACTGACGATAGTCAATTAGCCCATATGTGCAAAACTCCAAACATGAGATACAATTCCATGACTGGACAACAATTGCTAAACAATGTGTTAAAGATTACACCAATGACTAATTTAGATCATCAATTGGGGTTGCAGTGTGGGGTTTCTTTGTGTATTAGAAGCCACCTATGTTTACACACGTGACCCCGACCCTTGCAAACAGAAATAACTTGTCCACACGTTGCATCTTTTTCAACTCCGACTTTTCAGATGGTGAACCCATGGTTAATTCCCCTAGGAATCCCTTGACCAGAGTCAACTTGCCTGGTTTTATTTTAAAAGAAAAGCTCGTCATTTCACAATTCCCTGGTGCATTCAGCATGACCATGCCTTGACCAGAGGCCACATGAGAACTAATCCAAACATTCTTCTCATGCATTATAACATGTAGTTATTTGTTCTAAGACCAAATCTCAAAAAGAACAAAGAACAATACAGCACAGGAACAAGCCCTTTGGCCCTCCAAGCCTGCGCCTTCACATTTTGCCCTTCCATACTAAAATTGTCTTCACTTACAGGATCCCTATCCGTCTATTCCCTTCCTATTCATCTATTTGTCCAGGTGCTTCTTGAATGCTGCTATTACGTCTGCTTCCACCATCTCCTCAGGCAATGCATTTCAGGCACTTGCCACCCTTTGTGTGAAAAGCTTGTGTCACATATTTCTTTTAAACTTACCCTCCCCTCACACCTTGAACTTGTGTCCCCTAGGTAATTGACTCCTCCACCCTGAGAAAAAAGCCTCATATTTTCCACTCTATCCATGCCATTCACAATCTTATAAACTTCTATTAGGTCACCCCTCGACCTCCAGTGTTCCAGTGAAAACAAACCCAGTCTATCCAACGTTTTTACATAGCCAAAATCCCCCATATCAGGCAACATCCTGGTAAACCTTTTTTATACCCTCTCCAAAGTATCTACATCCTTCTGGTAGCATGGTGACCAGAATTGTACACAATATTCCAAGTGTGGCCTAACTGAAGTTCTATAAAGTTGCAGTATAACTTGCCTAACCTTACACTCAATGCCCCTTCCAGTGAAGGCGAGCATGCTATGAGCGTTTCTTACTACCTTATCTACCTGTGTTGCCACCTTCAATGATCTGTGGACTCCCATACCCAGATCCCTTTGCATATCAATACTCCTGCAGGTTCTGCCATTTACTGTATAATTTCCACCTTCCAAAACATATCACCTCACATTTGTCCAGAAGAAACTTCATCTGCCATTTTTCTGCTGATACTGCCAACTGATGTAGAAATCCTGCTGTATCCTCTGACAATCCTCTTCAGTAGCTACAACTCCACCAATCTTTGTATTGTCTGCAAACTTACTAATTAGACCAGCTATGTTTTCCTCCAAATCATTTATATAGAATATGAATAGCAGAGGTCTCAGCACTGATCTCTGAGGAACACTACTAGCCACAACCCTCCAATCTGAAAAGCATCCTTACACCACTACCCTCTGTTTCCTACGGCTAAGCCAGTTCTGTATCTTTTCATAAACTTTGGCAGCAATACACATAATCAGCTTCCAGTTGCACGAGAAATTTTTTGCCTACATTCATTATGAGTCAATCTTTCATACAGTAATTTAAAGTGCCATCTTTTTTTACTTCGTGGGTGGTATTATCGCTAGACTATTAATTCAGAATCTCAGCAAACGTTCTGGGGACCCGGGTTCAAATCCCGCCTCAGCAGGTGGTGGAATTTGAATTCAATTTTTAAAAAAAATCTGAAATTAAGAATCTACTGATGACCATGAAATCATTGTCAAATGTCAGAAAAATCCTTCTGGTTCACTAATGTCCTTTAGGGAAGGAAATCTGCCACCTCACCTGGTCTGGCCTACATGTGACACCAGACAGTGTGGTTGGCTCTCAACGGCCCTCTGAAAATGGCCTAGAAGCCATTCAGTTGTACAACTGGTACAAAAGTTTCAAAGAAACGAAACCAGACCAATTACCCGGCATCGAGCGAGGCACCGGAAAAGACACCAGCAGAAACAGCGCTGTTGAACCTGCAAAGTCCTCTTTGCTAACTTCTGGGGCTAGTGCCAAAATTGGCAGATCTGTCTCACAGACTAGTCAAGCAACAGCCTGACAGTTGTACTCATGGAATCGTATCTTGCAGACAATGTCCCAGACACCACCTGGATATGTCCTGTCTCACCGGCAGCACAGACCCAGCAGAGGTGGCAGCACAGTGATACACGTTCAGGAGGGAGTTGCTCTGGGAGTCCTCAACATTGACTCTGGACCCCATGAATCTCATGGCTTCAGGCTAAGCATGGTTAAGGAACCCTCCTGCTGATTACCATGTACCTTCCTCCTTCAGTTGATTAATCAATATTCCTCAATGTTGAGCAACACTTAGAGGAAACACTGAGGACGGCAAGGGCACAAAATGTACTCTGGGTGAGGGATTTCAATGTCCACCACCAAGAGTGGTTCGGCAGCAGTACTAGGACCTGATCAGCTCGATCAGTGAAGGATATAGCCACTAGACTGGGTCTGCAGCACGTGGTGAGGGAACTAACCAGAGGGAAAAACATACTTGACTTCATTCTTACCAATCTGCCAGCTGCAGATGCATTTGTCCATGACAGATGCATGACAGTGACCACCATACAGTCCCGGTGGAGACAACATCCAGCCTTCACAATCGAGAATACCCTCCATCATGTTGTGTGGCACTATCACCATGCTAAATGGGACAGACTTAGAACAGATCTAGCAACTCAAGACCAGGCATCCATGAGGCATTGTGGGCCATCAACAGCAGCAGAATTGTACTCTAGCACAATCTATAACATCATGGCCTGGCATATCCCCAACCAACCATTACCATCAAGCCAGACAATCAACCTGAGTTCAATGGAGAGTGCAGAAGTGCATGCCAGGAGCAGCACCAGACATACCTGAAGATGAGGTGTCAACCTGGTGAAACCACCAAACGGCTCTACTTGCATGCCAAACAGCTTAAGAAGCAAATGATAGACATAGCAAAGAAATCTACAACCAACAGATCAGATTTAACTCTGCAGTCCTGTTGCCTCCAGTCATGAATGGTGGTAGACAATTAAACAACTCACTGGACGAGGCGGCTGCACAAATATCCCCATCCTCAGTGATGGAAGAGCCCAGCACAAGAGTGCAAAAGATAAGGGTGAAGCTTTCGAAGCAATCTTTTGCCAGAAGTACCGAGTAGATGATCCATCTCAGCCTCCTCCAGTGGTCTCCAGCCAATTCGATTCACTTCACGTGATATCAAGAAACAGTTGGAGACACTGGATACTGCAAAGGCTACGGGCTCTGACAACATTCCAGCAATGGTACTGAAGACTTGTGCTCCAGAACTTGCCACTCCCCTGTTCAAGTACAGGTACAACACTGGTGTATCTACCCAACAATGTGGAAACTTGCCCAAGTATGTCCTGAACATGAAAAGCAGGACAAATCCAACCCAGCCAATTACTGCATCAGTCTACTCTCAATCATCAGTAAATTGATGGAAGGTATCGTTAACAGTGCTGTCCAACAGCACCCGCTCAGCAATAACCTGCTCAGTGATGCCCAGTTTCAGTTCTGCCAGGGCCACTCATCACAGCTTTGGTCCAAACATGGGCAAAAGAACTGAATTCTGGAGGGGATGGAAGAGTCACAGTCCTTGACATCAAGGCTGCATTCAACTGAGCGTGGCATCAAGGAGCTAGCAAAACTAGAATTAATGGGTATCGGGAGCAAAATCTCCGGTGGTTGGAGTCATACCTGACACGTATGAAGATGGTCGTGGTTGTTGGAGGTCAATCATCTCAGCTCCAAGACATCTATGCAGGAGTCCTTCAGGGTGGTGTCTTCAGTCCAACCATCATCGGCTGCTTCATCAATGACCTTCCCTCCATCATAAGGTCAGAAGTAGAGATGCTCGCTAACGTTTGCACAATGTTCAGCACCAGTCATAACTCCTCAGATACTGAAAAATTCCATTTTCAAATGCAACAAGATCTGGACAACATCTAGGCTTGGGCTGATAAGTGACAAGTAACATTTGCGCCACACAAGTGTTGAGCTATGACCATCACCAATAAGAGACAATTTAACCACCACCCCTTGGCATTCAATGGTGTTATCACTGAATCCCCCACTATCAACATCCTGGCGGTTGTCATTGACCAGAAATTCAACTGGACACCCTACATAAACACAGTGGCTACAAGAACAGGTCAGAAGCTACAAATACTGCAAGTAACTCACCTCCTGACTCCTCAAAGCCTGTCCACCATCTACAAGGCACAAGTCAGGAGTGTGATGGAATACTCCCCACTCACCTGGATGAATGCAGCTCCAATGACACTCCAGAAGCTTGACACCATCCAGGACAAAACATTTGATTGGCACTACATCCATAAGCATCCACTTCCTCCACCATCGATGCTCAGTAGTAGCATGTACAATCTACATGATGCACTGCAGAAACTCAAAAGATCCTCAGACAGCACCTTCCAAACCCACGACCATTTCATCTCGAAGAACAAAGGCAGTAGATATATGGGAACACCACAACTCCAAGTTCCCCTCCAAGCCACTCACCACCCTGACTTGGAAATATATTGCCGTTCCTTCACTGTCACTGGATCAAAATCCTGGAATTCCCTTCCTAATGGCATTGTGGGTCAACCCACATCAGGTAGACTGCAGCGGGTCAAGGAGGCAGCTCACCACCACCATCTCAAAGGCAACTAGGGATGGGCAATAAATGCTGGCCCAGCCAGTGACACTCACATCCTACAAACAATTTTTTTTAAAAAAAATTCTGTAATCATTTTCACTGCAAGGCAACTCATTCAGGGTTCCAGATTTATGCAGTATCTAACTCTGCACCAGACTCAAATTCTGTTGCATTAAAATTTGAGTTCTTTGGCAAGTCAGGAGATATTAGTTATATCCAACAAGTTACAAAGGTGATGGATAATGGCTCACATTTTAATTCTAGTGCTTCCGGGTATTATATTTGACATGCATTTACACTGAAGACAAAAGACTGGTTCCACTGCACACTTTCAATTCTTCATCCAAATTGTTCTACAGATATTCCCTATTTTTTTCCCCCAACAGAAATAAATCTTTGCGTTGGGCTCCTACTTGGTGCATAATGCAAGTGTAGTTGGTCCACCAGGTGCAATCACCAAACTGGAACAAATCCCAGTTATAACAGGGAAGGAGGGGGGTGAAAAGCTGCATTTGTCTCCATGACAAGCAAACACAAGAACTTTGCTCATAATAATAAAAGCATGGTTAAGTGTTGAACAACTTTTGTTTACTCTTAAAAGAGCTTAGTGGGTACACTGCTTACTTAAATGACAACAAAGCTAAAACAGGTGCTAATCATCACAGAAGTACGTACTTAGCCTCTGGACATACAGGAAAATTTTCATCCATGGTTTAAACCAAGAACTGAAAACCTGTAAGATGAAAAAGAAATACAACTCAATAGGAATCAAAAACAATTGTCTGAAACTTCTAATTTCAAGTCAGGCAAACTGTTGCAGAACATAGCCGTGCATCACAGAAACAGACCCTTCAGTCCAACTTGTACATGCCAACCAAATACCCTATATAAATCTAATCGCATTTGCCAGCATTTGGCCCATTTCCCTCCAAATTCCTATTCACATACCCATCCAGATGCCTTTTAAATATTGTAATTGTGCTTGCCTCCACCACTTCCTCTGGCAGTTTGTTCCATACATGTACCGTCTTCCACGTGAAAAAGTTGCCCTTAGCTCCCTTTCAGATCTTTCGCCTCTCACCTTAAACCTGTGCCCTCTAGTTTTGGATTCTACTGTTATGGGGAAAAGATCATTCACACTATCCATGCCCCTCACAATTTTATAAACTTCTATAAAGGTCATCCCTCAGCCTCCGATGCTCCAAGAAAAATAGCCCCAGCCTATATTTCAAACTCTCCAAGGCTGGCAACATTCTCGTAAATCTTTTCTGAACCTTTTCAAGTTTCACAATATCCTTCATACAGCAGGGAGACCACAATTGAACACAGTATTACAAAAGTGGTCTAACCAATGTTCAGTACAGCCACAAAATTTCTCTAATCAATGCACTCACCAATAAAGGCAAGCATACCACATACCTTCTTCACTACCTTGTCTATCTGTGATTCCACTTTTAAGGAAGTATGAACCTGCACCCCAAGGTCTCTTTGTTCAGCAACACTCCCCTGGATCTTATCATTAAGTGTATACATCCTGCCGTGATTTGCCCTACAAAAATGTAGCACCTCACATTAATCTAGATTAAACACCATCTGCCACTCCTTGGCCCATCAGATCAAGGTCCTGTTGTACTCAGAAGTAACTTTCTTTGGTGTCCACTATACCACCACTTTTAGTGCCATCTGCAAACATACTAACCATACTTCCTATATTCACATCCAAATCATTTATATAAATGGCAAAAAGCAGTGGACCCAGCACTATTCCTTGCAGCATACCTCTAGTCACAGGCCTTCAATCCAAAAAGCAAGCCTCCACCACCCTCCGAGCCATGTAAAAGTAATGGTAAAAGAGGAAGAAGACATTAGATCTCGGGAACAAACACTTTTGTAATAGGTCTATTCAACTCAGCAAAGACAAAGCAATTCCTTACATAACTCACCCTTTACCTGAAGTCTCCTTCAGGCTTCTTTTTCTTCACAGGATATGGGTATCCTTTGCAAGGTAAGTCTCCATGCCAGGGACCATCCTGGCAAATCCTCTTCACCTTCACCAATGTAATTAAATCCCTCCTATAATGTAGATTCCAGAACTGCACACTATACTCCTTCTTTAACTCTATGCCTTGATTAAAAAAAGCCAACTGTACCTTCTTAAAACACTTATTTGCCTGTCCTGCTACCTTAAGGCACTGGTTGACATACACATCAAGGTTCCGCTGATCCTCAGTATTCAGACAGACCTTCTGCTCATCATAAATTCCCTTGCCTTGTTTGTCCTGGCCAAGTACATCACCTCATACTTATCGGATTGAATTGCATTTGCCACTGATCAGCCCATCGAAATTCTCCAACAATCCTAGCCTATCCTTATTTACCACCATAATAATTTTCATACCTTCCATGAAGTTACTGATCAACCCCTCTAAATTCTTGCGCTTTAACTTTGACCACTGTAACTTCTTACAAGGGACCTTATCAAAAGCCTTCTGAAAAACTATTTACACTACATTCGCTCATTCTTCCTTATCTTATTCAAGAAGTTACATTCTCAAAATACGCCAATGGATTTGTTAATCATGATTTGCCTTTCATGAACCCACGTCCAGTCCCATTAGTTTTCCCGAGTATATTGTTATTATATCTTTTAGGACAGACCTTAGCATTTTCCCCAGTACTGATGCTAGGTTAACTGATAACTTCCAGGAAGTTGATAATGGGGGACTCAGTGATGGTAACACCATTGAACATCAAGAAGCAGTGGTTAGATTATTTATTGTTGGTATTTGTGTGGTGCAATTGTTACTCATGACTTGTCAGCCTAAGCCTGGATTTTGTCCAGATCTTGTTGCATTTAAACATGGACTGCTTCAGTATCTGAGGTGTTGCATTTGGCACTGAACACTGGTGAAATCATCAGCAAACACCCCCACTCTGACCTTGTGGAGGGAAGATCATTGATGAAGTAGCTGAAGATAGTTGAGCCTAGGGCACTACCCTGAGGAACTCCTGGAGCTACGACGACTGACCACCAACCACGACCGTCTTCCTACATGCCAGATATGACTCCAACTGGCAGAGAGCTTGCCCCTTGGTACATCATTGATCCCAGTTTTGCTAGGGTTCCTTGTTGACACGCTCAGTCCAATGCAGCCTTGATGTCAAGGGCTGTCACTCTCACCTCCTGTCTGGAATTCCACTCTTTTGTCCATGTTTGAACCAAAGCTGTAATGAGGTCAGGAGCTGAGTGGCCCTGGCAGAATCAAACTGGGCATCACTGAGCAGGTTATTGCTGAGCAGGTGCTGCTTGCTGGCATTGTTGATGACACCTTCCATCACTTTACTGATGATCGAGAGGAGACTGATGGGGCAGTAATTGGCCGGGTTGGGTTTGTCCTGCTTTTTGTGTACAGGACATACCTGGGCAATTGTACACATTGTCAGGTAGATGCCAGTGTTGTAACTGTACTGGAGGAGCTGGGGGGGGAAGAGGGATGGGCATAAGTTCTGGAGCACAAGTCTTTAGTACTATTGCCAGAATGTTGTGAGGGCCCATTGTCTTTATAATATCTGGTGCCTCCAACCGTTTCTTGATATCAAGGGCAATGAATTGAATTGGCTGAAGACTGGCATCACTAATACTGAGGATGACTGGAAGTGCTAGGTCAGCACTTCTAGCTGAAGATTGGTACAAAAGGCTGAAGCATTTGCAGCAATATGTGGAGGATGGGGATATTTGTGGGGCATCTTTTTACAGTGATTTGTTTAATTGTCCACCACTATTCACGACTGGAAGTGATAGGATTGCAAAGCTTTGATCTGATCCATTGGTTATGGGATCACTTAGCTCTGACTATCACTGGATGCCTATGCCGTTTCTCAAGCAAGTAGCCCTGTTTCATTGTTTCACTGGGTTCATACCTCATTTTTAGATATGCCTGGTGCTGCTCCTAGCATGCCCTCCTGCACTCCCCATTGTACCAGGGCTAATCCCCTGGCTTAATGGGAATGGTTGAGAGGGGATATGCCAAGCCACGAGGTTGCAGATTCTGCTAGAGGACAATTCTGCTGTTGGTAGCAAACAGAGCCTCATGGATGCCCAGTCTTGAGCTGCTAGATCTATTCTAAGTCTGGCCCATTTAGCACAATGAGCGTCACAAAACACAATGAAGGGTATTTTCAATGTGAAGGTGAGACAGTCTCCACAAGGACTGTGAGATGGTCATTCTTACTAATACTGTCTGGGACAGGTGCATCTGCAGCCAGCAGATTGCTAAGTATATTTTTCCCCTCATTGGTTACCTTACCTGCTATCTCACCAGTCTAGCAGCTATATTGTTTAGGACCCAACCAGCTCAATCAGTAGTGTTGCTGCCAAGCCACTCCTGGTGTTTAAAATCCCCCACTCAGATTATATTTTGCACCTTGCCACCCTCAGTACTTCCTCCAAGTGTTGTTCAACTAAAGAGTACTAATTCATCAGGAATGAGAGGATGGTACATATTCCCCATATCTAATCTGAAACCATGAGACTTCATGGGGTCTGGAGTAAATGTTGAGGGCTCCTAGGGCAACTCCCTCTTGACTATATACCACTGCGCTGCCACCTCTGGTGGGTCTGTCCTGCCAACGTGACAGGACATACCTAGGGATGGTGGTGGTGTCTGGGACACGGATATACTCATGGAGTGATACCTTAGAGACAATGTTAGGCTGTAGCTTGACTAGCCTGAGAGACAGCTCTCCCAATTTTGGTACTAGCCCCCAGTTGTTAGTAAGGAGGACTTTGCAGGGTCGACAGGGCTGTTTCTCCCATTGTCTCTTCTGGTGACCCATCTGGTTTTATTTCTTTGAGACTTCATGGCGATTGGCACAACAGAATGGCTTTCTAGGCCGTTTCAAAGGGAAACTGAAAGTCAACCACACTGCTGGGGTCTAGAATCACACATAGACCAATCCAGTTGAGGAAGACAGATTTCCTTCTCTGAATCAAATAAATGAACCAGATGTATTTCTGACGATTGACAATGATTTCATGGTCATCAGTACACTGACTCTAAATTACAGATTTTTTTAATTGAATTCAAATTTCATCACCTACAGTGGTGGAATTTGCATCCAAGTCCCCAGAACATTACCTGGGTTTCTGGATTAATACTCTACAAATACCATTTGGCCATCACTTCCCCAACACTCAACTACCTTGATGGTTAGTTTGTCCCTTCCTAGAATTCTTCTTCCTCATTGGGATATAATGTGAGCCATGAACTAACTTCCTAAATGTCCTCAACCATTCCTTCTCCTGAACTCATTTTCCAGTCCACTTCAACTAGCACTGCCCCCATTCCTTTCTAAGTACATGGATTTATGTTTTGCAAAGTTGGTCACCTCCATATTCTAAATTCAGTTATGATATGGTCATTGTTCCCTAGGGGATCTGTTACTCTTAGATCATTTCTTAAACCTGCCTCATTATACACTATACACTGTCAGATCCAAAATAGCTGATCCCTAGTAGGATTGACAACTGTCTCAAATATAGTACGAATTATTTCTTGTGACTAACTTTACCAATATAATTTCCCCAATCTATATGAAGATTAAAAGTCATCTACAATGGTACATTCTGCCATTTCTACATACTCTTATATTAAATCATAAATTTATTCTCTATTCTACACAGCAGCTACTGTTAGGGAGCCTATAAGCTACTCCCGATAGCATCTTCTTCTACTTGTTATTTCTTACCTCCACCCATACAGATTCTCTCTAATCCAAAGAATTTTTGCTATCATACTTATTCCATTCCACACTAAACTACCTCACCATTCTTCCCTTCCTGCCTACTTATCTTTTTGAAAAGTCACATACCCTACATATTTAGTCCAAGTTTTGATCTCCTTGTAACAATATCTCCACAATGGCTCGAAGATCATATCCAGTAACCTCTATTTGTGCTACTTATTCATTTATATCGTCCCAAATACTATGTACACTACAAAGACGATACAGTTTTGTTAAAATTGCTAAGTTCCACATAGTAGCATCTTGTGCAAAAATGGACAGAACTGTTCCACAATTCAGCAAAGCCAGAACCTATCATTCACTTATCCAATAAAAATACTTAGGTTGGTGGATGGGGTATCAATCAAGCAGGCTGCTTTGTCCTGATGTGGCTGACGTTGAGTCTTATCGGAACAGCACTCATTCAGGCAATAAAAGAGCACTACATCACACTCATGAGCTGTTCCTTGTACAGGATGGGCACGGATAGGGAAGTTAAGCAGTGAATTAAATAACACAGAATTCCCATCCTGTGACCTATTCTTTAGCCACAGGATTTATAATGGATGGTCCAGTTCAGTTTTTGGTCAACGCTAACGCCCAAGGTACTGACAGTAGAGGATCCAGCAATGGTAATGTCATTGAACATCGAGGGGCGCTGAGCAGATTGACTTGCTAGAGATGGTGGTCCTCGCCTAGCACAAATGCTGTTCGCCGCTCATCCCTTTTAAAAACTTCGGGGCGTCCCAAAAGACAAAGCAGCCAGCGAAGCCTTTTTGAAATGTAGTTACTGCGGCAACGCAGAAAAACAAACCAAGGCTGACAGACAGCAATCCCTCAGCAGCTTGTAGGTGGAGGGAGGGGGATGAGGGAGATTTTTTTTTTAAAAAGGTGGAAAGCTCCCCACATTAAAGGGCAAGCATCTGAAGCTAGAACCTGCAGCGGAGAAGTTTGGGTGAGAGAAGCAGGAGGCTTAAGACTCTCCTAAACCGCCCGCGACAATAGCATTCCAGCCTGGAATGGTTTCCAAACTCCAAAACCAAGCTGCGCCGGTAAAAAAAAAACAAACGGACATTTTATGTGCCTTTCCTACAGGAGACAGAACGGCCAACGGACAACGGCAAGAACGCATTCTCACCCGCTTTTAACACCACATTAATGATAAATCCATTTCTTACCTGGGAGGAGGGGGAGATCGGTGCAAGGAACGGTCAATCTGAAACTTCCCTTTCCCGAGGGAGGGAGAGAGAAACAAAATCCCACCACCGACCAATCGGCGCGCGGCCCTTCAGCCCGAGAGAATTTTAAATTCAACCGCCTTGACGTGCGGGAGCTGCCGCGCATGCGCACTAACGGCTCGAGGTCCACCTTACGACCCGTTTATATTTTTTTGGTGGGGGAGGGAAGAGACAGGGTGTTCCGTCGGCAATCTCTTCAGACTCTCAAAAGTCGAAGAAACGCAATAACTTCTGAAGGCGGAAGACGCTAATGCTCCGAATGTGGATTTTGTCGTGTGGGGAAAGGGAGAGTTTAACAACGGTTTCGTGAGAGGGAAGTGACGTCAAGGGACCAGGCGGGACGAAGTTTGAATTGTGAGGCGGCGATTTGTTTTCTATCTAAATCTGTATACCGTACTTGCAGAAATATCGTAGGAGGAGGCGACCGACGGTAATGAGTAGAGATAACAAGGTGTAGAGCTGGATGAACACAGCAGGCAAAGCAGCATCATAGTAGAGGTTGTGTGTGTGTGTGGGTGTGGTGAGGAGAGTCACTGGTCGTGATGGGGCATTACTGACTGGAGGTAGCGTTATTCACTTTGTGTGAGAGCATTAATGAGTAGATTTTTCTGATCAACTTGTTCATCGAGATTTTTTTCAGTGTGCCATAAAAGTCTGCGTACAGGATTAATGGGTAAAGGTAATGGTGGGGTATTAGTGACCAGAGATGCTGGATATCAGCAAGAGTGATGCTTGATAACTGAGTTTATTGGCTAACGGAGTCAATGGCATGCTGATGGGAGTATATTATTTGGAGGAATAATACTTAAGTAATGAGTACTGTTAATTGTGGATGCTGATTGCCTGTAAAAAGGTGTGAGCTGTGGAAGTGCAACTTAGTGGTTACAAGTTAACAGCTACAATGGAAAATTCAGGTTCTGAGGAAGTGTCATTGGACTTGAAACGTTAATTCTGATTTCTCTTCACACGTGCTGCCAGACCTGCTAAGTTTTTGTTTGTGATGGAAGATTTAGGGACTAACAACTGGTTTACTTGTCTTGTAGGTTGCCAGTGTAAAAAGATATCATCAAATTTAATGGGAGATTTAATGATTTGTATATTATGGCGATTTATCAGCCAGGAAAGGAGTATTAGTTAGATGTGGTAGTGTTCTTACCTCTGATTGAGGAGACCTGGGTTCAAGTCCCACCTGCTCCAGAGGTTTGTAATAACATCTCTGAACAGGATGATCTGGAAATATAAGGTGTACTGGTTAGAGGGTTTTTGTGATGTATTGGCAATGTTCATATCTCTGGGTAAGAAGGCCTAGGTTCAAGTCCACTCTGGTTCAGAGGTGTGTCATAACATGTCCTTTTTTCTTAAAGAAGGATTTTAGTAATTCTGCATAAGTGAATCTGTTGGCCATGAAACTGTGACAATTTGCTCCATGAGCTTCCTTTGACAGCATCTAGTGGCATCAGGTCTAACATGGGTAAGGAAACTTCATGAACGTTACTGTCACGTCACCTGCCCCTCCCCCTTCTGTATCAGTATTTCTCTAGTTGAACACGACTGGTTAGCTACTGCCTTTGGCATCAAGCCAGTGTTTGATGGACAGCAGGAGGCATCACAAAGCCCTAACAACACATTTTCTAATCAACATGTTCAGAGGTGTTATTACTTAAGTTTTGGAACTTCAACCCATGTCCCCTGGCCCAGGGGGTAGGGACATGAGTACTATTCCCCAAAAGCCCCACAAGAAGCCTTAACAAAACTAGAGTCAAAGGGATTGTTTTGCTGGTTGGAGTTGTATCTAGCACAAAGAAGATTGTTGGAGGCCAATCATTTCAATTCCAGGATATCACGACAGGAGTTCTTCAGGATAATTTTTTTAATCAACCTGTTATAACATACTTCTGGAGCACATGGGACGAGAGCCTGGACCTTGTGGTCCAAAGGTAGAAAGACTACTGCTGTGGCACAAAGCCCCCTTAAGTTCTTCAGGTTACTGCCCTAGGCCCAAACATCTTCAGTTGCTTCATTAATGACCTTCTGTCCTTTATGCAGTCAGAAGTAGGGATTTTCTGTGACAAGTGCACAATGTTCAGCACCATTTGTCAACACTTGAGCTCCTAAAGCACTGTATGTCTGTATGCAGCAAGACCTAGTCAACATCTGGGCTTGGCCTAATAAGTAGGCAGTAAAGTTTGGGCCAGATGTAACAAGCAATAATCAATTAAAATTAGAGAAAACAGCCATCTCCACTTGACAGTCAATGGTATCATGTTGCTGACTCTTCTCTTTTTTTTTTTTGCAAACAAAACTATGAGGGTTACTTGACCAGAAACTGAACTGGGCTAACCATATGAATATTATGGCGACAGGAGAGGTCAGAAGCTAGGGATTCTTCAGCAAGTAACTCACCACTTATCTCCCTTGTGCTTGTCCCAATCTATAATCCACAAGACAGGAGTCTAATGAAATACCAGAAATGGGTAATTGAATTTAAAGCTACAAGTGAATATGCAACTAAATTGTTTTGGGTCTTTATTATGTCTGCTGTCTTCCTTCATGATGTTATATTTCTTCAGTGTTATCTGTCTGAAAAGATGCAGCGGTCCAGATTACCTGTTTACCGTCCAAGACATCCACATAATGCCGTGTCTCCAGTGGAGGCTCCGACTGCTAAGATGCTCAGAACAGGTAAACTCCAATAATTTTTTTTTGTTTTAAAGGTAAATTTCAAAGACAGTAGGATGTTTTGATTGAGCATGAATCACCAGGTTACATTTAGCACATTTCTACATGCAACCCACTATCTTCAATCAGTTCAGTGTCCTCGGCCCAACCATCTTCAGCTGTTTCATCAATGATCGTTCGGTCAGAAGTGGGAATGTCTGCTGATGACTGCACAAGGTTTACCACCACACATGACTCCTCAGATACTGAAGGAAACCATGTCCAAATGGAACAATACCTGGATAATATCCAGGCTTGGGCTGAAATGTAGCAAGTAGTATTTGCGCCACACAAGTGCCAGCCAATAGCCATTTTCAATAAGAGACAATCTAAGCATCATCCCTTGACATTCAATGGCTTATCATTGAAACCTCAAATATCCTAGGGGTTACCATTGACTTGAAACTGAACTAGACTACCCATATAAATACAGTGGCTAAAAGAGCAGGCCGAAGGCTAGGAATACTGCAGTAAGTAACTCACTACCTGACTCCCCAAACCCTATCCACCATCTACAAGGCACAAATCAGGAATGTGATAGAATATTGACCACTTGCCTGAATGAATGTAGGTCCAACAACACCCAAGCTTGACATCTGTCAGGCAAAGTAGTCTGCTTGATTGGCTTCACATTCGCAAACATTCAGTTACTCCACCACTGAAGCTCAGTAGCAGCAGTGTGTATTATCTACAAGATGCACTGCAGAAATTTGCCAAAGATCCTTATACAGTACCTTCCAGACCCACAACCAATTTCATCTAGAAGGACAATGACAGAAGATACATGGGAGCACACATCACCCACAATTTTCCCTCCAAGCCACTCACCATCCTGACTTAGAAATATGTTGCTGTTCTTACATTATTGCTTGGTCAAGATACTGGAACTGACCCCCCCAACCCACCACAAGCATTGTCAGCCCACATATTGCACACGAAGGCAGCTCACCACCAGCTTGTTGAGGGCAACTTGGGACGGACAATATATGATGCCCCATCTCACAAGTGAATTTTTAAAAATCCATTAATTTCATTGTAGATGGTTCCCTAGCTTCTAAGATTGGACTTGGCCTTTTATGCTGCATATTGTAGATGCGGCTTTGTTTATAAAAATGCATTGAAGTGGAGAGGCTCAAACTTCCACAGACATAGGTGAATGAAAGTATGGTCATCAGTGGTGTAACAAAAGAAAACAATTTTGACTGATTTTAGTATGAGAAAGTCAGAAGATGGAGAGGTGCAACACCATGGGGGGCATTTGAACAGCAAGTGTTGGTAGACCAGAAGTTGATGCGGCTCCGCTGGCACAGTGAACAATAAGTTGGTTAGGTTATAGACCATAAGGGGCTAAGTGCTCAAATAAAAACAACATACTGCAGATGCTGAAAATCTGAAACCAAATAGAAAATGCTGAAGCAGCACAGCAGGTCTGGAAGGCATCTGTGTCGAGAGAAACAAGAGTTAATGTTTCAAGTCCAGTATGATGACTCTTCAGAACTTTAGGGTATTAAGTGAATCATTTGTCAGGTCAACAGCTTCAAAAGAAATTTACTGCTGAGTCGTTAATAGCACTGCAATAATTGAGTGATTTTCACGTTTATTCAATATACCATTTCTTTCTCAATTTAGATAAAATCTTGCGGCCTTCATTGAAAAAAATCTCTGTGAACCAGGCGCTCCCAGAGTTTGAGAAAGATTTACCTCGGACGTTTAATTTTTCACAGAAAAAGTCTAGTGCTGTCCCCTTTGAGGCAACAGCACAGCCATGCAAACTGTCTTTAAACAAAAGGTACAACTTAATCTGAGCTTGGAAGTGTAAATTAATGATCTGCAAATACACTTTGTAACCAAATCTGAATTTCAACTTGGTGCATTAATTGAGATGTAATGAATTGATGCCTCTTGGGCTAACTGTGATTATGTAAAGAGGATAAGTTCTGCTTCCCTGACTGTCTCCATTCCCAAGCAATGACCCTTTATTTATACCAGCTTCCTTTTCCTTAGGTATTCTAAACCCAGAAGGGAAAATTGTACTTTTATGTGCACAATTACTCTTTCTTTAACTGGAGAAAATTCATTGATTTAATTCGTTTTACAATTTCACATTTATTAATTTTGAAACCTTTTAAGGTTTGATGTTCTATTGTGTAGCCACCTACTTGACGACAATCCTGGGGTACTTAAATATCAATGGAGACCTAGAAGTTTGTACTGGGGTGATGGAGTAAGTTGTTTGTGCTTTACAATAAAGGCAGCAGTCTCCGACACCCAAAATGTCAGATCTTGGCAGTATTGAGTTGTAAACTAGCTGTCCATTTAAATCTGAATAACAAATCAGCATTTCTACCTGAGAAACAATAGTCTCTCTCACTTGGGGAAGGTGCTGCAGAAGTCATTTTTGAGGTCAGGTTATAGGCTCCACTATAAATTGATGAATATCTCAGACAGTAGCTTGTTGTGGTCAGCAAGCTTTTTCCTCATGTCATTGTATGATGATTGGCAAAACTAGTAACAATCTTATTACAAACAATCTTGAAGCATTTATGAAATGAGGAGGCTCAGATCTACAAATATTTGTGTGTTTAACCTTGATCAGACTTTGTTGACAGTACAGTCTTCAAAGATCATTCTTCTGTAGGTTTTTAAACATAGGAGCGAAATTAATTCCTCACCTACTTGTGTTGTATCAAAAGGCAACAATTCTAATGTGAATGCAATTCTCATTTTTCCTTACTCTGCTAAAACATTTTTACTACAGAATGTATTTTGAAAGAATTGCACAGTCTCAGATTTATGGTCTTATATCTATACTTATACGTTATTTATGCATTGTATGTTGATTGCTTGGTCCTAGTGCTGTTAAACAAATTTTAAAATCTGCTAATACTGCCATAATAACTTTAGCAACTTTTTCTTTGCTAACAGATGCTGGCATAGCTGTGAATTGAATAAATCTTAGTATTTTTGAAATTGACTTACTGATATTTGACAGTATATTTGTCTCTTTCACAGTTGTTCCAGAAATAAATTTTTCTGACCAAAATGCATATTCTTACCATAGTGTACAATAAATAGATTTTGAATGAGTTTTTAATACGTTTTCTTTTGCAGAAAGAAAATACCCCCTTTATCAAGGATGACTCGTGCTGACATGGAAAAGTGAGTGAAATTTGGCTGTGGTGCATTTGAATTGAGTGCACTTAATGCATTTAATAGTTGGTACACGCAAATTTAGAAAAAAGTTGTTACACAGTAATTTGAGTTAGAAGTTTGTGGTACCCCTGATGGTGCAACTGATTCTAGTTAGCCTCTTCCAACACCTATAGGTATGATGAGAATCATTTGGGCTTTTAGTGTGCGAATTTTGGACGGTTTACGTGAGACCTTTTTGGTATTGGCCTTGAAATCTCTTGCATCCATCTGAGAGACCAAGCAGGCCCTCCGTTGAGTGCAGCTATACAAAAACAATTTGTATAACTAACAGTATTTAGAGCAATTGCAAATGTGTTTAAAGACTGTAAAAGAGAACAATGCTAATATGGAGCAGGTGACTTTACTCCTTAGCTTTTGAGATCTCTGATGTGTTTTGAATTTTTTTTTCAATCCTCATATGATCAATGATAATTTTATTTCTTTAGATACATGGCACTGAGAGTGGTTGAAGCAGAGCTTAGAGACCAAAATCAGCTCTTGGAAGTCGCCCAGCAGCAGTTAAAGCAGGAACTGAAGATGGCAAAAGTAAGTTCTGGCTGGGTGGATTTACTGCCAGCCTAATTCTGAAGCCCTTGTGAAAAATATCCTACATTTATGAAGGAATTTGTTCCCTTTCTTATTGAAATGTGGTGATTACTTATCAACGACAAAGTGACCTTCTAACTACCCCTAACCCTAACTGGAGTTCTGAGGTGTTTTCTGGTTCTTTGCTGGTCAAAGCTGCTCGTCAAACAAGTATTTACAATTTATGCCTTGTTTACTGTAAAATACCTGGCAATATTATAATTTCCAAACATAGACTGGGACTGCCATAGTGTTAAGGGCTTGGAGAGGAATTTAAGTGTGTACAAGAAAATTTTCTGATTCAGTATGTGGATGTACCATGTGGATGTAGGTGCAAAACTTGACTTACTCTTGGGAAATAAGACAGGGCAGGTGACTAAGGTGCCAGTGGGGGAGCACTTTGGGCCAGTGCCCATAATTATATTAGTTTTAAAATAGTGATGCTGAAGGATAGACCAGATCTAAAAGTTAAAGTTCTAAATTGAAGGAAGGCCAATTTTGACCGTATTAGGCAACCCCTTTCAAAAGTTGTTTTGGGGAGGGTGTGGGGTGTTTGCAGATAAAGGGATGGCTGGAACGTGGGGATCCTGCAAAAATGAGATAACGAGAGTCAAGAGACAGTATGTTCCTGTTAGGGTAAGGCTAGTAGGTGTACAGAATGCTGTATGACGAGGGAAATTGAGGTTTTGATTAAGAACATGAAGGAAGCATATGTCAGGTATAGATCGAGTGAATCCCTTGGAGTACAAGGGCAGTAGGGAGTATACACGAGGGAAATCAGGAGGGCGAAAAGTTGTCACGAGATAGCTTTGGCAAATATGGTTAAGTACAATACAAATGTATTGAGGGAATAGTGCCCCTTAAAGATCAGCAAGGCCACTTATGTGTGGAATGGCACGAGATGGGGAGATACTAAACGAGTATTTTACATCAGTATTTACTGTGGAAAGGATAAGGAAGATATAGAATGTGGGGAAAATGAATAGTGATAGCTTGAAAAATGTCCATATTACAGAGGAGGAGATGCTGTATGTCTTAGAATGCATAAAAGTGGACAAATCCCTGGGACCTTGTGGGAAGCTAGGAGAAGTGATTACTGGGATCCTTGCTGAGCGATTTCTATGATCGATAGCCACGGGCGAAGTGCCGGAACATTGGAGGTTGGCTAACATGGTGCCACTATTCAAGAAATTTAGTAAGGAAAAGCCAGGGAACTATAGACCAGTGAGCCTGACATTGGTAGTGGGCAGGTTGTTGGAGGAAATCTTAAGGGACCGAATTTACGTGTATTTGGAAAAGCAAGGATTGATTAGGGATCGTCAACATGGCTTTGTGTGTGGGAAATAGTGTCTCTGTAACTTGGTTGAGTTTTTTGAAGAAGTATCAAAGAGGATTGATAAGGACAGACCGGTGGACCTGATCTATATGGACTTCAGTAAGGTGTTTGACAAGTCTCCTCATCTTTAGACTAGTTAGCAAGATCACATGGAATACAGAGAGAACTCGTCATTTGGATACAGAACTGGCTCAAAGGTAGAAGGCAGAGGGTGGTGGTGGAGGGTTACTTTTCAAACTGGAGGCCTGTGACCAGCAGTGTGCCACAAGGATCGATGCTGGGTCCACTGCTTTTTATCATTTGTATAAATGTTGTGGATGTGAATATAGGAGATATGGTTAGTACATTTGCAGATGATACCAAAATTGGAGGTGTAGTGGACAGCAAAGAAGGTTACCTCCGAGTACAACGGGATCTTGATCAAAACAGAAAGAACTGCAGATGCTGTAAATTAGGAACAAAAACAGAAGTTGCTGGAAAAGCTCAGCAGATCTAGCAGCATCTGAGGAAGGCTCACCGGACCTGAAACGTTAACTCTGATTTTTTTCTTTACAGCTGCTGCCAGACCTGCTAGGATCTTGATCAGATGGGCTAATGGGTCAAGGAGTGGCAAATGAAGTTTAATTTTAGATAAATATGAGGTGCTGCATTTTGGAAAGGCAAATCAGGGCAGGACTTGTACACTTAATGGTAAGATCCTGGGGCATTGCTGAACAAAGAGACCTTGGAGTGCAGGTTCAATAGTTCCTTGAAGGTGGAGTTGTGGGTAGATAGCATCATGAAGAAGGCATTTTGTATGCTTGCTTTTATTGGTCAGTGCATTGAGTGTAGAAGTTGGAAGGTTTTATTGTGGCTATACAGGACATTGGTTAGGCCATTTTTGGTATACTGCGTGCAATTCTGATCTCCCTGCTATAGGAAGGATGTTGTAAAACTTGAAAGGGTTCAAAAAAGATTTACAAGGATGTTGCCAAGGTTGAGTGTTTGTCTATAGGGAGAGGCTGAATAGACTGGGGCTATTTTCCTTTGAGCATCAGAGGCTGAGGGGTGACCTTTATAAAGGTTTATAAAATCATGAGGGGCATGAATAGTGTAGATACTCAAGGTTCTTTCCCCCAGCGTGGGGGAGTCCAAAATTCAATGTCATAGGTTTAAGCTGAGAGGGAGAAAGACTTAGACTTAAAAGGGATTTAAGGGGCAAGGTTTTCACACAGATAGTAATGAGTGTATGGAATGAGCTGCCAGAGGAAGTGGTGGAGGCTAGTACGATTAGAACGTTTAAAAGGCATCTGGATGTCTTTACAGTTGGTTCTGCTATAACGCGATTTCATCAGTGCGCGGAGGAGTATGTGTTGACATCACATGATCATTTCTCGGGCTTTGTCGTGAATACGTACAATGTTAGCACTGAGAGAATCTCTGCGCCAGCATCACGTGATCATTTTGTGGGCTTTGTCATGAAGTGCTTTCCTGAGAGAGGTACAGTACAACCTCCTTCCCCATCAAGTCATCATGACATTTTTTCAAGGTAAAGTGTTAAATTTACTTTAATTCATAGCTAATAATAACATAAAACATTTATTCAAATTGTGCTATCCTTTGTGTTAAGCTTTTGAGTGATTTTTCAGTGGTTTTTTTTTTGGTGTTCTGCCCCTAACCCCGCTTTTCTCATAGGCACTGTTATTTCTATAGCGCAATTTTCTACAACATAACGTTGCACAGGAATGCAGCTATTGTGTTATAGCAGAACCAACTATATGAATAGGAAGGGGTTAGAAGAATATGGGCCAAATGCTGGCAAATGGGACTAGATTTATTTAGGATATCTGGTCGGCATGGACAAATTGGACCGAAGGGTCTGTTTCTGTGCTGTATATTTCTGACTCTCTATTGACGGACATTTCTTGATTAGCTTCAAATTTTTAATGTGTGTATTGGAATCAGCTGTTAAACTAAGAAGTTATTTGTTTTGCTTTTATTTATTCATCCCCCACCATGACATGGGCATGTAATCTGTTAGCCCAATAATAGTGGGAATTTGTATTTTTGTTGAAAGTGTTGGTTGCCACTCAAAAATGTCAGTGCCAGAAGAGCAGGACAGAAGATAGTAGGAATGTAAAAATATCTGCAAACAAATCTTAAAATCCTTTCTCTTTACAGGGATTCACGGAGGAGGATACAACATGATCACTGTAAAATTATCCCAGTTTCTAGCTGGTATCTGGGTTGTACATGGTCTAGTTTTCTATTTACCGATAGTGAATTGCACAGTCATTTCATCGTAGAAACTAACTTTTATTTAATAGGACAGTCAAAACAATTTGCTAGTCTTAACAAACTATGATGATGTAAAGTGCAGGTGAGCCTGTAAGGAGTAAATAACATTGTCAGGAGGAAACCGTATTGAAAATGGCCAATGAAAAATGTTAAAAGGCAAAATCAAAGGAGAACATTCTAAAGAACTGGGGAATGTTGATAAGGGACAGAGGAGAAAGAGGTCCACAAAGCTAATTGAGAAAATTCTACTGTGCCTGACACCAGTCATAGATTAATTGCACCAATGTTTGAGAATTTCATGTTTTCCCTTCTCAGCAATGACACCCAAGAGTCTTCTCTGTGATGTTATCAAAACCATCCTACAAAGCAAGAAATACAGTATCACATCTAATAACATCTTGCCTAAAATTCACAGCTTAATAATACAGCACCTTCACTTCCTGAAGTGATGTTCTAAATTCTTTAATACCTGAATTCTGCAAATGCTAGGGGGGAATAAAGAAACTGATGCTAAATAATGCTTATTTCAGACAAGAGAAGAAATTACAACCATTTTCTCCTTGACTTCATTGGTAAGCATTGCTAATGCTCCTGACTACCAGCATTTGTAAGGATAGTATTAACCAGAAGCTTAACTGGACAGTCATGTCAATACAATAGCCACAACAGTAATAGTAGACTTTAGTGCTCTGCAAAAGGTAACTCATTTCTTAACTCCTATCCACCAGATATGAGGCTCAAGTCTGAAAATCTGATGAAATATCTGCATTTGCTAAGTGAGTGTAACTATAACATTGAAGAAGCTCAACAATAATTAGAAAACAGTTTGATTGGCATGGTGTGATCGGGTTTAATATTGGCTTCCAAGGGAAAGTGAGGAAATGCAAGGGACCAGAATTAACGGCACAAAGTTCTAGGGTTAAAGGATGCAGGAGGCTATCGATAGGAAGATACAATATAGGTTAGTGAAATTGGGCTGGTACAGAGGTGGGCAAGGTGTGAATAGAATATTGGCAGCACAGTTTGGATGAGTTGAAATTTATAGGTCAAAGACTAGCCAGGGCTATCATTGGAATAGTTGAGTCAGGAGGTGGTAGAAACACTGTCAAGTATTTCAGCAGTAGAAAATATGCAGTTTTGCGATTTGAGAGGATTTAAAATATGAGCCTTGGAGCCTGATAGGCTGCCACTGTTGAAAACTATCTGGTTCAACCTGGGACAGGATCTTGGGAGCAGGATAGAACAAGTGGACAGGGAACAGAGTTTGTGATGGTGACTAAAAATAGGGCAGCAATTTTTAAAGGGGTTGAATGGTTGACAAAGGACCAGAGCACGTAACCATATAGGATGTTACTGTGTGACTAAGGGCCATTTCTGTGCTATAGCAGGCATAGAAACAATTTAATTAGGTATAAAATTTGAAATTTCAGGAATTCTTTTCAAGTGGAACGAGGCAATGGCTTAGTGGTATTATCACTGTACTGTTAATCCAGAGACCAATATAACGTTCTGGGTATGAATCCCACCATGACAGATGGTGGAATTTGAACTCAAATAAAAAAAATTGGAAATAAGAATGTAGTGATAACCATGAATCCATTGCCAATTGTTGGAAAAACCCATCCGGTTCACTCATGTCCTTCAGGGAAGGAAACTGCCATCCTCACCTGGTCTAGCCTACATGTGACTCCAGACCCACAGCAATGTGGTTGACTCTTAACTGCCCTCTGGGCAACTGGGATGGGCAGTAAATGCTGCCTAAAAAGCAACGCCCTCATCCCGTGAATGAATGAAGGAAAAAAGTGACAACGTAATCGTAAGGAATTTTCTTAGTTGAGAAGTGTGCTTCTATTTGGAGTGCTCTTGATTTGAGGTCCTGTCAAATAAAAACAGAAAATGCTGAAATATTGACCAGTTCCTGCTTTCTACCCTATTCCAGACTGGCCCTTTTTTGTTTTGTTCCATCCTCTCCCCTCACCTTGTTTCTGTTCGTTCTTAATCTGTTAAACTTCTAACTTTGACTAGTTCTGAAAACTTTTATATTTCTCTCCACAAATGCTGGCTCCAGGATTTTCTGTTTCTAGTTCAGATTTGACACCATTCAGAACAAACCAGTCCACTTGATTAGCACTATATCCACAAATGCTCATTCCCTCAATCGCTGACATTTAGATGGTACAAAGTGCTGCTACTGTAAAATGTACTGCAGAAGTTTACCAGGGCTGTTTAGACAGCACGTTCCATGCCCATGACCACCGCTACCTAGAGGAACATAGGAATCAGATACATGGAAACACGAGCACCTGCAAGTTCCCCTCCAAGTTTCTGACCATCCTGATGTGGAAAATATTGCTGTACCCTGTACCTGTCACCGGACAAAATCCTAGAATTCCCCTCCCTAACTTTACCTACACCAACTAGATTCTGGCAATTCAAGAAGGCAGCTCATTATCACATTCTCAAGGGCAGCTAGGTAGGGCAATAGATGCTGGCCTAGCCAGCTATGCCCACATCTAATTCTGGATTTTTTTAAAAAACTAGCACCTGCTATACTATTGTGAATAGTTTGGTTAATAAAAAAACTAGCACCTGCTATACTGTT